GCAAGAGCTGAAGGTTAGTTTGTGAGACGAAGCTGCTCATGAACATCTACGAACAAGAAAAGGAATCTAGTTTGTGAGACGAAGCTGTTCCTAAACAGTTGCAAACAAGAACTGAAGGTTAGTTTGTGAGACGAAGCTGCTCATGAACATCTACAAACAAGAACTGAAATCCAGTTTGTGAGACGAAGCTGTTCCTAAACAGTTGCAAACAAGAACTGAAGGTTAGTTTGTGAGACGAAGCTGCTCATGAACATCTACAAACAAGAACTGAAATCCAGTTTGTGAGAGGAAGCTGTTCCTAAACAGTTGCAAACAAGAACTGAAGGTTAGTTTGTGAGACGAAGCTGCTCATGAACATCTACAAACAAGAACTGGAATCCAGTTTGTGAGACGAAGCTGTTCCTAAACAGTTGCAAACAAGATCTGAAGTTTAGTGTTTGAGACGAAGCTGCTCCCGAACATCTACAAACAAGAGCTGAAATCTAAAGTGTGAGACGAAGCTCCTCTTGAACAGCAACAAACAATTCCTTTTTTCTAAAGCCTTGGGTCTTATGCTACAAGGATCTTTGGTTGGGTGTTAAAATATATGATACATTATCATTATATTATACATCTAGTCATCAATACGCTCTATAGCTTACATTTTAATTTAACACCAAACCCCCAATTTGTCTCCCCAACAGGAAACTGGCAGGTCCGTGTTAGAAGTATGTTAGAATCAGGCCAGTGATAAATAAGACTATATTACTTTGAAAAAACATTTTTTGGGCTTAACCTTGAGAGTTTAAAACCCTTGCAACTTCTTAGTCTTCAACTTCTCTGTTGGATGTTTTTATGTGTCTCTATTGAAGTGTTTTTGTCTGGCTTCAATACCTTGTCATGTTTTATAGTTCCGAACAGGACTGAGTCACAGTTAAACCACCTGATTGTCTCACTTTATTACTCATAACACAGAGTTCTTTACTCACTGCTACACACACTTCTCAAGTCACTGTTACACACACTTCTCTAGTCACTGTTACACACACTTTTTTAGTCACTGTTACACACACTTCTCTAGTCACTGTTACACACACTTCTCTAGTCACTGCTACACACACTTCTCTAGTCACTGTTACACACACTTCTCTAGTCACTGTTACACACACTTCTCTAGTCACTGTTACACACACTTCTCTAGTCACTGTTACACACACTTCTCTAGTCACTGGTACACACACTTCTCTAGTCACTGTTACACACACTTCTCTAGTCACTGTTACACACACTTCTCTAGTCACTGTTACACACACTTCTCTAGTCACTGCTACACACACTTCTCTAGTCACTGTTACACACACTTCTCTAGTCACTGTTACACACACTTTTTTAGTCACTGCTACACACACTTATCTAGTCACTGTTACACACACTTCTCTAGTCACTGGTACACACTTCTCTAGTCACTGTTACACACTTCTTAAGTCACTGCATATATATATATTAATGTAAAAATTTTAGAAGCACTTCTCACTATTTCAAAATCATTTATTTAAGGATTAAGATCGGGGAGATGAAAGAGCATTCAGTTCGTACCTAAGTATGTGCGTACGTTCGTATGTACAAATGCGTTTTCACTTTCTATCACCACTCTTTAGTGACTTTACTTTTGAAGTGATTTTGATCACGTTTCATACATTTATAAAGGACCATGGCATTTCAGACAATCTTAAGATACATAGTTGTAAGGTCATGGCCACTGTTACTTTTTTCAGAAACCGCTTGTCGGTTCTGGCATCTTCATTCATTTTTGAGAGATTTCAATCAAACAGTACACTTTTAGGCCATAATACTTCATTCAGGCAAGGCTGAGTTCTAGGACTGTAGGGTCAAGTACGTCGTTACTATTTTTAGAAAATCCTTTTCAGCACCCGAGTGACTTTATTTTTTTAGATAGTTTACCCTTCATATTTTGAAGTCCTATCTTGGATAAGTTCTTGTTCCAGGGCGATAAGTCAAGGTCCGTTATAGTTTAGTTGGTTAGAGAGTTTGCCAACACGATCTTCGATTAAGATCACGGGTATGTGGTTCAACGCATCTTTTCTCAGGCAGTTTGTGTTTCAAATTGAGAATATGACCCATCTTTGCTGACGTATTACGTCTATGGGCGAGACATATTACACTAATAGCTCTGGACGGAGTGCGACGGACTTCTTGTATGTTGATCAGTTAGGTAGTCACCAATTACTAAAAGGAGAACTCGCCTCCAAATGACCTGGTTTTTCACCAGGCGGCCATTCCAATAATCAATTAAAAGTCAATGTCACCGTTAATATAAGTAGAAGTCCTTATAAGAAAACTAGCAGCTGAATTTCTTATTTATGCCATTTCGTTGTTTCGTTATGTCGCCCCAACATCCTCGGTCATGATGGTCTTTTTGCAGCGACAAAACGAACCGATGTCATAACTGATAACGAAATAACGAAACAGGGAAGTCGCTAAGTTGCATTGCGAATTAATTTGTCCCATTATTTATTGTGTTTTCGCCGTTATATCGTCTGCTCATTATCGTCTTTTTAACGTGGCAAAATGATAATTATCGTCATGTCGCTTAGCTGATTTTTTTTTTTTTTTTCAAATTGACATCTTACTGTCATTTTTTCTCCCTGCTATTTATCATCTTTTCGTCCGCCTTTACACCACACCGCGACAAAACAACAATCATCTTACTCTTCCCGATATTTATTGTCTTTTTGCCACGACAGCATGTTTCATCCCTATGTCGTATCACTAATTATCGTCTTTTCGCCCCACGACATAATGTTATGTCGCTGTCGATAACTAGCGGGGTGACATAACGATAATTACTATTATGTTGTGACGAACCAATGAGCATCAAACGCGCCAAAGTTTCCAAGAAAAGATGGCGACCATTATACTTTCCCTTAAACTTATGTACAGACCTGCTTTTCTCAAAACCATGTATTGTGAATTTATCCTCCAGTAAAGATCTAGACAAGAGACCAATGTCGAAAGGTCTATTATATCTTGATTTCAAAGATTATTTATTGTCATAAAACATCAGATATCCCCAAGATGTCATCAACGTGTATCTATAATTGAAATAAAATTACTTTACCAAGTCTTTCTTATATGTTCTGATAAGTTTTTGATACATTCAGCTTCACAAGAAAGGGACAGAGTTACACTAGGTCCCATTGGTATGTCAATAGTCTAACTGGGGCAATGAGTTTAGGTTTGGCAAGCAGGAAGGTTACTCTGGTAAAAGGAAAATTCACAATAGACAGATTGAGCTCATTCTTGGCTGGGTTTTAGGTAAGGAATGATCTTCTCAGACGATTGTAGTGGACACATCACTGACAGCCATGCCATGATGGAGGACAGCAAGATTTACACACACATATATCACATAACAGTTTTCTGTATCTTTTTAATGGCTATTGTGATTCAGTAGGATTGGTACTATGTCGATATAGATGTACATATATACAGCTAGACAAGTGACATTTACAATTCATGTTTATCAAGAATCACCAAGTACACACTTAGTACAACATAACACTGATGATATTGGGGAGCAGAGAGTGCAATGAAAATACTGAACTTCCGAAAAAAAAAAGGCATTATCATGTGGAACTTCATAGAAAAAAATTGATGATGGGTTTCAAAGTATAAAGAACCTTTATGATAAATGTGATTTTATGAATTTCAGAAAAAAAGTAAAATAAAACTATTAGGTTGTCATCTGGAATAATTAACAATTTATTATTATATCTATTACAGTTCCAAGATGGCAGCCAGTGTATTTAAATTTGTAACCAGAGTGTGTCGAGGGGAAGTAGAAGGTAGTGATCATTTAAGGCAACTTCAGAGAAATAGACTCTCTGACTAGGATTGGAACTCAACCCATGTCCTTCCCCTACTCCCGAGATCCATATCTGTTTCATTAAGGCTAGTAAGACAGCAGGGGTAATTATAAAAAGAAAACCAATAAGCAAATCAAAAAGTTTAAAAGAAAAAAAAATTAAAACGCAAAATTACGGGTTCAAAAATAAGTTGTAAGTATAATAGTTTTGATTCTTACAAAGTTCAAGGTTAATTTAAACTTCAATCAGACTTTTATCAAAATCTGTTCCTGAGCATCTCATTTTTAGTTCAAAAGTAGTCACTGAAACTGGTTAGATGATTAGGGAAACACTAACAAAATTTCCGAACTTTTCTGTTATAATACTTGTAGTATGTAAAACATTTTATACACATGCAAACAGGAAAACATGTACACATACCTACAATAACAAACATATCAGACATCTACATAGTGATCATGTTGTGGAGAAAGAAGAAAATGGAAGGAATGAAAAAAAAGGTAAAAACTAAGATAAATTTGAAACATTTAGTCAACATTGAGGTGTTTTTATCTTTATGATTTACTGTCCACGCATATCTCTTAAAGAAGTTGTTGATATAAACTTTGAGAATGTAGCAAGAGGTTATAGTGCTACTTATATACAGGGAGAGGACAGAAAGGGGGTGTGCCTTGATCAAATAGTGGTACAAGGGAGGCAACTGCAGTCAACTTATTTTGCACAACTGTTGTACAGACTCCTTATCCTCGCTATCTGATCTAGCAAATACAACAGGAATTTCATTATTAACTTTGTGATATTCATTTACTGGTCAGAATCTATAACAAGAGAATCCTCATTAAAAGTAAAGCAATCGACACATTGACAATTACTTGAAAAGTAACGATTGATTTTTAGACTTCCCCACAGTTCCATAAAACACGGACCATTTTTTTTAGAAATCTGGATCCTGTATACAAACTTGTAATATCCTTATTGTATCACTATTTAATGATAAAAGTTGATAACTGTAAAGTTACTGATACCAATAAAATGTAACATACATTCTGTATTCTACCAAATCGGTATACACGTAGTTTTCTTGATAAAATTTTCACACTGAAAAAAATTCTTGTGAAATGTATTGCAATGAAACTTTTGTAGAAGAAAACTTTCTTTTTTTATTTCTTTATTTTTCAAGAGGATTTACATGTATATGTCTATACATAGAACATAGAATTAATCTGATGGTTAGATTACAAATCAACACAACATCACACACTGAAATATACTTCCATTACATGCTCTGTATGTTGAGTCTGTTACCATATGAATAGTCATGGTCATTATAGGTGGAATATCATTGTGGAAGCTGGTGGCTACCTCACTGAACAACATACAGGAGGCCCAAAACATGTCATCAATTACAGTTAAGTGTCTTGCCCAAGGACACAACCACACCAGCACACACCAGTCTGTTTCTCAACTTACTGAGGAAAATGACCACCACCAATAGGGGTGTTGAACCATGCACCTCAGACCTTTACCTAAGGTTACCTAGGCCAACCCTCTAACCAACTGAATTATCATGCCCTTCCCCTTGAAAAAAAACAAGTGCAAATCACACATATGTTCTGTGTAAATAAAGCTATTAGTTATGAAAAATGTTTTTTTATTCTTTATGTTGTTATACACACTACAATTTCATGCAATAAAATATAAACTTTATTTATTTTACAACAATTGTGAAACAAGCTAACAGCTAATGTAATTCGTTCTTGATGACTTGGATGGAAGCATGCAAGAAGTCTTACTGTGGAAGGAAACCAAGTGCTAGAGGAATACCTAAGTGGTTGGGCAGGTGACCCTATATCGTTTCATGTCCAGTCTAGGAATCGAACCCTGAATGTCTAGGTGAAAGGTGAATGTGTTACTACTATGCCACCCTGCCACATTTCAAGTTATAAGCAAACAGGCTTAAATCTGCCCTCAAAGTATATGATAATGAGTTAATTGAAAAACATTTAAAATCTTAACAATGAAATAAAAAATAAAAATATTCTCATCATTAAAATATCAAGAAATATGTCATCACTATACAAAATAGCATTACTTCCTCTCATACACTCATACATTTATATGTTAAATGCTGTTACAAAAAAAATTGTTCCAAAATGATACATGTAATAATGACATATATATAAAATATACACTATTGATCATGTCCGAATACTTTGGCACAGAATGTGATAAGTTTACTTAAAATTAAACTCTGGATTTTAACTTTATATGGATAGATGAAAAAAAAAATCAGGTATTTATTTCACAAGTGTGAATTCTTCTGATAGTATTGAATGGTTAAGGCACATTGTTTTACTTGTTCACATATTTTGTAGGATTTGATCAGTGAGCCTCATAATATTTCCATGGTCAGAAGAAATCATTTTCAATTTTAGTTGAAACAGGGATTTTAACAAAGAAAAAATAGAAGACCAATGTCCTATCAAATTTAAAAAAAAAAAATACAAAACTTTAATAATATTTTTAAAAATAGAAGTAGGCGTTTTTATTTTTAGCTGAGTAAGAAGGGTTTGTAAAAATACAATCCATATTTCATGTTTTTAGTAAACTTGAGTTATTGTAGAATGAATCTACTATCATTTAACTAAACTTCTCAACAATTATGAAATAATACAATTAGATTACACAGGATAAATAGTGGATGCTGGTAGATATCCTGCCTCTACAACCATTCCTTAATATATAGTGGAATGTTCATTTTCTAAAGTATCTTGTAATCAAACAAAACTACAGAAATCTTTTTTTGTGTGTGAATACAATATGATATGATATAATAGATGAAATTTATGTCATTTTCACAAAAATTTGAAGCTAAGAACTATATTGTTGGAGGACTAGCATGCCCCACCCATCTTCTCAGCAACCTTCTGGATATTATACTGACACTTCTACATCATTGTATTCTGAACTATCTGAGGGATGATACAGATTTCATCGCACAACTTCTGACTGAGATAGACGAGAAGAAATACCTGTGAGCTTCGATGTGATTAGTTTATATACAAACATTCCACACGATCTCGGCTAAACATTTCTGGACTTCCAAGCATCCCCTTGAATTGGATTCAAGATTTAACTCTTCATTCGTTATTGAATCACTGAATCTTCCAAAAAATTCATTTTTGTTCAGTGGAAAATGCTATATACAAACCCTTGGGACAGCCATGGGAACCAAATTTGCTCCAACTTAGGCAGACCAGTTTACAACAGATTGCAGTAAAACAGCTCAGGAAAATATATTATCACAGATATATTCTAGAAACACCAGTATCTGGACTTCTGCTATCATCATCCTTTACATACCAGAAGAAAAACATACCCTTCTGCCTTGCAAGAAATATACTTACATCACTATTGACTATGATAAATGCAAACAAAGGTTAAAAGTACCACTATATTTCTTGGAAAGACAATATTATCCTAATGAATTGATAAAAGAAACACATAAATTTCCACTGAGTGCACACCTTGGCAAGTGTGGATAATTAACTTTCTACAAATTCCCATTTTACTGAATGACAGATACTGGTATTAATTTGTATGTAAAATTATTTAAACCATTACTAAATGGTCAGTAACATATTATTTAGTGACGTGATTACTTACATGTAGTAACGTTATTACCTCCCCTACTGCTACTATCAATTAGGTCATAATTCACAAATTTAAACAGTTGCTATTAAACATCATTATCTTGCCTTTTTTTTATAATTGTTTTACCACAGTTGACCTATAAATCATTTAAATAAGGAAAAATTGTCCAATAGAGATGATATAACAAGGAAAATGAAGGAACTTGTGAAATGTTCTGAAAATTTACAATTGGTCAAGTTTTCCACTAAGAAGGACCATGTGATTTTCCTTGATGACTTCTCAAATTCTGAGATTAACTAATTACAATGTCATCAACTTCAGCACTTAATACTGAATTTCTGTAAAAATGACAACATATCCAGAATAACGCTTCTAACTCTGAGTACTTGACAAACAGTTTACACTACAGTTACAGGCTTTTCAAAGAAGTCATTTTTCTCTGGCGGGTCATTGAAGACTCCTGGATAGAAGTACAGACATTTCTGTAGTGTGCTGCGTACCTCGGAGACTTGATTACCTTCTTCCATGACTGCAGTTGATACATATCTATTAACCTGTTATAACAAAATGAACACATTAATGAGTATAAAGATGTCATTTAATTGTAAAACATGGAATTCATTTGATTTTGTCCTTGTCCCAGATGTGAAAGTATTGGTCACCGAAACAAGATTTTCATCTTTGAAATGACAAAATTGGAAAATGCCACATGATATCCATCCCAGATGTGACAGTATTGATAAATAGGACAAGGTTCCAGTCCCAGGTGCGACATTATTGGTCACCAAGACAAGATTACCATCCCAAATGTGACTCAAGATATATTCATCTTAATTTTGTACAGTCAATTTTTAACTCTATAATTTGACTTGAGATGACAAGTGAGGAATTTTACAAACACTCTCTTTAAGAAGAAATCTCACTGAATGGACAGGGAGGATATATCTATTAGACATCCTGGTATGCCTGAATTTTATATCAACAATTGTATTCTTGTTCTGCTTCCTATGGAAGATGAAAACTGATATACTCCAAAATCACTTGGTAAAAATAAAAATTCTTCCACTGAAATGACAATGAACTAATCAAATTTTATTCCAATTATAATTCAATATCACTTACTTTGATACTGAATACCTAAATTCACTAAAAAGAAAGAAATGTACTGGACAAAATGTTGATATATACCAACCCTGGTCATCAACTCTTCCAAATGTTCTTTGCTGGCATTGTACTTCAAAACCCAGACAATTGCTTGGATGAACCAACTGCCTCTCTGTTCACTGCGATAAGCCTTAAATCCTTCAATGAAAGTTATGTACAGTAAGATTTTCAGCAATTTTACAAGCTACATCAACTGTACATATATTTCAACTCACCTGATTTCAAAGTCCAAATCTCACATAAAAGCTTTATGAATAGAAAATGAAGACAGGTATCAATTTAGGTACACTTTATAAAGATTATTTCAAGAGATTTCAAAAAGCAACAGTTATCTTCGTCTGTTCTTTAGATGTTTTTTTTTCGAATTATTTATCAAATTCTGAACAGTTCTATTAGAGCATGTGGTCCACTATTGGCATAAGCAACAGGCAGAACACAAACTAAAGAAGAGACCAATGAGCATTAATGGTCATCTGACTATATAAACCTATATATGAAACAGGCCAAATATGCCTTAACCAACACCAACACACCTAATATAGGATACACATGTGGTGGTATTACACCAATACACCTAATATAGGATACACATGTGGTGGTATTACACCAATACACCTAATATAGGATACACATGTGGTGGTATTACAGTCATACACCTAATATAGGATACACATGTGGTGGTATTACACCAATACACCTAATATAGGATACACATGTGGTGGTATTACAGTCATACACCTAATATAGGATACACATGTGGTGGTATTACACCAATACACCTAATATAGGATACACATGTGGTGGTATTACACCAATACACCTAATATAGGATACACATGTGGTGGTATTACACCAATACACCTAATATAGGATACACATGTGGTGGTATTACACAAATACACCTAATATAGGATACACATGTGGTGGTATTACACCAATACACCTAATATAGGATACACATGTGGTGGTATTACAGTCATACACCTAATATAGGATACACATGTGGTGGTATTACAGTCATACACCTAATATAGGATACACATGTGGTGGTATTACAGTAATACACCTACTATAGGATACACATGTGGTGGTATTACACCAACACACCTAATATAGGATACACATGTGGTAGTATTACACCAATACACCTAATATAGGATACACATGTGGTGGTATTACACCAATACACCTAATATAGGATACACATGTGGTGGTATTACACCAATACACCTAATATAGGATACACATGTGGCGGTATTACAGTCATACACCTAATATAGGATACATATGTGGTGGTATTACACCAACACACCTAATATAGGATACACATGTGGTGGTATTACAGTCATACACCTGATATAGGATACACATGTGGTGGTATTACAGTCATACACCTAATATAGGATACACATGTGGTGGTATTACAGTCATACACCTAATATAGGATACACATGTGGTGGTATTACACCAATACACCTAATATAGGATACACATGTGGTGGTATTACAGTCATACACCTAATATAGGATACACATGTGGTGGTATTACAGTCATACACCTAATATAGGATACACATGTGACGGTATTACATTATTTCATCTTCAAAATACATGTGTGATAATATTGCACTATTGCACCATCAAAATACACATGTGACAGTATTGCACCAATATATATGGGATACACATGAGATAGTATAAGTCTGTATTGCTCATGTTATCAAGTTAGAAACTGGAATCATCCACAACCAACAATGAGTAGTAAGAACAAAGACTTCATGTTGTAACACTAGCATATTCTTCAAACAAACTAGCACACAGAGAGTACACAGATTAAAAAAGCCAATGTCTTTACCTTCAGGGGTGGCATAGGCAAAGAAAAAATCTGAAGATGGATGTGTGACTTTCTGAATCTGCTTAGTTGGTCCTTCCTCCATGCCACTGTCACACTGAACCTGGTCACTATTTTGAGGCAAATTTTGAAATGCTTTGTGTATATCATTGTCATCTTCATGATCTTCAGCGTTTGACACTGGATTTGTTTCCATAGAGTCAGCTTGGGATTCACCTGATTGGCTATCTTCAGTACGTGGAGAATTTGGAGACCCTGAAAGTGAGAATATTCAAAGTAGAGAGGTAAAATAAAGTCAATAATCTAACACATTAACTTCTATGTATTGTTCAAGTACATTACTAGTATGTCCGTGTTAAATGATACAATAATTCAACATTTAACATAAGAGATCTCAGAAAGAACTTGGTGCCATCATTTGATCTTTATTTACCGTTTGAAAGCTGGATCTTTTCCCTTCTTTTCTCTACTCTTCTCTGTATTTGCTCTCAATGGTAGGAAATTTTAACATATCTTTGCAGAAATAGCAATGATAATCTTGAACTGCCAAATCAAAGATGGCCACCTGTCGGCCATATTGTTTTTCAGATCAGTCCCAAAATCACATAGGAGCAACTAGGGACCAAGTGGAACCGAGGTAGGAAATTTGAGAAAGATCTTGCCAGAGCTTCTTAAGGAATAGCGATAACAAATAATGTTTATGAATGGACAGACAGACAACAGACCAAATATGTAGGGCAATTTGAATCGCTGAACATCTGATGATAGCGGCTCTCTACTGAACCAAATTTTAACAGAGAAATACTGAATAACACAAGGGGTTAATTGAACATGTAATGTGACTGTTGTTGCAATGTGTCATGGCATTTTCCTTGTAACTAAGCAAAACTATACATACATGTAATGTAGTAAACAGCCTTTGAGTTTACCAAACTAAATTATATTGTCTTTATTCCAAGTTTTTCCATAAAATCAAACATCAATGCCATGTATAACAACATACCCTACAATGTTTGCTTAGTCAGTTTTATAGACCTAACTTTGAACAACAGTAAACCATTTCCATTGAATATCAATGATATATATACAAATAAGGAAAGCCAGAACAAACAAAAAAAAAAAAATAGGTCACATGATGTCTCTTTTCAGGTAACATTACAAGCAAACATGCTGCTACCACCAGGTATGGACATTTGGTGGCCATCAATACCTGCTGGTAGGTTATCTAGCGAAAATGTAATCAAACATCATTGCATTATTTAAAACCATTCAAAACATATGTAACCCTGGTAAAATACTAGCTGCAATATACATGTATATATAATTTATATTTAGATTTATAAACAAAGATTAATTACATTTAATTAAAATAACTAAAATATGTTTTTGGAAAGATATACATAAAAACCTATTGTTGATGTACTGAGCTGCATATTACAATTAGAAAACTTACGACAAGATTGAAATAGGAATACTTTGGGTTTTCCAGTCAATTTTGGACAGTTGATTTTGTTGAAATTTTTCACAATATCATCCACACAAATAACGCTCCCGTCAGTCCCATTAATTCCTCTAGAAGAGCCATGGCTGAGCACTGCAAACACGAAACAATCACTAGCCCCATGGTAATCCCAGTTACTACTCTCTTCAGCAATCTTCAACATGTCCTTCAAATATACAACAAGTATAACCAACATCACTATACAAAAAAATCATAAACATTAAACTATCTACTCTAGTGACAGAATCAGGTATATCCCTTGACAGAAACAAATGTGAAGACAAGAGGCCTATTGGGCATGCATTATTCACCTAGTTAATTAAGATATTCAGTCATTTCACAAAGAAATACAAAAAATAATGAACACTTTCTTAAATGAATTATCAATAGGGCCCCAACCTTGTGGTCAAACATTAATCAGATCCATTATTAATAAAAAAATATTTTACCTCAAACCTGGACAATATCCTTTTAAGATAGAAGAATTTTTAAAAACTAATATGTCCCTTATTGGGTGTCAGACTTCTGGCTGGTACAGAATTAAGGTATTCCCAAAAAAGAAAAAGGATTTGGAAGTATATTTTTTTTTCCCAATTGGGTCCACCTTCTCCTGCCCCAAGGGGCTGAGAGTCACTGCTTATACAAAATTGATCCTTTTGACCCAAGTATGCCTCAGACCAAATAGGGATAGAAGCCTAGCATTTCTACAAATGAAGGATTTTAGAGAATTTGCTCTATTTTCCTAATGGGCCCCATCCGCCTCTCCCCACGGGGCAGATACTAATCATTTGTGCAAAACTGATTTCCCTTCTCCCAAAGATCCTTCAGACAAAATTTGGGCAAATCCAATCCTTCCTCCAGAAGGAGCATGATTATAAAGACTTTGCTCTATTTCCAAAAGTGGGGCCCACCCCTCCCATCCCAGATAACCGACAACCATTGTTTATAAATAATTGATTACACTTTTCCCAAGGATCCTTCAGACCAAAATTGAGCAAATCCAATCATTCCTACAGGAGGAGCAGGATTTTGAGAATTTGCTCTATTTCTCCTCTTAGGCCCTGTCCCAGGGGGAAAAGACAAACTATTTATACAAAACCGACTCCCCTTCACCAAAATATGCTTCAGATCAAATTTGGGCAAAATTCAATCACTTCTACAGGAGGAGCAGAATTTTGAAGATTTAAAATTCTCTGATTTCCTTATTGGGCCCCATCTTTCCTGCCCCAGGGGGCAGAGACCCACTGTTTATACAAAAGTGATTCTCCTTCTCCCAAATTTGGGCAAATTACAATCATTCTTACTGGAAGAGTAGGATTTTAAAGAACTTGCAAAATTTCTCCTTTTTGGCAAGGCTTCTCAGTCAGTCCCTTGGTGGCAGAGATCCACATTTCATTCAAATTTCTCTCCTTCTCCTAAGATTTTTTCTGACTAAATTTGGTAACAATCCACTTAGTCATTCTTACTAGTCATAAAAGGCATCTAAAATAATTGATTATAATGCACATGCCAGAAATATTGAAAAGGTACTGACACCAAATTAGTTAGGTTGTTACATCAAGGTTTTGCTGCAATACCTTTACAGTATAAGAGCTAAGTGGAACCATTTTTGCATCCAAAACCATTATATGCCTGATCAGAGAAGCATAAAGTCTGCTGACTAGGATTTCCAATTAGCCATTTTATATTTCAAATTAGTTAAGTTAAAAATTTATACTCAAGGCAATTAAATCCTGAAATTCATTTTATGAAAAAATAGTTGTTTTCCTACTTCTGTTTGTTCTGCAGTACATTTGAGATTTTAATCAGACTTAGAAGACCTTGCATATTTGAAACATTTCTAATGAGTCAAAAATTTTATAGTAACATACTGATGGTATTCTAATATTTGTACCCTTCGCACTTTGTCATTGAGCAGATTTAAGTGTAGCACTAAACTTTCCCTGTCGTGTCGTAGAACACATACAGCAATTCATCGTTAAACACTCTATATGTAGTACTGTAGTGGTCAGTTGGAGTAGTAACATCACCTGTGTAGTATGATATGTTTTACTATAAACACAGCTCAGTGATAGCCTAAGCTGTACACTTGTCACTGTTAGAGGAGACCTGGAAAGTATATTACTGCTAACTTGAAAATAGTTCTTGTCATTTTTTGCACAAATTATAGCATGCACTTTCTAACCCTTCTCAGAGCCCTAAATTAAGAGTATACTAATTCAAATACACAGATTATTTCTCCACTGCTGTTCTTGGGTGCAAATAATGAACAAAGCACAATGAGTGTATGTACCCAGGGAATTTATTCCTGAAAGTGGTACTTACAAAGCTATATGGACATGACCTATGCTCCAGATAAAGTGACAGAAATAAAGAAAGGGCTATAACTCTGTATAAAGAGCAGAATGACACTCAAATTTAGTATATGGGATATTGTTTCATGCAGCAGACAAAGTGAACTCAGCGACTGATAGATGGAGCATACATCTACACATCCTATACACCTGTACAGGGCTAAAATCAAATTTTGTATCTGTATTTGGCAACCATCAAATGAATTATGTATAACAAATGATCTGTTGATGCTGACTTTTCTGGAACACCTGGTCTTGCTCTCCTTGTACTTTTGGAGTTTGGATTATGATTACGTTCACATGCTGATATTTTCTTGTTGCTCTTTATTACCGTCTATCTTTTTTAATACCTTGAATCATTACTTTTGTGTTATGAAATATGATAAAGATACTGGGCTGCTGTATTTTACCCAATGACCAGGGTTAGATTTTGAAAGTTTTAGTGCTACTTATTTATGTGAACCATCACAGACTACTTACGGCACCAGTCATATTGTTGTAGATCTTAACGGAGAAGTGTAGCTGGCTAAGGACACGTGATAGTTTATCCCGATCCAGATCACTGCCTACTCTCTTTAATGCACGTTTTCCAAAATCAGCATTGTTGATGATAATGGCAAGGCCTCTCCTTTTTGCTGTCATACGGTAAATCTGAAAATAGAAAGAAAAGACAACATTTACTGATTGAATAAATATATCTAGTACCTACTGACAGTATGTTTGGTTGCTATCAAACGAATATGATTTCTTATTTCTTATTTAAAAAGCAACTCTTTTGTGGAAAGAAGAACTAGGAAGTATGTTTTGTTTAAATATGGCCTCTGTCATCTCTGTTTAAGGAGCAAGCTTTGGCTTAGTTTGTAGAGCCATTGATCATAACACTGAAGACCCAGGTTCAACCTGTTCTTTTGCATTATATAGAAATTGAGAGTACCTTACTATTCTTGGCTAGTGGAAATTTCCCTTCTCTCAACCAGTATGGCATTTGGCCTGAGACCAAAGGGAAGCCTGCCCACACTCCACCAAGGACAGGACATTTTCTGACTAAAATCCAAAGGGACGCTTGCCCACACTCCACCAGGGACAGGACATTTTCTGACTAGTGTCCAAAGGGATGCTTGCCCACACTCCACCAGGGACAGGACATTTTCTGACTAATGTCCAAAGGGATGCTTGCCCACACTCCACCAGGGACTGGACATTTTCTGACTAGAGTCAAAAGGGATAATTGCCCAAAGTTGAGTAAGGACAGGACATGTTCTGACTAGATTCAAAAGGGATGCATGCCCACACTCCACCAGGGACAGGACATGTTCTGACTAGATTCAAAAGGGATGCATGCCCACACTCCACCAGGGACAGGACATTTTCTGACTAGAGGCCAAAGGGAAGCTTGCCCACACTCCACCAGGGACAGGACATTTTCTGACTAGAGTCCAAAGGGATACACGCCCACACTCCACCAGGGACAGGACATTTTCTGATTAGAGTCCAAAGGGATGCTTGCCCACACTCCACCAGGAACAGGACATTTTCTGACTAGAGTCCAAAGGGACACTTGCCCACACTCCACCAGGGACAGGACATTTTCTGACTAGAGTCCAAAGGGATGCCTGCCCAAAGTTGAGTAAGGACAGGACATTTTCTGACTAGAGTCCAAAGGGATGCCTGCCCAAAGTTGAGTAAGGACAGGACATTTTCTGACTAGAGTCCAAAGGGAAGCTTGCCCACACTCCACCAGGGACAGGACATTTTCTTACTAGATTCAAAAGGGATGCTTGCCCACACTCCAAAAGGAACAGGACATTTTCTGACTAGAGTCCAAAGGGATGTTTGGCCAAAGTTGACTAAGGACAGGACATTTTCTGACTAGATTCAAAATGGAAGCTTGCCCACACTCAACCATGGACAGGACATTTTTTGACTTGTGTCCAAAGGGATGCTTGCCCACACTCCACTAGGGACAGGACATTTTCTGATTAGAGTCCAAAGGGATAATTGCCTAAAGTTGAACAAGGGCAGGACATTTTCTGGCTGGAGTCCATAGGGATGCTTGGGCAAAGTTGAGTAAGGACAGGACATTTTCTGACTAGTGTCCAAAGGAATGCTTGCCCACATTCCACCAGGGACAGGACATTTTCTGACTAGTGTCCAAAGGGATGCTTGCCCACACTCCACCAGGGACAGGACATTTTCTGACTAGATTCAAATGGGATGCTTGCCCACACTCCACCAGGGACAGGATATTTTCTGACTAGTGTCCAAAGGGATGCTTGCCCACACTCCACCAGGGACAGGACATTTTCTGACTAGATTCAAAAGGGAAGCTTGCCCACACTCCAAAAGGAACAGGACATTTTCTGACTAGAGTCCAAAGGGATGCTTGCCCAAAGTTGAGTAAGGACAGGACATTTTCTGACTAGAGTCCAAAGGGATGCTTGCCCACACTCCACCAGGGACAGGACATTTTCTGACTAGAGTCCAAAGGGATGCTTGCCCACACTCCACCAGGGACAGGACATTTTCTGACTAGAGTCCAAAGAGATGCTTGCCCACACTCCACCAGGGACAGGACATTTTCTGACTAGAGTCCAAAGGGATGCTTGCCCACACTCCACCAGGGACAGGACATTTTCTGACTAGAGTCCAAAGGGAAGCTTGCCCACACTCCACCAGGGACAGGACATTTTCTGACTAGATTCAAATGGGATGCTTGCCCACACTCCACCAGGGACAGGACATTTTCTGACTAGTGTTCAAAGGGATGCTTGCCCACACTCCACCAGGGACAGGACATTTTCTGGCTAGATTCAAATGGGATGCTTGCCCACACTACACCAGGGACAGGACACTTTCTGACTAGTGTTCAAAGGGATGCTTGCCCACACTCCACCAGGGACAGGACATTTTCTGACTAGATTCAAATGGGATGCTTGCCCACACTCCACCAGGGACAGGACATTTTCTGACAAGAGTCCAAAAGGATACACACCCACACTCCACCAGGGACAGGACATTTTCTGATTAGAGTCCAAAGGGATGCTTGCCCACACTCCACCAGGAACAGGACATTTCTGACTAGAGTCCAAAGGGATGCCTGCCCAAAGTTGAGTAAGGACAGGACATTTTCTGACTAGAGTCCAAAGGGATGCTTGCCCACACTCCACCAGGGACAGGACATTTTCTGACTAGAGTCCAAAGGGATAATTGCCCAAAGTTGAGTAAGGACAGGACATTTTCTGACTAGTGTCCAAAGGGATGCTTGCCCACACTCCACCAGGGACAGGACATTTTCTGACTAGAGTCCAAAGGGATGCTTGCCCACACTCCACCAGGGACAGGACATTTTCTGACTAGAGTCCAAAGGGATAATTGCCCAAAGTTGAGTAAGGACAGGACATTTTCTGACTAGTGTCCAAAGGGATGCTTGCCCACACTCCACCAGGGACAGGACATTTTCTGACTAGAGTCCAAAGGGATGCTTGCCCACACTCCACCAGGGACAGGACATTTTCTGACTAGATTCAAATGGGATGCTTGCCCACACTCCACCAGGGACAGGACATTTTCTGACTAGAGTCCAAAGGGATGCTTGCCCACACTCCATCAGGGACAGGACATTTTCTGACTAGAGTCCAAAGGGACACTTGCTGGAATTTTAACAAGGACAGGTGTTGTCTTGCATTGATGGTCACTATAACTACCATAATAAGACAGCTCAATAGCTTGATCGTGATTTTTTTTATAAATGTCAAAAGTATAAGAAAACCTTTCAATGGCATTGATGGTCTCTATAAATGCCAAAATAAAACACTGGCACTGATGATGGGCATTATAAATTCAAAGGTGCATAACTTTGTTCACTTTGTTCAACGTCAGAAATATTTTCAATTTATATGTGCAAATGAGGATCATTCTTATACATGTGCCTCACAGTGAAGCATGTCAACGAAAAGGAAATACATATAGTATGTCTAAACACTGTCTTCATTTGTCTGTACTAGAATATTCTGTCATCTCCTCCTCTAGCTATTACTTTACAGCACAGACATAGCACAATAGAGGGATGACAAACCCTACCATCTGTCATGTAAACAGAAGTTGAAATATGGTAAAAATTTTACCTTAGATTATGTTAAAGACATATATGTACATAATGCTATCATGTAAAGTGGTGATAACAGTAAATTGAAGTGTTCAATCCTGGATGGTAGAAAGTAAAACTCGGAGAATAAAATCCTTATGTATCGTTGTCAAACTGCAGCAGAACCAATTTTGTCGTTCGTCTGAAGTGAATATGTTTCAACAGCTTTACTATTGTTTTATCAACTTTTGTGTCTCTCATAAACTTGTTGATTTTTTTTTTTATTTCTAAACTGACTCACATCTTATGGATAATGTCTTCCAGTGAATTGGTGAACTACCAACGTCAGCCATTTGATTTGTGTTTGTAAACTACAACTTAACCGTGCATATGCATATATGAAGTTGCTGGTGGGATTAATCTTTATATTCCTATTAAAGAACTCTCTGTTACCTCTGGACTTTAACTCTTATATTAGTGTAACCTTTCACTACTTTGAAAAATACAGGTTTTCATATAGTTTGATTTTTATACCTTAAAATTGGTTCAACAATGTAATGTCCCTTTAACAAGACACTTCAATGACATTGATAATGTTCATTATAAAGGCTTGAACAACACATTTCAATGACATTGATAATGTTCAATATAAAGGCTTGAACAACACACTTCAATGACATTGATAATGTTCATCTTAAAGGTTTGAACAAGACACTTCAATGACACAAGAACAAAACACTTCAATGACATTGATAATGTTCATTATAAAGGCTTGAACAACACACTTCAATGACATTGATAATAATCATTATAAAGGCTTGAACAACACACTTCAATGACATTGATAATGTTCATTATAAAGGCTTGAACAACACACTTCAATGACATTAATAATGTTCATTATAAAGGCTTGAACAAGACAATTCAATGACATTGATGACGGTCATTATAAAGGCTTGAGCAAGACACTTCAATGACATTAGTAATGTTCATTATAAAGGCTTGAACAACACACTTCAATGACATTAGTAATGTTCATTATAAAGGCTTGAACAACACACTTCAATGACATTGATAATGTTCATTATAAAGGCTTGAACAACACACTTCAATGACATTGATAATATTCACTATAAAGGCTTGAACAAAACACTTCATGGCATATATTTACATTTTGTTGTCATATGCTGATTATGACTTGATTTAAACTTTAATAAATGATTCAGTATTGACAGTTTAATCTGTAAAGTGGAACAGCCATTTTGACAGTGATCATTTCTATGCACAAAAATACTGATTTTAAAGCATTTATTATATTATAAATGAAGTGCCTTTCTGGTTAGTTCATATGTACAATGGCATTGCTGTGAATACATCAATATTACACAATAACTACTCATCAAGATATATTACTATATGCAAATCTATCTAACTTTGGGAACCACTGAACTAATTAACGAAGGGCCTTACATCTGACCTACCTCTTTTTGGTTGGTTGATTGACTTTTCATTAAATCATCAATATCACACTGTTCAGCCTCAGCGTCATGCATTTCTTTCAGTTCCTTAGTGGAAGGAGGCCACTCTGTGGAAGAAAATACAAACTTTAGATCTGCAACTTCAATATCTAACATCATGTCACTGGGACAGATACACAATGTCACTGGGACAGAAATATGATGTCACTGGGACAGAAACACAATGTCACTGGGACAGAAACATGATATCACTGGGTCAGAAATATGATGCCACTGGGACAGAAACACCATGTCACTGGGAGAGAAACATAATATCACTGGGTCAGAAATATAATATCACTGGGTCAGAAACATAATATCACTGAGTCAGAAACATAATATCACTGAGTCAGAAATATGATGTCACTGGGACAGAAACATTATCACTCTTGACATCACTGTGTACTGTAAAATATTAATCAAATTCATCAAAGTCACATGTCTCACATTAATACATAGCCTGAAAAAAAGAATATATAGTAAATAGTTGATCATATTATTTTATTTTTATCATGAAGAGGACAAATACAATTTACCATGTGGTGGAAGATGTAAAGTTTTTCTCCTTTTTTGTTTCTGCTCTTTCACATATGGCGCTAGTAAATCAGCCAGAGGCTTGTTTCCTGTGGCTTGTAGAGCACTGTGGAGTTCTCGCAGGACCCGCTCATCCCCATACATCAGTGTTTTCATCAATAATCGAGTCTTTTCTCTCCTGGTCCCAGTCTTTTCCTGTTTCATATCATACACAGACAGGAATCATACATACAGTGTATGTAAAGATTTCTAATAACTTAGCATCTTTACAGGTATAAACATGTAATAAGTAACATGAGGAGGTATATTAAACACTCCAAACAAAGCCAAATTATTAAATGCAGACTTGTTAGTAGGTAAGGAAAAGTTTGAAAGTTTTACCATTAAGCTTTTTCATTATTATAACAAAATGATAGGGTCATTACAAGAGGTCTATACATTTACAATACAGTTGATATAGCTAAGTAACAAAATGACAGGGTCATTACAAGAGATCTATACATTTACAATACAGTTGATATAGCTAAGTAACAAAATGATAGGGTCATTACAAGAGATCTATACATTTACAATACAGTTGATATAGCTAAGTAACAAAATGATAGGGTCATTACAAGAGATCTATACATTTACAATACAGTTGATATAGCTAAGTAACAAAATGATAGGGTCATTACAAGAGATCTATACATTTACAATACAGTTGATATAGCTAAGTAACAAAATGATAGGGTCATTACAAGAGATCTATACATTTACAATACAGTTGATATAGCTCAGTATGACATGTATAACTAGCTTCATTAAATACTTCTAGATACCTTTATATTTCTTGCCTGGTCCTCATTAAGCAATGGAGGTGTAATGTTGTGGTGAAGATACTCCACAAGTTCATCAGGATTACCTAAGTTTTTTACAATATCTGACCAGTTTTTCTGGATTCCTTCCTTCCATTTGTCCTCTGCCATGATTACAGATTCTGAAAGTAGTATAGCTATAGACTTAAGATTATGAATGTATTAACCTAAAAAACCTAAATATTTCCTTGACATAATACTCCTGTTTTACATTGGTGCAGGAACACAATTTCCATTGGTATGAATTCCCTGACACCAGCATAAAAATACACTACAGCTCTAGTGAACTAACTTAGAGCAGCAGAGGAGCAACACGTTTGGAAAGCTTTTGACGAAAGAAATTTGACACATTCACACAATATTGAGTCATACTCCTGAATTTTCCTTGTTTCACATATCATGCATTTTGTCAACTGAAAGAAAAATACAGCAGTTTTATGTGCAAGCAAGAGCTATCATTAGTTACAACAACCAGGTATGGCTTGATATCTTTCAACTTTGAGGCCGCTCGGGTAGTCTTCCATACTAGGACGACGAGGAAGGTACATGTACATATAGTTATTTAGTATACCTGTGATGGCCCGTATGCATCTGCTTCGTTACTGTACAATTTGACTCTCTTTTGATATGCATGTTCGTGACGTAACAGTACATTCAACGATTTTTAGTTAATCGGGCGAATTGCACATTGTTTGAAATTGACTGTTTTGTAGTAACCTGTACTGTACCTGTAGGAGTTTGGATTCACGGGTTAGTTATACAGTTTCTGTCTGAATAATGGTTCGCTGACTGTCTTCTTCGGTGAAATCGAAAGAAAGTATAATAAGAAACGAACCAACGCGCGGAGATTATAGTCCGTTTTCAAGGATTGATTGCAAATATTATCATAAATCGTACAGCAAGTTTTAAAAACTAGTAGAAGCAACTAATGTTAAAGTAATATAGATCTAAAATACAGGAGTTCGGTAGATATAATAGATGTATATAAAATATATTTGTTTCAGGTATTCCGACCATAGTCTCTCCGTATTCGTTTTTAATTTTATAATTAAAATTTGCAGATGGCAGGCTTCATGTCTATGCGGATGTAAATTAGTTACTATATATCGTAAGTAAATATTAATCGATACTTTTTTAATTTACAGATTAAGAAAGTCAGTGGCCCATTGGATCCATAACACGCCCATTTAAATCTATATGAAACTATACTAATTTTGAATTCTGTTGTTGTGTTAATGTCACGGAAAACGAAAGTACATTGTCTTTGATCACAAATGACGAATTCTCGTTGAGTTATACACGTTAATCGGGCTAATTTCTATTCAGATGGACGAGAATTGGAAGGGTGTTCTTTCTAGAAATTTCAGTGCGATTGTTGGTCATGTCGATGATCCCGATGCCATAGCAGAATGTCTACATTATGACTGGAATCCACCGGTGTTTACAGAAAATGATGTACAGCAGGTCAAGGTTTGTCGGCGGGGACTTACCTTACTTTTAGAACTCTGATAATATAAATTCAATCTTCAGAATGTGAGGGCAAATTGCCAAGGACTTTTATATAGTTATAGAACAGGGAAAAAACAAATTCATGCTGAGCACTAGCTCCTGCATCACTGCAGTTATACAATAAGTTTTTATAAAATTTATAAGTTCCTATATTTCAATGGCAAAAAATTAATAAACACTAGTCCTACATACATAGGTATGAGAAAATATCATTCTTCTATCTAAACTAAAGGTTAACAGGTTGCAAGTGAATTGGCAAAACACCAATAGGGGTATTACTATTACTTTGTAAATACAATGTAAATACAATGTAAATACAGTGTACCTTGTTCTGCATCCGAACATGATAGCAGTTGTTTTCTAAGCTTTGTCAGCTTGATCAAAACAGTAATTTGCATTTAATTGTTATGACAATCTGTTGTGAAATGTTCAAAATTTACGAAATAATTTAACAAATTTAATCTTCTCAAATATTTCTACCATTAGATTGAGTAATAATAGAAAATAACAATGAGTTTGAGGGTTTTCTCTAGAAATATTTGAATCCTGATATAAAATTAATGATTCTGCTTTACTTCCAGTCCTCGACCGAGGATAACAAAAGTAAAACACGGAGGTTACTCAACAAACTTACATACAAGACAAATTATCCACTTGTAGCACTTTATAATGCTTTCAAATTAACTTCAAATGTATTCTTGAGGGAGCTCCTGGTGCCATATGTGCAGAGCTACTATAAAGCCCAGAGAATGGACATCAGAATCATTCCTGCTAGTAAGTAACGCTGAAAAAGAAACATTGGATGTGTGTGAACACTCGACACCTCTTTTCAATTCAAAAAAGAAAAGAAAAATATCCAACACACAATATTTCAAATTATGAAATGACTAATCCCATTACACTATGTCTTGTTCCAGCATTTTATACTTAGTCCACCAGCCCAAAGGGCAACTGAGCTTACACACTGTCTGTCTGTCTGCTTTTGCTGTCTGTCTGTCTGTCTGTCTGTCTGTCTGTCTATATATATATCTATCTATATATATATATATATATATATATATATATATATATATATATATATATATATATATATATATATATATATATATATATATATATATATATATATATATATATATATATATATATATATATATATATATATATATCTATATATATATATATATATATATATATATTATATATATCTGTCATGTATATATATATATGTTGTTTGATATATATCCTGGATATATATTTATTTATATATGTATATGACCTTAACCAACTTTCAAAGTTACAGGAGTCAAATGTGTTATGAATTTAAAATGTCATCTGTTCAACAAGCAAAAGGTCCTTACTCATTTGTGTAAGAGGATGTTTGAGAAAGAGGCTTTCATAAATTGACTTAACGAACCGACAAGGTCTTCTGTGTAAACTTCAGAACTGGCAAGGGTCTCTGCTTTGTTAGGCCTTTTGTTCTTAAGATACAAACAAAACTACATTAAGACTTCAATTTTATTTTCAGTTAGTGTCCATCATGTCATTTTAAAACAAATTTGTTTAATATTGATTCAAAGGAACAATTTTTTCTGGTTTATTTTAAAATCTAAAGAAATAAATATAAATGAAAATAGATGTATTTTTCTGAAGAACATATAGTAAGAGATCCTTACTTGACAAAATATTTCAAATGTTCAATTCAACCCAAACTGTGTAATTTCAGCAGGGAACTTAAATATGGGCATGCTCAACTCACTTAAGTTTTTATATGAGTGCAAACTATAGTTTACCAATACAAAGTTGACAAAACACTGAAGGTTAGAGGTTCATCAATTTGTGGTAAGAGATTTCTACTGTTAAGGTGGGAAAAGGTTGAAATAGCTTATAGACGTGAAAAAATATCAACAAGTTTGCATTCACCAGCAAGGTAGAATACTGTTGCTAGACATTGGTTGGTGAAGATGTTATATAATATCCAAGAAGTAGACAATTGCAGACAATTAGAGTTTAGTTTACTATTCAAACTACTGAAAATGAATATACTGGTAGTATGTGTATCTTTGCTATCATTGAAACCAAATTTGTGATCATGCACATGTGGCTGTTGGGAGCTGTGCTGTAATTGCAGACTTATTAGAAGTCACATGATATTTAAATGAAGCTGATGAGAAAGTGGCAAAATGTTTGAATATTATATAAATATGTCAGTGTGTAGATGTTACAATCATATTTTCTGCACAATGTCCTTGCTTGCTTTATCACCGTAAGTGAGATTCTCTTTGATGTGTAAAAAATCTCTACCAACATCATCTTTCATTGAAATTTCACAAAAGTGAATGAATCATTATTGTATGCTCTGTCTCTTTCATTCCGAATGTCAGGAGACAATGTCTGTAAATAAAATGTGTTTTGTTCAAGAGATGTGAAATGATATTGATTTCAGTGTTAGAATGGTTTTTAATCATGTTTTGTCCTTTTCTTAACAGGTAGGTTACCTCTGCAAAAAGACGACTGGGAAGATTTTCACAAAAAAGATGTCATCATGTGTGAGATTGAGTCGCAAAATTTATTGGAGAATTACAAGGATACAGTGAAAAATGTATGTTACAACCGGCCATCTATGCCTGTTTTGTAAAATTGTTAATGAGCTTATTTCATCCTTATGTCATCATACATTGAGCAGCACAAGTGAACCTCTCAGAGTAGCTATACTTCTTCCTACGTACAAGTTCACACATCTACAGACTATCATAAATATTCATTATTTCCTTTCTTAATCATTCCTTATAAGTTTTATCCAGTAGCAGCAGTGACAAGGCTCAGACTATGTAAAATGACCATAATTTCTATCCATCTCCACAAACCCCAGTTATAATATATTTTAAATTTCATACATCTACATACACTCCTTTCTTCATTTCTCTCTTATCTAACATGTTTTTCACTCTCTTCTCCAGCAATTGCATGCTTTCAACTTTCCTGATATTTACGTTCAACAGCCATGTCTTAAGTTTAACACAATTTAATCACCTTACTTGCATAATACATATTACTCAGAAGAGTCAATGTGATGCAGTAACTGTACATGTATCACTAGAAAGAAGATAAATACAGCACCTACCAGGAATAAATAAAACAGGCCAAATACTCACTGTAGCAGATCTGTACTGATTAGTCTGAGAGATGGCAAAGTCACTGTGTAGCAGATCTGTACTGATTAGTCTGAGAGATGGCAAAGCCACTGTGTAGCAGATCTGTACTGATTAGTCTGAGAGATGGCAAAGTCACTGTGTAGCAGATCGGTACTGATTAGTCTGAGAGATGGCAAAGTCACTGTGTAGCAGATCGGTACTGATTAGTCTGAGAGATGGCAAAGTCACTGTGTAGCAGATCTGTACTGATTAGTCTGAGAGATGGCAAAGTCTCTGTGTAGCAGATCTGTACTGATTAGTCTGAGAGATGGCAAAGTCACTGTGTAGCAGATCTGTACTGATTAGTCTGAGAGATGGCAAAGTCACTGTGTAGCAGATCTGTACTGATTAGTCTGAGAGATGGCAAAGTCACTGTGTAGCAGATCTGTACTGATTAGTCTGAGAGATGGCAAAGTCACTGTGTAGCAGATCTGTACTGATTAGTCTGAGAGATGGCAAAGTCACTGTGTAGCAGATCTGTACTGATTAGTCTGAGAGACCTCCTGCCAAAACTGTTTGTTTGTTATTAATTTTGACCATACATTCTCATCGAAATTTAGTTATGTGTCCATCTATTTAAAGATATCCTTTGCTGTGTTTTTATCACAATGTGACTTTTTGGTATCATTGCAGTATATGATGACAAAGGAGACAAGAGGAAGAGCTGTTATTGTAAACAATTTTAATTTTGCTGGAAAAAAAAACAGAGATGGTTCTGACATGGATGTCAGGCTTCTCAGTAACACATTGGCACAGTTACACTTTGATGTGAAAGTTCATCAGGATTTAACTGCAGAGGTAAGCCCCAGCCAAACACTAGACAGTTTTGACAACAGATCACAATTTAAATTTCACTACATGTACGACCAATCAATACAGAGATATGAACTGTTATATGGATTTATTTGTTTAAGTTTTAAAATGTACTTGAACACATATTCATGAGATGGTTATATGTTGAAGTAATTGAAACAATTCTTCATCTATGTAGAATGATCTTGTACCAGTTTTCTTTCAATATGGTATGTGTAAATGAAGACCTTTAGCACTCTGTGACAAGAGAATATCTCTCTTCTGTGGGTAAATATAGGATTCAAGTGTTAGTCACTGAAAGCATCTTATTGATCTGTTTTTGTACAAGTGTCTAGTTTGTCAAGATTTTTAGTGTGTACAAGTTCTTTGTTTGTAAAGGTTTCCAGTCTATCAGTGTCTTTTAGTTTTATAGAATTTTTTGGCGAACACAAATTTTTTATTTGTACAAGTTTCTAAATTAATGAAATGGTTTTCACTTGGTTTGTGGAAGATTTTGATTCTCACAGGTTTCTGGTCTGTACAAGTTTCTAGCTTTTAGAGATTTCTCTTTCATATAGGTTGTACAATTGTACAAGTTTCTTGTCTTTGAGGTGACTGGTTTAGACAAGTTTCTAGCTTGTTGAGGTTTGTGATTCACACAGATTTCTGGTTTGTGCAAGTTTCTAGTTTTTCAGGTGTCTGGTTGTAAAAGTTTCTACTCTTTGAGGTGTTTTGTTTGTGCAAGGTTCTAGTTTTTCAAGTGTCTGGTTTACACAAGTGTCTGGTTTGTAGAGGTTTTTGATGCATATACATTTCTGGTTTGTACAAGTTTGGAGTTTTTGAGATGTCTGGTTGTAAAAGTTTCTATTTTTTGAAGTGTTTGCACAGGTTTCTGGTTTGAACAGGTTTCTCACTTTTAAGGTGTCTGGTTTATACAGACGTCTGGTAAGTAACAAAGTCTTGTTTGGAGAGGTTTCTGGTTTGAACAGGTTTCTCACTTTTAAGGTGTCTGGTTTATACAGACGTCTGGTAAGTAACAAAGTCTTGTTTGCACAGGTTTCTGGTTTGAACAGGTTTCTCACTTTTAAGGTGTCTGGTTTATACAGACTTCTGGTAAGTAACAAAGTCTTGTTTGCACAGGTTTCTCACTTTTAAGGTGTCTGGTTTATACAGACTTCTGGTAAGTAACAAAGTCTTGTTTGGACAGGTTTCTGGTTTGAACAGGTTTCTCACTTTTAAGGTGTCTGGTTTATACAGACGTCTGGTAAGTAACAAAGTCTTGTTTGGACAGGTTTCTCACTTTTAAGGTGTCTGGTTTATACAGACGTCTGGTTTATACAGACGTCTGGTAAGTAACAAAGTCTTGTTTGAACAGGTTTCTCACTTTTAAGGTGTCTGGTTTATACAGACTTCTGGTAAGTAACAAAGTCTTGTTTGGACAGGTTTCTGGTTTGAACAGGTTTCTCACTTTTAAGGTGTCTGGTTTATACAGACGTCTGGTAAGTAACAAAGTCTTGTTTGGACAGGTTTCTGGTTTGAACAGGTTTCTCACTTTTAAGGTGTCTGGTTTATACAGACGTCTGGTAAGTAACAAAGTCTTGTTTGAACAGGTTTCTCACTTTTAAGGTGTCTGGTTTATACAGACTTCTGGTAAGTAACAAAGTCTTGTTTGGACAGGTTTCTCACTTTTAAGTGTCTGGTTTATACAGACGTCTGGTAAGTAAGAAAGTCTTGTTTGGACAGGTTTCTGGTTTGAACAGGTTTCTCACTTTTAAGGTGTCTGGTTTATACAAAGTCTTGTTTGCACAGGTTTCTGGTGTCTGGTTTATACAGTAAGAAAGTCTTGTTTGGACAGGTTTCTGGTTTGAACAGGTTTCTCACTTTTAAGGTGTCTGGTTTATACAGACTTCTGGTAAGTAACAAAGTCTTGTTTGGAGAGGTTTCTCACTTTTAAGGTGTCTGGTTTATACAGACGTCTGGTAAGTAACAAAGTCTTGTTTGCACAGGTTTCTGGTTTGAACAGGTTTCTCACTTTTAAGGTGTCTGGTTTATACAGACTTCTGGTAAGTAACAAAGTCTTGTTTGCACAGGTTTCTGGTTTGAACAGGTTTCTCACTTTTAAGGTGTCTGGTTTATACAGACGTCTGGTAAGTAACAAAGTCTTGTTTGCACAGGTTTCTGGTTTGAACAGGTTTCTCACTTTTAAGGTGTCTGGTTTATACAGACTTCTGGTAAGTAACAAAGTCTTGTTTGGACAGGTTTCTGGTTTGAACAGGTTTCTAAATTGTATTTATTGGTTTCAGGTTTTACAGAATTCTGGTTTTATTCATGCATATGTTATATATACCGGTGCCATTTGCACCACATTTCAAGTTTATAGGTCTCTATTGCCATTGTTCTTTGTCCATCGTCATGTGTCATCTGCTACGTTTTCACATTTTCAGCTGTTTCTTGTGGATCAAACTACACCTAGTCAATAGCATCGATACCTAAAGGAGCATCAAACTGCCATTTTTCTCCAAACCTGCCACCTTTTTGTATTAAACACATACATTTGAAACATTATTTTTTGTGTTGCATTTAACATCACTTTCTTACCAAATGCATTGTCCGAGTGCTGCATGCAGGTTATGTATGGGTATACCAGTTTTAGTTTTGAAGGAAATTCAACTACGTTATGAAAGAGTACAGACCTGTAGACATTAGGATTTGAACTCTGTACCGCTCAAACTCAGGTGACTATTGAGTTCACTGGACCATAATTTTGTATTACATCTAATCATTGAAATTGATTTTATAGCAAATTAAGACAGAACTCGAGAGAGAAAGTCGCTTAGAAGATCACAAGTCTGCACAGTGTTTTATCCTGGTTGTAATGAGCCATGGCACAGCTGATGGGGTAGAAGGCACCAAAGAAGAGGTTGTCCCATTTCAAGAGTTTGCCATTATTTTCAACCCTGACAACTGTCCAGCACTCAGAGACAAGCCAAAGCTTTTCTTCTTCCAGTCATGTCGTAGAAAAGGTAAAACTGAAAGATGTTAAACACTTTCTACAATTACGGTACACAAAGTAATAATTATTTTTAAATATGAAGATGTGTATGAATTCAACATTTGTGTGACATGTAGATTCTCATGAATCTGTATAGATTAGGGAATCTCACTCATTTGAATAGCACAAATTCATTTTTTTTGTCATTAGAATTCATGGGAATTATTTTTCTCAATTTAGATGTTCTCTTAATAAATCAAAAATTTAAAATCATTTAGGTAACAGTTTCTAACTTGCTGTATTGATCCTGTGATAAGATCAGAGGAACAATATATTACTTGGCTCATTGTGAGGGATTTGGCTAATGGTAAGGCCATTGAAACATCATTAGTATGTAATTCTACTGAACAGAGATAGGTACACTTGAAATTATTACCACATTTAGGCTTATTGGAGGATGAATATGCTGCATATATATGTATACATGTTAGGAACTTTGTGTTATATATTGTTTAATAGGTGTAAGATGGTGAGTAGCCCCCAGGATTAGGTTTATACAACAGAAATATATACAGTGTATCTCTGAAGGCAGTCTAACTCTTTAAGTACATTTGAATCAGATCTTACCACGCACGGATCTAAAGCATATCACACCCCTTGAAGTATTTTTTCCACACTAGTGATATGAGAAATAAATAAATGACATCAAATCTCTTACCAAAAGAGTAATTAGTTGAATTTTTTGTAAAGTCAATGTAGTGATAATTCTCATCTTCATTTGTTATAAATAACTACTCACCTGGTATCTGCATTGTGATTAAAAGTTAGCTCCTGGAAACTAAAATGATATATTTGATGAAGAGAGTGGTTAATTAAGGTTTATTGTTGATTGATAAAGGACCAGGCATTTCCATTGATCCCAACCCTCGGAGAATGAAAGAAGCGATGAACAACAAAGATTTCCTGTTTGCTTTTGCAACAGTACAAGGTATGTAGATAAGGTCACTCCATAGTAGAGGGTATGTAGATAAGGTCACTCCATATAGAAGGTATGTAGATAAGGTTACTTCAAAGTAGAGGGTATGTAGATACGGTCACTCCAAAGTAGAGGGTATGTAGATACGGTCACTCCAAAGTAGAGGGTATGTAGATAAGGTTACTCCAAAGTAGAGGGTATGTAGATAAGGTCACTCCAAAGTACAAGGTATGTAGATACGGTCACTTCACAGTAGAGGGTATGTAGTTACAGTCACTCCACAGTAGAGGATATGTAGTTACAGGCACTTCACAGTAGAGGGTATGTAGTTACAGTCACTTCACAGTAGAGGGTATGTAGTTACAGTCACTCCACAGTAGAGGGTATGTAGTTAGGGTCACTCCACAGTAGAGGGTATGTAGTTACAGTCACTCCACAGTAGAGGGTATGTAGTTACAGTCACTCCACAGTAGAGGGTATGTAGTTACAGTCACTCCACAGTAGAGGGTATGTAGTTACAGTCACTCCACAGTAGAGGGTATGTAGTTATGTAGTTACAGTCACTCCACAGTAGTCACTCCACAGTAGAGGGTATGTAGTTACAGTCACTCCACAGTAGAGGGTATGTAGTTACACTCACAGTCACTCCACAGTAGAGGGTATGTAGTTACAGTCACTCCACAGTAGAGGGTATGTAGTTACAGTCACTCCACAGTAGAGGGTATGTAGTTACAGTCACTCCACAGTAGAGGGTATGTAGTTACAGTCACTCCACAGTAGAGGGTATGTAGTTAGGGTCACTCCACAGTAGAGGGTATGTAGTTACAGTCACTCCACAGTAGAGGGTATGTAGTTAGGGTCACTCCACAGTAGAGGGTATGTAGTTAGGGTCACTCCACAGTAGAGGGTATGTAGTTACAGTCACTCCACAGTAGAGGGTATGTAGTTAGAGTCACTCCACAGTAGAGGGTATGTAGTTACAGTCACTCCACAGTAGAGGGTATGTAGTTACAGTCACTCCACAGTAGAGGGTATGTAGTTAGGGTCACTCCACAGTAGAGGGTATGTAGTTACAGTCACTCCACAGTAGAGGGTATGTAGTTACTCCACAGTCACTCACACAGTAGAGGGTATGTACTCCACAGTATACAGTAGAGGGTATGTAGTTACAGTCACTCCACAGTAGAGGGTATGTAGTTACAGTCACTCCAACGTAGAGGGTATGTAGTTACAGTCACTCCACAGTAGAGGGTATGTAGTTACAGTCACTCCACAGTAGAGGGTATGTAGTTACAGTCACTCCACAGTAGAGGGTATGTAGTTACAGTCACTCCACAGTAGAGGGTATGTAGTTACAGTCACTCCACAGTAGAGGGTATGTAGTTACAGTCACTCCACAGTAGAGGGTATGTAGTTACAGTCACTCCACAGTAGAGGGTATGTAGTTACACTCCACAGTAGAGGGTATGTACTCCACAGTAGAGGGTATGTAGTTACAGTCACTCCACAGTAGAGGGTATGTAGTTACAGTCACTCCACAGTAGAGGGTATGTAGTTACAGTCACTCCACAGTAGAGGGTATGTAGTTACAGTCACTCCACAGTAGAGGGTATGTAGTTACAGTCACTCCACAGTAGAGGGTATGTAGTTACAGTCACTACACAGTAGAGGGTATGTAGTTACAGTCACTCCACAGTAGAGGGTATGTAGTTACAGTCACTCCACAGTAGAGGGTATGTAGTTACAGTCACTCCACAGTAGAGGGTATGTAGTTACAGTCACTCCACAGTAGAGGGTATGTAGTTACAGTCACTCCACAGTAGAGGGTATGTAGTTAGGGTCACTCCACAGTAGAGGGTATGTAGTTACAGTCACTCCACAGTCACTCCACAGTAGAGGGTATGTAGTTACAGTCACTCCACAGTAGAGGGTATGTACGATTATCTGTCACTATAGTTTTAGATTGACATTTATCATGTCCCTTTTTCAGGTAAATGCACTGGTTTCTGAAATGGAAGAGGATGGCCAGAGTGGCTTCTTTGTACCAGAATACAGGGGAAGTCTGGTGAAAAATGTCCATTTCTTTCCTGGTGTGTTTGGAGAACAAAGCAATCCTTTGAAAAATGAGAAAGTAGGAAAGATTGTTTACTCACAGTAAAGAAACTGAATTCCACTAACTAGTGATGATAAAACATGGTCATCATTGATTTGAGGCCCAGTGACATACAGCCTCTCCTCCTTTGTAGTTTTTTCAAATATTGTTTCATTTATTATCATTCTAGAAATTGGAACATAGAAAATATTTTTTTTAAGTAAACTCTGTAAAGTGAAATAGGTCATAATGTTATATAACAAATAACTGTAAGACAGAATTTTCGTACTATAGGTAGGTCACAATGTTATATAAGGTTAAACCCATGACTGTAGTGTGAAATGGGTTAGAGTGGCCTACTTGATGGTAAAGTACATATTTAGATATATGGTACATGTATCATTGTTTTGAGAGTTTGATGACTCAAAATATAGTCACAAAAAAAGAGAATTTTTAATGAAAACATCATCCAGACAGATCATTGGATAAAGAAATCCAATCTGGATGATATCAAAGCTTTACTTTGAACTGACCTTCAAACTTTCATGCTTTATTTTCAAATCTTATGCATAATTTGACCTTATAACTTTGACCTCTGATACACATGTCAGCCATGGTGTTTTACTTTGTATGCCTTTTGATATGGGAGAAATTAAATTATGTTTGTAAATGATGTAAAATGTAACTTAAACTTTGACCTCAACAGGTGTTTGTTGGCTGGGTTTATTGCTCTGTAAACAGACATTTTGAGGCAGGTTCTCTTATAGTTGCTGATGGCTGCCCCTCTGAACATTATACGGGAGGCTGCCACATGCCATCAGAGCCACAACCACAGCAGCACAGGACAGTCTGTGGTTCAGTTTCCAAATAAACACAATCAGCCCTAAACAGGGATAAAACAGCAAACCCCGGGTTCTCAAAGTTGCAAATTCACCCTCAAATTACTTTTGACCTTCATATTTGATTGTGCAACATGCACCTTTAATGTAAGTACATTCCAGTTATTTTCAGCAAGATGAAATGATAACTCAAACAATTTCCCTTGGCTCTTTCAATCTTTCCTACCTACTTTTATAGCTTTTGTGGAGCTTCTTTGGTCAAATCTTGCTCCCAAGCTTGAGAGATACTGATTTATATAATTTCAAAACCTTTTAAAGGTGTGAAAATTTTGCACAAAGATAATGGAAGAGAAAAGGCAAACCACCCCTTGCATATGACTGACGGGGTATCATATGCTAAGTCAGCATAAGGACAAAGTTAACTTTACGTCAGAAGATCTTGGTTTAAATATTGGCAGCCAGGGCAACTTTAACTTCACATCAGACCTTGGTTTAAATATTGGCAGCCAGGGTAACTTTAACTTTACGTCAGATCTTGGTTTAAATATTGGCAGCCAGGGTAACTTTAGCTGGGCCTTAGAAATATTTGTATTTTTTATCTTCTGCATTCTTTGATAAAACCATCACATTGACTTCTGTGTACAAACAGTAAGAACGGCATCCTTGAGAAGTTACATCTGTTTAAGATTGGTCTTTGCAAAAGAAATGTATATGTATTCCTGTTAATGATTGGATTACTAAACACTGTCTTAGCCTAGCTGCATTCCTCATCCGTATACACCAAGTTCTGATGGTAATACAGAAGGATGTTCAGTCTTCTATTTTGTACATCAATGAATTATTGTAGCAAATTAATGGTCATTACGTAATAGCATTACCATAATATTTAAAATTGATGATCCATATTACACAATGTTTGATGATTATGTGACATTAATAGTGGTGTTGGGTGTTGTATGGAACGGCCTGCTGAGAGGTGTTGAAACACATACTCTCGAGTACAGGTCGTTTAAGGGCAGACATCTGGGAGCTTGCAACTTTACAGCTATGACCAAACATTTAAAGTCACAAACAGGATGTGTAATGATGCAGGTCATGTAAGCGTTCACTAGCCTATGGTCACTTGTGGTCAATGGGTGCCCGCAGGTCGGCCCGACAAGGAAATGTCCGGAGAGAAAGTCCTGATGTGTTATTGAGGAATGACTAGCTGTTCGTCTCTGCTCCATTATTTGAGTGGTGATAACGAGAGTGTATTGTTTGCTGTAACCACCAGTATAGTATATTGATAAAGAAAATGTTTACTGATTGAAACCTAGACTTTCTGCTCTGTATAAACAACCACCAAACTAACATACTAACAGGGACTAGAGCCAACGAACCAATAAATGAATTAACAACTTACCCCGAGTTTGTTGCGATTGATATCTGTCTTTGTCTTTGTAAACGACCTACAAAGGTATATTCTCATCAGTTCATCAAACACTTGACTGTCAGGCAAAACCACCACACACTGTATGATCTATATACATGTACCTGACAACAACAGAGATAACAATGACAACATTGACTTAAAAATCAACTTTATTGGAAATGTAAAAAACATAAGGAATATTGTTCAACAAGAGTAAAAATTCAACAAACGGTACATGGTAATGTGTAGATTTTAACATGCTGTGGAAATATTTTGGAGTCTGGAAAACTCCAATAGGTCTTATTAAAACCACACAGTAACAAGTGTAAATGGTATATTGATATGTATCAAAAGGAAAAAAAATACAACTTATGCTCCTTGCTCTCCTACCCTCCCACTCAATTTATTGTGCAAGGAACCCAAACTGAAGTTCTTGGATAAATACTTATTAGGCATTGTAACTGTACTTCTTTGACTTATCAGGGTTTTTTTCATTCAAAAAATCCTTTACAACTAAAACCTTGTCAAAATACTGCACACCATATACTGCATAGGTTGTTTATTATCCATGTTCCAAATTGTCCTGGTCCTACCAAAAAAAAAAATTGTACAAAAGGGATGTATTTTTCAAGGATGCTGTGAATTGAAGACTTTTTTAAAATGCATCTCTCGTTTGTTTTCTTTTTTTGCTTGTTTTTTCCCATATCACTTTTCATTCTAGTACCATGGCACTATCAGGTGAGGGAAAATGTAATTTTTTGATAGTTTTATCCCATTCATGAAATATCAAAAGAAAGAGTAATCTACATAATTAAAAAGGATTTCTATAACCTGCAGTTGTGAGTGTTGTTATATTGTCCATGATAATAAAAGCAAATTAAAGGTATCTTTATCTGGAAATATAATATAGAGCTAGGTTACTTGTATCTTGACAATAAGTTCTGTATACTCTATTAATACTTCATCTAACTTATAATAACAGATGTCCATAAAGCATTGTGATCTTATCAATGAACCATTCCTTCATTCAAAAACATGAAATATTTTCAGAATTGCTGTTTGAAAATTATTGAATATAAAAATATACTTGTATCTATGACAAATCTTAACAAAATATTATATCAGTTTTAAATTCATATGAATTCAATGAAACATAACATTCATTTGTTATTAAGATTCTCTGTAAAATTTTGATTCCAACTGGATCAGAAATATATTCATTAAATCATTAACTGTGGCCAACAATATCCTCTTATAGTAAAGTATATACAGAGGTATCAATAACTGTGGCCACCTATACAGAGGTATCAATAACTGTGGCCACCAATATCCTCTTATAGTAAAGTATATACAGAGATATCAATAGCCTGGGCCACCAATATCCTCTTATAGTAAAGTATATACAGAGGTATCAATAACTGTGGCCACCAATATCCTCTTATAGTAAAGTATATACAGATGTATCAATAACTGTGGCCACCAATATCCTCTTATAGTAAAGTATATACAGAGGTATCAATAACTGTGGCCACCAATATCCTGTTATTGTAAAGGATATACAGAGGTATCAATAACTGTGGCCACCAATATCCTCTTATAGTCAAGTATATACAGAGGTATCAATAAATGTGGCCACCAATATTCTCTTATAGTAAAGTATATACAGAGGTATCAATAACTGTGGCCACCAATATCCTCTTATAGTAAAGTATATACAGAGGTATCAATAACTGTGGCCACCAATATCCTCTTATAGTAAAGTATATACAGAGGTATCAATAACTGTGGCCACCAATATCCTCTTATAGTAAAGTATATACAGAGGTATCAATAACTGTGGCCACCAATATCCTCTTATAGTAAAGTATATACAGAGGTATCAATAACTGTGGCCACCAATATCCTCTTATAGTAAAGTATATACAGAGGTATCAATAACTGTGGCCACCAATATCCTCTTATAGTAAAGTATATACAGAGGTATCAATAACTGTGGCCACCAATATCCTGTTATTGTAAAGGATATACAGAGGTATCAATAACTGTGGCCACCAATATCCTCTTGTAGTAAAGTATATACAGAGGCATCAATAACTGTGGCCACCAATATCCTGTTACTGTAAAGGATATACAGAGGTATCAATAACTGTGGCCACCAATATCCTCTTATAGTAAAGTATATACAGAGGTATCAATAACTGTGGCCACCAATATCCCGTTATTGTAAAGTATATACAGAGGTATCAATAACTGTGGCCACCAATATCCTCTTATAGTAAAGTATATACAGAGGTATCAATAACTGTGGCCACCAATATCCTCTTATAGTAAAGTATATACAGAGGTATCAATAACTGTGGCCACCAATATCCCGTTATTGTAAAGGATATACAGAGGTATCAATAACTGTGGCCACCAATATCCTCTTATAGTAAAGTATATACAGAGGTATCAATAACTGTGGCCACCAATATCCCATTATTGTAAAGGATATACAGAGGTATCAATAACTGTGGCCACCAATATCCTCTTATAGTAAAGTGGATAATATCCTGATACATTTTATAATCAACCCTTGAACCATCCTTAAATAGATTTGGTTCATTTACACACCACGGTATCATTACATCAACATCTTCATCTTATTAGATTATGTTTGGTTAAGTCAATTTTTAACGGTCAAAGATGACACTTATCATATTTAAAATTAAAAATCAGGGTGTAGGGTAAATTTATGTGAGCCTTGTCACCTGCAGGTACTTATTTTAACATGAATATGCTTTTGTGAAAGTTTTAATTTCATTTTGTGAAATCGCTTCTGTGGATAATTTATACCCTTAACACATTATTTTTATCCCCAGTACAAAGTTTCAATGAACTAATAAGTATTAAGATACATATTATAACTGGCAAAACATTAATAAATCACGATAGATTCAAATAAGTAAAACAAAATTACTTCCTGGTCATAACATTGTTCATAAGAGGTAAAAGTTAAAGCACCAATTCCATTTCACACACAGAAAAATGGAAAACTCACTATCACAGCATATTCAATCAATCCTGTCATTCTAAACACTGGAATTTGATGTGCTGTACATGTAATAGTCTCTCTGTATTTGACACATATGCTATGCTATTTGATGTAGAAAATAAAGTCAGGTCACATGTGCCATATATAGAGAGAATACCAACGAAGTGTATTACAAATAATGTATTATATTGAAACATCAAAATCCCACCATTTGAATTCAACAAGTCCAATTAAAAAAAAACACAATTGCACTTTGCTAGCTTATTTGTTAAAAGTTCTTCTTTAAAGACACAAAAATGAAGATCTCCAAATGTGTGCTTTACATTCTGAGATCTCCAAATGTGTGCTTTACATTTTGAGATCTCCAAATGTGTGCATTACATTTTGAGATCTCCAAATGTGTGCTTTACATTTTGAGATCTTCAAATGTGTGCTTTACATTTTGAGATCTCCAAATGTGTGCTTTACATTTTGAAATCTCTAACAAGATCAAATATTTATTTTGTTCTCAAAACTTGAACAAACATTAGGTGCCATTTAAAGAATAAGAGGCCCAAAGTAAATCCCACATCTGGTATTCTCCACTTTTTACAGCATGCAAGATTTCGTACCATTGCTCTTAATTCAAAGCAGTTAAAAATCAAACTAGTCTATATCAGTTTAAAAACTATCAAGTTTATAACACTCTAGCCAAAGGCTTACATAATTCATCGAGACTGATGTTTCATTTTTCTTAAAGACAAATTTAACCCTAATAACTTTGGGTTACGGTGGTTCCTTTTCTCAAACTTTATTAAGCTTCATCCTAGGAATCTTTCTACCAGCCAAATATCATGATTCAATTCATTCCGAAGTTGTTTGAGTGTTTCAACAAATTTTTCAACAAAAACTCACTTGGTCTCTAAAGCCAGATGAGCTAATGTTAACACAGATAACTGATGAGTCTACACATAGGTCAACTCACAATAATGTCTGCTCACAGACAACTGATGGGTCTACATATAGGTTAACTCACAATAATGTCTGCTCACAGACAACTGATGGGTCTATATATAGGTCAACTCACAATAATGTCTGCTCACAGACAACTGATGAGTCTACATTTAAGTCAACTCACAATAATGTCTGCTCACAGACAACTGATGGGTCTACATATAGGTTAACTCACAATAATGTCTGCTCACAGACAACTGATGGGTCTATATATAGGTCAACTCACAATAATGTCTGCTTACAGACAACTGATGAGTCTACATAAAGGTCAACTCACAATAATGTCTGCTCACAGACAACTGATGAGTCTACATATAAGTCAACTGACAATAATGTCTGCTCACAGACAACTGATGGGTCTACATATAGGTTAACTCACAATAATGTCTGCTCACAGACAACTGATGGGTCTATATATAGGTTAACTCACAATAATGTCTGCTTACAGACAACTGATGAGTCTACATAAAGGTCAACTCACAATAATGTCTGCTCACAGACAACTGATGAGTCTACATATAAGTCAACTCACAATAATGTCTGCTCACAGACAACTGATGGGTCTACATATAGGTTAACTCACAATAATGTCTGCTCACAGACAACTGATGGGTCTATATATAGGTTAACTCACAATAATGTCTGCTTACAGACAACTGATGAGTCTACATAAAGGTTAACTCACAATAATGTCTGCTCACAGACAACTGATGGGTCTATATATAGGTTAACTCACAATAATGTCTGCTCACAGACAATTAATGGGTCTACATATAGGTCAACTGACAATACTGTCAACTGAACTCCCTGATGACTGATTAATCTACATGAAGGTCAACTGACAACACTGTCAAACGAATGACAACTAATAGGTCTACATATAGGTTAATTGACAATACTGAACCCATTGACAACTGATGGGTCTACATATAGGTTAATTGACAACACTGTCAACTCATTGACAACTGATGGGTCTACATATAGGTCAACAGACAACACTGTGAACTCACTGACAACTGACTGGTCTACATATAGGTCAACTGACAACACTGTCAAACGAATGACAACTAATAGGTCTACATATAGGTTAATTGACAACACTGAACTCATTGACAACTGATGGGTCTACATATAGGTCAATTGACAACATTGAATTCATTGACAACTAATGGGTCTACATATAGGTTAATTGACAACACTGTCAACCCATTGACAACTGATGGGTCTACATATAGGTCAGCTGACAACACTGAATTCATTGACAACTAATGGGTCTACATATAGGTTAATTGACAACACTGTCAACTCATTGACAACTGGTGGGTCTACATATAGGTCAACAGACAACACTGTGAACTCACTGACAACTGATGGGTCTACATATAGGTCAATTGACAACATTGAATTCATTGACAACTAATGGGTCTACATATAGGTTAATTGACAACACTGTCAACCCATTGACAACTGATGGGTCTACATATAGGTCAACTGACAACACTGAATTCATTGACAACTAATGGGTCTACATATAGGTTAATTGACAACACTGTCAAATCATTGACAACTGGTGGGTCTACATATAGGTCAACAGACAACACTGTGAACTCACTGACAACTGATGGGTCTACATATAGGTCAATTGACAACACTGTCAACTCATGACAATTGATTGATCTATATATAGGTAAACAGACAACACTGTCAAATTGTTGACAATTGATCTGCAGTCTACAAATAGGTCAATTGAAGGTTTTTAAGCATATACTTTAATATGCAGAGTGCTTTATGTTTTCCTTATAATTTAGAAAAAAAAAAAAAAAAAAAGGTAACAATATAAAAGAGTTCCAAACTATCCATTAGTAATTTCCTATGATGCTGGCTCCAGAAATATAAAATAACTGCGCCAACATTTTAAAATCTGAACAATACCAACATGTGGTTTAAGCCATGTGATAACAATCAATGACATCGACATACCAAGAGTTTTATTTATGATCCAGATAATCAAAACCCTTGTTACTTTTCATCTAACATGTCTGGAATAGGTAGGAGATGGAAATTAAGCACAGAGATTCCATTGACAAATTCAGACCTACAACAGAATTCTTCTTTTATGATATCATACCACTCCAGAACATGATTGACCAATGGAGCAGAGAAGCGGTACAACCTTCCCCTATGTGCAACAGCATTGCTGACAGCCTCTCCATATCTAAACTGTCCAACAGTCGTCAGGGTTTGTGTACCCAGATCGAAACGCACCAGATCTTTGTGGTAGCGGGAAATAATGAAGACGCAGTCCTTACTGGGTATGTAGATAGCACTGGAGGGTACTAGTTTCCTGATGCTGTATATAGAGGATGCCACCTTGGTCCAGTGGTCTGATCCTAAGTCGTAGTAAAAGGCATGAGATTTGAAGGCATATATCCGGTTTGATGATGTAGCACATGCAGCGATCAAAAACGATTCTTCTGGCATTGGTGGTAAATCCTTCCATTCTCCTGAAAAATGAAACAAAAAAATGATAATATATCTTATTTATGAGTGACCTTAATTTAGCAACACTGTCAATATGAAATATATATAGTAATCAATTCAACTGAATTAAAATACAGAAGTACAAAATAGAAAAGTTCCATACTCGACATCCAATAGTATGTTTCATAGATTCAAAGGAAGATTAGTTTTTCTATAATTTTTACCCACCAAGTCTTTACTGTTTAAATCATTCAGAGATTCTTGACTGAAATTTTGTCAATATAATCAGATTTCATGCATACCAAATAATTCACATAATTGCCTTCATCTTAATAAGACTTTTTCAAAATACATAAATGGAGTATCACAAGAATTTATTTATAAGTGTGTGAGGTTCGATCAAAATCCTGTAAGAAATGATCAACATCCTGTGAAGAATGATTAACATCCTGTAAGAAGTTATCAACATCCTGTTAGGAATAATGAACATCCTGTAAGAAGTTATCAACATCCTGTTAGGAATAATGAACATCCTGTAAGAAGTGGTCAACATCCTGTTAGGAATAATGAACATCCTGTAAGAAGTGGTCAACATCCTGTAAGAAGTTATCAACATCCTGTTAGGAATAATCAACATCCTGTAAGAAGTGATCAACATCCTGTAAGAAGTGATCAACATCCTGTTAGGAATAATGAACATCCTGTAAGAAGTGATCAACATCCTGTAAGAAGTGATCAACATCCTGTTAGGAATAATGAACATCCTGTAAGAAGTGATCAACATCCTGTTAGGAATAATGAACATCCTGTAAGAAGTGATCAACATCCTGTTAGGAATAATCAACATCCTGTAAGAAGTGATCAACATCCTGTAAGAAGTGATCAACATCCTGTAAGAAGTTATCAACATCCTGTTAGGAATAATCAACATCCTGTAAGAAGTGATCAACATCCTGTTAGGAATAATGAACATCCTGTAAGAAGTGATCAACATCCTGTAAGAAGTGATCAACATCCTGTTAGGAATAATGAACATTCTGTAAGAAGTGGTCAACATCCTGTAAGAAGTGATCAACATCCTGTAAGAAGTGATCAACATCCTGTAAGAAGTGATCAACGTCCTGTTAGGAATAATGAACATCCTGTAAGAAGTGATCACCATCCTGTAAGAAGTTATCAACATCCTGTTAGGAATAATGAACATCCTGTAAGAAGTTATCAACATCCTGTTAGGAATAATGAACATCCTGTAAAAAGTGATCAACATCCTGTTAGGAATAATCAACATCCTGTTAGGAATAATCAATATCCTGTAAGAAGTTATCAACATCCTGTTAGGAATAATCAACATCCTGTTAGGAATAATCAATATCCTGTAAGAAGTGATCAACATCCTGTTAGGAATAATGAACATCCTGTAAGAAGTGATCAACATAGTGATCAACATCCTGTAAGAAGTGGTCAACATCCTGTAAGAAGTGATCAACATCCTGTTAGGAATAATCAACATCCTGTAAGAAGTGATCAACATCCTGTTAGGAATAATGAACATCCTGTAAGAAGTGATCAACATAGTGAAGTGATGTAGTAGTGATCAACATCCTGTAAGAAGTGATCAACATCCTGTAAGAAGTGATCAACATCCTGTAAGAAGTTATCAACATCCTGTTAGGAATAATGAACATCCTGTAAGAAGTTATCAACATCCTGTTAGGAATAATGAACATTCTGTAAGAAGTGGTCAACATCCTGTAAGAAGTGATCAACATCCTGTAAGAAGTGATCAACATCCTGTAAGAAGTAATCAACATCCTGTAAGAAGTGATCAACATCCTGTAAGAAGTAATCAACATCCTGTAAGAAGTGATCAACATCCTGTAAGAAGTGATCAACATCCTGTAAGAAGTGATCAACATCCTGTAAGAAGTTATCAACATCCTGTAAGAAGTAATCAACATCCTGTAAGAAGTGATCAACATCCTGTAAGAAATAATGGCACTATAGCACTAATCAGAATTTTCTTAAAATACCTCATATGACCTTGACTCAGCATCCCTGAAATTTAAACTTATTCGAGACCTATTACTGCTTTATAACGGAGTAAATTTTGATGAATATCCCACACAGAGGCAAGATGTTAGAGTACTTACAATGATTTTCTAGATATAGTAAGTGACATTGACCCTCACCTAACAACACTTAACTACAACTTGTCCGAGATATTATAGTCATTTGTGTGTGAGGTCTAATTAAAATGTAATAAGGAATAAAGAGAGCTTACCAAGACTTTCTAAAAAATAATAACAGTAATCATGACCAAACAACCCTAAAACTGAATCTAGTGCAAGATATTATGATGCTTTATGAATGTGTGAAGCTTGATAAGAATCCCTTGAGAAATGAAGCAACCAGAGCACTGACAATAATTTCCTAAAAATAGTAACAGTGACCTTGACCCAACAACCCTGAAACTTGAACTTGTCCAAGATATTTGATGCTTGTTAAGCATGTTAAGTGTGATGAAAATCTCTCAAGAATGGAGCAACAGATGGATGAAGAGAAAAAACAATAACATCCCCTCCTCCCATCGATTCCAGTTTGTATGGGATACATGTATATGAAATTTGTTATTTATCATTTCATAAATGGAGACTCCTGTAGGATCCTATATGGGTATGTACACAATGTAAACTATTGTCAGGTGGAAGGATACCCCAGCTAGATGTCACTAAAATCTATAAAGTTGAATCGTACCTGTTTTGATATTAAACTCTTCACAGGTTTTCAGTTTCATACGATACTTCCCAAACCCCCCTAACAGGATAAGGGAATCGCCCACAGTGATCATAGTGTGATGTCGCCGTGGTGATCGAAGCTGAGTCACAACCTCCCAGACAGCAGTAAACGTGTCAAGTTTCCAAACATCCATCAGCCAACTGTTTCTGCCAGGGCCCAGAGAAGTCAAGCCTCCACTGACATATACATCCTTATCTGCAGACATAATAAAATCATATTTATTGATAACCTAAACACAGCAGTTAAGAAGACATTGTCTTTACCCTCACATACATTTTATATTTCAGTACATTTTCCTCAGTGACATACTGTATATATATATAAGTAGTTTTAAATAGAAAAAGTTATCACAGTATTGAAATACTACTATATAACTTCTTTGCTACTTTTGATCACATCTTTGTTCTGTACACTACATTTTTTCCCCTTTGAATTCGTTCTAATATATTGGGATATATTAGTAAGACATCTACTTGACCCCAGGGCTCTGAGTCCAAAATAAATCATTTTTATCTATGGTTTTGTTGTCTGTCTATTATTCTTAACATATTTAAAATTCAACCATTTAGATGTCAAATTTCAGTTCTGGTCTGGGATAGATAATTTACTGGAATAGCCAGCCCTTACTCTCAACAAAACCTGGAGTGGTGGGGTGGAACAAATGTTCAATAGAAATAGCCCTTACCCAAAAAATAAAACCTGGATTTCCTTGGTTAGATAGAGGTTTTACTTGAATAGCCATTATCTTTAAACAAAACCTGGATTTCTGGGTTTCCTGTCAGTGGAATAGGCCTTATGTCTAAACAACAAGAGGCCAAATAGACCTGCATCACCAATGTTCATCTAAAAAACAATCAATGTTCACAGCAAAACATTGTCCAAAAATGCTTCTGGTTTTTTTGGCTAATCAGATGTTGTTGTAAGGTGTTTATAAATTCTACTCCTGTGACCTGAATATGGGTCAAAGTGATTTCTTTTAGTAAACTTTGTCTGGTTTCATTTAAACAAACTACCACCCAAATATCATGGCCATTTCGCCCAAACAGCCAAGTGGGCTAAAAACTGGAATTCTGAAGATGGACAGAAGAGTGACTGAAATTGCTTTAGTTGTTGTTGAATTTATTGGCCTGATAACTGACAGATGAACAATATCTATAAGGTGCATCACAAGTTATCCACAGCAGTTGGTAAAGTGTCTGGCCAAAGGACACACCCATATCAGTACAGACTGTTATGCTGGCACATGTAAAGAACGTCAAACCACGCACCTTGGATTTTCACCTTAGATTATGTAGGACAATGTTCTAACCAATTGTACTGTTGCAGACCCTCCCCTGCCAAACAACAACATTAAATGGTAAATACTTTAAAGTGGCCAATTTTAAAAAGGTGTTGTCATTTCAGGTGTATTGTCTAACATTCTGATATCAGTGACTATACTCACCTAGTTGACACCAGTCAATTTATGTTTTAATTCAACAACAAGTAAGCTATTACCTTTATCTATTGTATACTTTGCTCACTACATTCCTCAACTGAAACATCCCAGCATCAATGAAATATAACTATTTTGTCATAAAAAATAATGGGATGATTAAAGTCATTTTACAAATGGCAATATAACATTTAATAGAAAAGGAATATTTCTAAAATTTCTTTGCATATGGAGACTGGAACCATTGTTAATCTTAGCAACAGTTTCACACACTCACTGGTAACACAGGCCTGTTGTATACCAGACTTACCACAAACACAGACACTATAGCCAGTTTCCTGTTGTATAACAGACTTGCTACAGACAGACACTATAGCCAGTTTTCCGTTTTATAACAGACTTACTACAGACACAGACACTATAGCCAGTTTCCTGTTGTGTAACAGACTTACCACACACACAGACACTATAGCCAGTTTTCTGTTGTATAACAGACTTACTACAGACACAGACACTATAGCCAGTTTTCTGTTGTATAACAGACTTACCACACACACAGACACTATAGCCAGTTTTCTGTTATATAACAGACTTACTACAGACACAGACACTATAGCCAGTTTCCTGTTGTATAACAGACTTACCACAGACACTATAGCCAGTTTTCTGTTGTATAACAGACTTACCACACACACAGACACTATAGCCAGTTTCCTGTTGTATAACAGACTTACCACAGACAGACACTATAGCCAGTTTTCTGTTGTATAACAGACTTACTACAGACACAGACACTATAGCCAGTTTTCTGTTGTATAACAGAATTACCACACACACAGACACTATAGACAGTTTTCTGTTGTATAACAGACTTACTACAGACACAGACAGTATAGCCAGTTTCCTGTTGTATAACAGACTTACCACACACACAGACAATATAGCCAGTTTCCTGTTGTATAACAGACTTACCACACACACAGACACTATAGCCAGTTTCCTGTTGTATAACAGACTTACCACACACACAGACACTATAGACAGTTTTCTGTTGTATAACAGACTTACTACAGACAGACACTATAGCCAGTTTTCTGTTGTATAACAGACTTACTACAGACACAGACACTATAGCCAGTTTCCTGTTGTATAACAGACTTACCACAGACACTATAGCCAGTTTCCTGTTGTATAACAGACTTACCACACACACTATAGCCAGTTTCCTGTTGTATAACAGACTTACCACACACACAGACACTATAGCCAGTTTCCTGTTGTATAACAGACTTACCACACACACAGACACTATAGCCAGTTTCCTGTTGTATAACAGATGGGTGATCCTGTTCATCCATCCCAACACTCTCAAAAGTACACGTTGTGTCAATGTCACTGAGTTTAAGGATTTTTGGTGGAGGTTCAACATCTGGTTCATCATCAGAGGCGTAAATATCATCATCATATGGGTCATCTTGTCCCCCAAGACTCCAAAGACAGTATGGAATTTGTCGATATTTCTGCAAACATTTAAGGTACATTGAGGTAACAAAGATATATTTAAATTATGTATTTTCTAGAATAAAAACAAAAGATTAAATCTGTTTCTGTGGTTCTTCTGTAAGCCATTATCTATTACAGAACATCTTGAAAAGTCAGGTGTCAGTATTTGCTCTATTTCCCATATTGAGTCTGCCCCTCTCACCCCAGGGGGCTGAGATCCATCTTCTATACAAACTTACTGAGAATGAATCGAGAATGACTATGCCATGTATAAAACCATATAAAATAGTTGAAGAAGACAGTCAAGAGGTATGTAATTATGTTGGATATATTCATGATATTTCTCAATGCTTACTTATTCACCAACTTCTTAATGTTCTATATCATCATTCATATTGGTTCACATACCTTTATCTCAGACGCTGCTGATGTATCCAAGTTATCAAACACATGCTGATAGTCTTGTATTAGTAATTTTTGCTTTAATGTAGAAATCTCTTCATCAGTTAGGGTTTCCTTTCGAATCAAGGGCAGTAACTCTTTCAAATGTGCTTTCCTTACTGTGATATCATGGGACACCCATTTTTCTATTGCGTTATAAACCTTCATTTCTGATTCGACAACTAGTTTCCTGTCCAGCAGAATCTGACACAGAAGATGTATATCTATATCTACGAAATTGGATGTGTGTACAACATCTGAAAAATACCACAGACTGTGTCGTTTGGCTTTGAGAAAAAGTTCTTCCAGTGCAAATGTGTGTGCCAGTGACAAGATTGCTAGACAATTGTCATCATTCAGCAAGTCCTCCATTAACTCACAGCACTGATTGATTACAAGCTTGATCTGAAAAATATCCAGTTTATTCCATATGAAAAATTGTGTTAGTGATACGACATGGCTAATTTGTACTTAAATAAGGTATAACCAGGTATTAGTATAAACAGTACACTGAGGGTATCAGTGGTAATTCTGCAATGACAAAACAGTGACTTCATCTTTTAATAAATTGATTAATTTTCCTGTTATTTAACTACCGAATTGGATATACAAGTATACTGTACAGCTATATAATCATAAGTCCACAAGTAACTTTGCTCTAAATGATTTAGTAACACAAAAAACTACTTCAAATTACAAACTGATAGAGCTATTTTTGTTCATTATGTTATTCCAAATAGTCTATACAAAATCTGAAAATATATAGTGTTACAACAAATCTACAAGGACCTATAATTATTAGTAAATTTGTAGCCCTGTATACTTAAATGTATCGCTAACAGATAACAGGCCAGGTTTCCAGACCTCTTGACAATGACATTGGGAGCCATTGTGAAGAACATCTGAAGGCTAATGGAAAGTAGGACAATCAAAGACTGCAGTGATAGACACATTTTATTACTGTACCTGAAACATGCATGCTGCCTCTGTGACAATGTGAACATTCTCCTGTGTCAAATCCAGTCTTCCGGTGACCAGAAAGTCCAAAATAATCCTCATGGCTTCTGGGTCAACCTGCTCCAAAGAAATACAGTTTGAGGTACTCTCTTTCATGTTACTGTCAAACATGGCTTTGAAATAATCACTAGTCCTAGACAACTTGTCTCTACTGCAGGCCATCTTCTCTCCCCCTACTATCAAAGTCAGGTCGGTATGGTCAAGACAATTCCCTTCTTCATCTTGCGCTGGTCTATTATTGCAGGTCACCTTTTCTCCAACAACTATCCGGTCATTAGTAGTATTGTCAGGATGATTTCCTTCCTTGTCCTCAATGGGTCTACAGCTGGTCTTCTTCTCTATCCCAACTACTGAAGAGAAGTCACGACTATTACATTTCTCATCTTCAATTGCTCTATTGCCTGTCATCATTTCCCCTCCAACTACCTGAGAGAGGTCAAGACTGTTGCCTTCCTCATCTTCAGCTGGTCTATTACAGGCCATCCGATCTAGATCAACTACCAGGTCAATATTAGTATTGTTGGGATGATTCCCTTCCTCATCTGTAGCTGGACTTATCCAGGTCAGATTCTCGTCTTCAGATGGACTAATCCAGGACATTGTTTCTCTTCTACCCGTCATGTTGAGGTAAGCAGGATGATTCTGTTCCACATCGTCAACTGGATTATTATTATTGACTTCCATAACTAAGGTCAAATCCACAAGTCTGCAAAATGAATTTATCAGTATAGAGTATGAACAATAAAAAATTGTCAATCTACTGCTATGAAATTGTTGCCATATTTTGTTCAAATGTCTGTGGAATCTTGTAGTTTATAGTTATCCATTTGAATAGAGCTTAAGAAAGTGAGACCAATTTTGGCAACAAATGTTTTTATCACAGCTTCCTTCTGTTGATAGAAATTCTTTGTTATGTCTGATTTTGGTTTCTTGTACTGAAACCAAAGGACATTAGACACAATTTCGGAACTTTTTTCTAAAACAGAAATTAAATGTTTCTTGGAGTTGTTTAAAAGCAAAGCAGGTGCTTGTGGGCATTCCAGTATACCCGGTTACCTATTTTCAGGCCTTCAAAGCATTCACTTCAACTTGATCAAAATTTTATTGAGCTGCGAGGTCATGTAACACTGTGATGTCACTGGTAACATGGTTGGGAGGATCTCTCATTTGAAGCAATAGGATGTAGGTTGTATTCTTACATTTTTAATGTGTTTTTCAACACTGACACGTCTAGCTAAAAGTGAACAAGACATATATAATTCCCTATCCATATCAGGCCATAAGTATGGATCACATAATACTCATCTTATAACTTGAAAATAAACTGAATGCTACATCAGTTTATCACAGGTAAAGGATAATTCAATAAGGATGCCACCTGTCAGTTCTCAAAGAGTAATTTGTACATGTAATATATATTATGTACATTAGTTTTGAAATACCAATAACCTAAATTGAGTTGTCATTTACCATGTTTGGGAAAATTAATTTCTTCTGTGGAAGTTTTATTTTGTGGAATAACGGTTTTATTTTATTGGAATGTATTATATACTTATGCTTTTATATCAATATAAAAGTAATTTAAAAAATGAGTACTACGTACCAACGGAATCAACATGCATTTGGCAGTTCACTACATATACTATGTACAAATAGAAACTATCATTATTATCAAATACTTATTTTTATGATAACTCCACATTTTGTGATTTCACACACTCTTCCACTACTTAACATGTTTCAGTAATTTGACTGATGATTTCCAAACAGCCAATTAACTAATGCAGATGTACCCAATTAGATATACTGAAATACTTAAACTGTATTCCTGAAAGAACACATAACTTGCCAGTTGCTTCAGCATTTCAGAAGCCTAACAGCAAAACATTCTTCAAGGAATTAAAGCTTTAAATAGTTTATATTCATAAAAAAAATTGTTCAATACAATTTCTTTCTTTTAAAAGCATACATTGCACTATCTGACATATTTATATCACACTACTCATGTAAATACTCTGTATATATGTGGTAAAAATAATTATCCAAATTTGAAAGAAAAGTTCATATTTGATCTATTAGCTATTTGTAAATTCCTAGAAGTTTCTGTTTGTACTGCAAGTAAGAAATGTACAATAAGTGAAATATTTATGTGCACCTGCTTTGGTGTTTTAAAGTCATTATCACATTTTTCTGATTGATAATGAGATATAAAATCAGACTAGCAGTTCAGAACCAATTCAGTGGAATTTGTTTTTAAATTGACAAATTTCGCTACTTATACTTGCAAATTTCATAATAAGTCCTGATAAGGGTAACTGTAAGCCATTCCTTCTGGAGACATATCAATAAAAATCTACTTATTGTTTGAAAAATATAGAATTAGCATGGTAATCACGTTTTGTGGCTAATTATCGACAGGAGGAGGTTACCAGCGACATCACAAGTCCATCAGCCTCGTTATCACCCACAAAATATTTTTATCATAAATCATTTACCGGGTGACTTATCTCATAGGTTAGTCACCTAGGGGTTGGGTGTCATAGTAGTGGAAACAGAAAATGTCCCTGAACAGCTAAATTTGAGCAAAGAAACAAGAATTTTCAATTCACGGTTTATATGGTTTTAAATATTTATATTTATCTGGAAACGGTCATATCAAAATGTGCTAAATCAACTGTTAATACCGGTAGATTGCTCAAATGCCATACATAGTTGATTTGTATTACTCTGCGGAACCCCAAATATATTACAGAATCTGGATATCAGTGTGAAACATAGACTTGATCCTACTAAAACTGGAAAACTTTGTCTTTAAAATGATCATTTAATGTCAATTTTCACATTGATGATGCTGTTATTGATATTTACATTTTGATTTACTTTATTCCTATATCAATAATAAATGTGAACAATGACAGGATCACATTATCATTTTAGTAATTTAAAGACAGAAATTTTCGATCAAAGTCCTACTATACGAATTCAAAAGTTTCTTAAGCGTTCCACTCTAGGCAGCATTAATTAATATTACCAAATACAAAGCAAAAGTACATATGTACCGGGGGTACCGTATAAATGAAACCAGACATCTACTGTGCAACCGTGAAGTCAAGGCTAAGTTGACAGCACAGTCATAATTGACTGGCTGACCAGCCACCTCACAGAAAAGCCAAAAGTTGAACGTGTGTGAAAATCTCATTCTACCACGTTCATAAATATTACTTGATACTTTCTTACTTTCGTAATAAAATCTAAGCTAGTTATTTTGGCGTTTTTCATGTTTACCTGATCAATTTGCTGGACTTTCTGGTAACCGGAAATACCGGAAGTACATGTAAAATTAAAATCGGAACATGAAAAAGCTGACCATAAATCCGGATTTGAATCAATGCTGGATGCATAAAACTATTTTCTCTTTCTTTATGCATAATGAACTATTGAAAAATGATCAATTTCAAAAGACAAAAATCGTGTCCAATGTATCATAGTGATCATAGCATCAAATTACTAAAATGATAATGAGATACTTAACCTCAACTAAATATGATTATAGGTCTATCATCATCAATCTCTAGTATCAGTACCAAACACGTTTAATTTCTTTATCTCATATGCACAACAAAGACCATAGTTTATAATTCTCTTATCTTTCCTGTCCTCATCTATGAGTAGGCATTGTTTAATTTCAACTATTTAATGATGTTTTTACACAAGACATTTTTTCACTCTAACATATATTTATTAGTTCTAGATAATACTGTTGCAATAAATGCTTTTCTTTAACATAAAACAGGAAAATTTCTTACATAGAAAATAGATACATTTTCAGGTCAAAAATACTTATGGTTTTCTGATGCAGGGTATGCTTTTTCTTATATCAAAAACTGGAGATTTTATTTTTGATATCACAAAATTAATATTCAATTGCTTTGAATCCATAGGTTTGGGCATAGGATGATTTGAAACAAAAAATCGAAAATACTAATTATCACAAAGTGTTTCTTATTTTCTGCAGCAGACCTATTCTTTGTTCATAAAACAATATTTTGATGAAAAAAATAGTCTTTCCTGTCATCTTGATCTTTTTTTGACATAAGAATTAACCTGTCAACATCCAGAAATATGCATGAATATCTGACATACCGATATAATTACCTAATACATTCGCACAATCAAATTTTAGGGCATTATCAATTTTCCACAATATGTAACACTGATGCACTTATTTGTTGATAATATATGTATTTGCTACAAATACACAACATACAGAAACAGGATCAGTACTAAAATTTCAATGTGAAAAAAATTAATTAGACTTAAAATCTGATATTTTTGCTAAAACATATTTGTTTGCAATTAAAAAAAGTAATGTAGTGGAACATTATATATGTTAGTGAAGTGCCCCATCCAGACATCTGTTTTTATTACCCTATGTGTGATATTATTTCTATCCTGCTCTTGTGTCAGTTGAGCAATAAAAAGTGTTCACATTACACCCTAGTTTGATGCAGGTCAATACTGCTGAATTTGAAGCCAGGGAAATCTGCTCTTTAGTCACTTAGAGATCAATACACAGATATATAGATAAATGTTAGTTAGAGTGTGATCAAGTTTCCTTAAATGTCTATTTGATTTTTATAAGAATATTGTGTAAGCAAGTAATTCCTACAAACCATGTGACCCTTTTCTGTTTTACACTTGCTCTATCATAATGCATGGGATTAATTTCACTTACTGATCCATATTCCAGGAACCTATTGGCCACACAGGTGATGTGCATGTGTTAGACAAGAGGTCCACAGGGTCTGTATTGCTCATCAGCTTTTGTATTATCCAAACTAAAGGAAAAGGATTCTAAATATTTACAGGTTTTTTCCCCCGAAATCTTATATCTTTCATTAAAGACTTTTTTCCCATTCAGATATTTGAGGTTTAGGTTACATTTTGTTGAAATAAAGTCTAGGCTTTATCTATTCTGCCTTATCTATTATTCTGCATGAAATCAATCAGGCACCTCAATCCAGCTAACCTTCTGCCATACAAATATGTTTGCTCTAATGTTCTATTACACACCAACAGCTATAACAGGTATGTACATGTTTCTCTTTCTTCACACATCACATTTCTTCACAAATCAAAAAAAAAAAAAAAATGAAAAACAAAACAATTGGATGTCGCATTAAGATTTTATTTGTGTGTGAAATTACATTCTTATGAAAACAGACTGACTGAAAAAAAAAGTATATTCTCTGTAAAATCACAGATCTTGTTAATGTGACATTACTAACTCTATCAAACAACGTATGATAGGCAATGTAACTTAGATAAATACATCAAAGGGATAGAAACATGTTCTTAGGAAAAAAGAAAATCACAATTTCTGGGAAATCACTATGATAGAGTTTCACTGATATGTCAATAAAACAAATCAAACTGCACTACTTGTCAGCCAAAATGTGAATGAATTTCAGAACATTTTGAGTACTAGCTCTCATCACCCGGGTTGTCTAAAAATCATATACATAATTTTTATATAGCTAAACAAATATTTCGATCTCCTTTACAAGATAAATGCTTTCTATTACAGGTAATGAATTATGATGAGCTTTTATGATTATGATCTGCTGTGTGAGTTATATTTCCAGTACAATTTTTTATGCATTTTTAAACCTGCAAAAATAATAAAGAACATTTCGTAGGAATCACCATTGTCATTTTTGTGTGTCTGTGTACAAACATATTTCACAAAATATCAAACTTTACTCAATGTTTTTATAAATATAATGCTCTTCTTCAAAAACAGGTATGTAAATCATGAAAACAAAAAAAGCACCTTGGTACAATCCTTAAATTCATTTCAACACTGTCTTTAAAATCTAACTTCAAATGATATCTGTTTTCTCAGAATCTCTGCAAAAATTATTTCATCAAAATATGGATAAACATATTAATCCTACATATTGTGAAAGTACTAAAACACACAATTTTCATATATTTCTGTAAAAGAGGCTGCAGTAACTTAGAAATATACTTCTATGTCAGTGCCACAATTCCTAGTTGTTCGCATTAAATTTTTGAGTTCCAAATGTGCACTTCTCAGTATCTAATCTTTAAGTATCAGTAGCGTTCCAATCTTGGTTATTTAAAAAAATCATTAAACAAATATACAAGAGTAAACAGTATGCATGTATAAATGACCTGACATGAAATACATGTCACATTGTGTATAATATATATCACAGGTTTGCTGTTAAACATTTTAAAGACAAAAATAAATATGGTGGAATATTATTTATCACACATTATTTTAAACAGATTTTATATACCCTATATTTTGTGGCGATAAATAATTTTTTGGTTGCATTAACTCATATTTTTTTTTTCAACAAATTAAATTTTAATGGCATGTTATTAAATATATCTGTTCTAGCTACTATACCAAAGAATAACTTATCTTATCTAAAAACTTAACAATTCAACAAAACAACAAACCTCTAATGAAGTTTGAAATACTTCTCAAACATATCAACCACTCAGATTTAAACTACCGTAATATTAAAATAAAATCTCCTTCTTAACCTATTAATTTCAAATTAACAATTGATAATTCCATTTCAACTGATAAACATGGTTTCATTCATCTTAAATTTCCAGTGAACAGAAAGATTTCAGAAATTATTTTATCTCAGAAGTACAAGATTTATTTGGCAATAAGATCATGTCTGCTATTATACTCCATCGCTCTGGAGGTATTTGGACATTCTCTGGGCTTATTGAAGGAATTCTAAATAACAGAAATCATATGATAGTTACACAATTGGTACAGTTTCCTATAATCACAGTCACTTAATTACTTTTATTTTTACATCCTTTCAGCCTCTGACTTAAAATTTCTGTCTTTTCAATGCTGACATTTTTCTATAACCATCCTGCTGAATAAGACTGTGAAGTGTAATTAGAAATTATCAGTGAAAGGTTGCATAGCTGTGAGTTTGCTCATTTCTTGTCCAGTTTTTAATCCAATCACATATTCCCATTGTACAGATACCAGCTGGACTTTTCGACCTTTGTCAGAGTTTGACCTTCCTATCACTTCTGGTTCAGTCTATGCTGACTAAATGTGTCAATAATTTTACTCAGTCTACTGTTGTTGTACTACTTGTTTCACTCATTTCATCAGGAGCTTTCACTCTAACTCGTCGCTCCTTCACCGACGCCTTGATGGCCTCCAGTTTTGCTTGTTCCTGCTTATTGAGCTCCTGTTTTTCTCGTTCTCTTCGTTCCCGTTTAGAGTCTATGACAAGTTTGGCACATACTTCAAGAGGAGCTGGTTCAACAAATTCACTTCCTGTGAAACAGAGAGATGGAAAAGTATTGTAATCATATCCAGATATCTAAAACAATAATCACTGTCTGACAAAAAAATGAAATGATACAATGAAAATGAAAATAAATAAATGTCATATTTACAAAAATATCCTTCTGAAGGAAGTTACATTAAATTAACATTGAAGCAGACAAGTTTCCCGACACAAAATTTTTGAATTGAGTTATATGGCTCAGTTCACCAATTACACCAAAGTATAGTTTGTATTGATAACTAGGAAACTAATTAAGATATTAATTACAAATTAAATTAATTAAATTCCTTTTGGGTTATAAATGATGTGAACAGTATTCTGGAACAAACTACTTCTACAATAGATAGAGAGGAGAAATAAAGAATATTTCAACAAAGGATACAGAACGAAGAAAAATAAACAGAAAATGAAAATGGTCCTTCTCAAAAAGTTCAAAACAAAAGCAGCCGGAGAATAAACCAAAAGTAATATTAAATCCGTTCCTACTTAAATGGGAACAAAATTACTGAAACGTCATACAGGTCAATCTACTTCATGGAATATTTTTTCACTATATATGACATACAAGAAGTAGGAACTATCAAGATTCTAGAACAGTTGTTTTAGACTAACTTTCTGGATAAAAAAAAAAAAGTTTGAAGGTCATTATAGATATGAATGCTTTGTTTTCCAGAAGATGAACAGACAAAATGGTAGCTACAATGTTGGTCATGCATAATCTGGACATGCCAAATATAGTTACTACACAAATACAGCTACAATAGAAAGTTTTGTATCTCCTGTCTACAAGTCATACTTATTATCTCCCCTTTCTCATTGGTGTACCCTGTGAAACACAAACATTCAAAATCAAATGGTACAACAGCAGGGGAAATAACTCTGATGTATTACATAATGATTTGAAAAAAAGGATAAAATTAAATTTGATATAGGGCAAGAAGCAGTGGAAATAACTGATAGTAAATATTGTTGGGGGAATGTACGATTATAAAGGAGTTTTAGCTGTTTTACTTACCATGTGACCTCAGACCACAAATAATGCCATCACTTTCATTGCCAATAAATGACCAAAGTTCAATTTGAAATTTAAAGCTGATTATATAACCTGAAGTTAAGCAATATATTTTACCAGAATGAAGTAAAATCTTTTCCAACTAAATCAAAATGGATTGTGTGGAATTAATTTTGACAAAACATGCTATCATAATTCAATGGAATACAGTTAGCATAATCTATGAAAATTCTGGTCATAGTTTGGTAGTACCATAAGATCAAGTCAACAATGAAATTTTATATTTTGTTTTTATTTCAATATTTTTTCTTGGGCAGACTCGAGGAAATTTAAGTATGGTGTGAGGTCACAAAGCATTGATAACTCTAGCTGAATGTTATTTGTAGTATATCTGAGCAGTGGAACTTTAAAATATGTGATCTCTATATACAATCATAAGTATATATTAACATAAATCTTTCTTAGTTGTTGGAAGAAATTCTATTTAAATAATAGAATAGCCTGCAAGGTGATGATCATGACCAACCAATTGTAGGTAAATATATAATTGCCTTTGATTGGTTAAAGTTTTCCACTGAAATTGTGTTAATGCCTACAAATATTGAAAAGCGATTGGTAAGACTACCTATTGTAGATTCCACTTGATAATATGCCGCATAAAAATCACTATTGTACCTAAAATCTAACTCATAAAGAAAAACATATATGTGATTTGCTTGCTGGTATTATTGTCCCATCAATAGTCAGGGTCATTTTGAGATGTGGTCTCCTTTTAGTAGCTGGTGGCTACTCCACTGAACAGTATGCAGGAGGTACACCACATGCTATCCAGATCAACTGGGGTTAAAAGTCTTGCCAAAGGACACAGTCATGTCAGCACATATCTTCCTGTTTTTGTTTCTCATGAATATGAAAACATTGACTGGTCTGTGCTGATGTGTTGGTGTCCCTGGGCAACATGACTTTACCAAAGTGTTCTGTATGGAAAGTGGTGGGACTCTTGTTATATACCTAGCCTGAAATACACAGCTATTCTACAACTTGTTTAACTTTCTACAGTGTCCTGATTGAAGTACATACCATCATTACCTGTCATGATAAGGAAGAATTGTGGGTAATATTGAACATTGTCATAATAAATGCATTTCCTGTGCAGGTGTTGAGAAAAAGGTGACAAATTTAAATTGAATTAAATTGTTAAATTGCATATATTTCATCAACTATTTCCTATTTTTATTTTTCATTTACTTTTGGGAGGGGTTAATAATGTGAATTAATATTACAAGAACTTTAATATATCTTTGCCATAAAGAATTTTTCTGGACAGACATTTGATTAATGCACAGGTACATACTCTCCTCCCTGAGAAATTGAGACAGGCTAGGTGATGCAAGAAATAGTTTAAAATTTGTTCATTATATACTGAATGTCAACAGGAATGAAAAATACATTTCACAAGGCAATAAATAAGAATTAAAAATAACTATAATTTTATCATTCTTTTTTATCTGATCTGATACACTTTTCAACCAGAATCTGTTTTTTTTTCACTAAACAGGGTTTAATGTGGTAATATCATGCAATATTTGGCATTTTTATAGGTCTATCAGAGTATTTTAAATGTTAACAAACTTCAAGTTATCTTATAAGACATACACTACAGGTATTATTAGTAAACAGCCTACACCAACTGTTTAATTATCAAGTTAGAATCTACAGGTAAACTAGATTATTTATATTACAGTAAAAGTGAACACGTTTGCACATTAAAGTATTTTTTTCAGTTTTTACCAAATCCTTTAATTAAGGGTATATGCTACTTAATTGTTATGTCTGTAATTGTAGCACCACTTGTGCGTTTACATATAATTACATTTCAGAATTAAAACAGACCAAGTGTCCCTTTATGTTTAATGCTTGTACACACTGCAATACCGGCATGGCTATCTACTGCCCACTCTACCTTGAATATTCATTTACCAAATTTGGAGCTCTTTTGGAATGGATATTCAATATGTTACATTTTGGTAGCATACATCCTTAATTAATTCAGTTTCTTTTTTTTTTATTATTCGGAGGCAACATTTATCAGACAATAAAGTTATAAGTATTTAACCATATATCATTAAATCACTAATATAATTGTACTGATTACTTATTTTAATACCAATGCAAAACTGTTCACTTTTACAATATCAAGAAAAATGGGATGGGTTAAACTTTATTATCATTATATATAATTTTGACCTGAGATTTTTAACAACTCCTTTTTGGATGAAGATGCAATTCCTGTAAAATAGAATGTTAGTGATAAATGGAGTTTCTTCTTACAAGTACCAGCAATACTGATATAAGCATAAAATGATGGTGTAGTGCCAAAATGTTATTGATAAGTATACCAATATATAACGACATACAGCATTTTACACAGCTACATGTACTTTTCCTTGGTGGAAAAAAAACTATTGTTGTTTTCATATTTTTACCTGAAAGGTCTTTTCAACCAAAATTAGAATAAATGTCAACAGTATTTGTACATAAATTTGTAACAGACATAAGCCATGACTTTTAGAAGATATCATACCTAGGAGTTTACGGGCTTCCACACCATCAATAATGGGATTCATCCACGTAGACTGGCGTGTGTTTTTCAGACCTGTTGCCTTAGGAACATAGATATAGAAGACCAGCTCTAATACTTCGCTCTTCTTCAACCCTCGTCTTTTGTTTAGTTGACCTTGAGAAATAAATAAATTAAATATATAAATTAATTGATAGAGTCACAAAATCTTAGGAAACAGAACTGTGTTGATTTGGTAGAAAGAACTGACCTTCTGAAATAATCAAGATAAGACAACACATATTCTTCTGAATCTACCAGAGAAGCAAAGAAAGAGATGAGGAAAAGATGGAAGAAGAAACGAAGGAAAGATGAAGTAAGACAGGAAGGAAGTAAAAGGCATAACTACATTGTCTACATCCAAACATGTTTATAATGAGGCACAAAGATTAACAATGTGTTGATATTAATGACTTGTGCAAGAGCTGACTTGAAGGTGAGATTCTATCATAACAACAACATGGCCTTACCTTGTAAGATTACATCAATGCCCTCATCAATTTCAGTTCTGGAGGGATAAAGATCACATTCACGGAAAAACTGATCCAAGTCGGTGACCTCCAGCTCTCCTCCATAGGCTTTCTTGTCAAACACACTCTCATACCCTGAAAATAAACACAAAGATTCAATGAAGCAAAAACAATGGCAGGGAGAGAAAGTTGAAGTATCAAACCCCCTAACTGAATAGAAGTTTCCTTTAACATGACTCTCCGAATACAATTGTCATGTTGTAACAATATATATCATGTACTTATTTTATAATATCAATGGATAAAGAAGAAAGATGGCTGATTACTTCTTCTCATGTCCATGTAGTCACTCATGTCCTTGAATGTAAATGGTGTCCTTGCCCGCTCCACACCGTGTCTACGCTGACAGCGTGCCAGTGTACCCTTGTAATCCCGTACCAACTTCTGCCATGTTGTTCCATACCACTTAGCCTGAAAGTTTAGAAATAAACCTTGTCATTAAGTCACTCAATGATCAAGGACATACATCCAACTAAAAATGGACAGAAATTATTTATCAAAGCTGAATTATAATCATCATTCATGCAGAAAATGTCAGTAAAAATTTTTTTTACCATAACTGTCCTGTATGCTCAGTGATCTTTACATCTTACAAAGATCACACATATATAAAATTGAGTATCACAATACACATACATAAGAAATAGCATCACAGTTATACTATATAACCAAAGAGATAAAAATAACTACCTTCCTCTTTAACTTCTCAAACTTTTTCCTGACCAGGAAGCCTCTGATGTGTCGTTGTATGTGAGTGGCACAGTGGGACAATTCTTGCTTTGTTGGCCCCACTTGCTTTGGATGGTAGATTCTGAAATGTTAGTATAATAGCATTATACATATTTAGTATCTGTCATTGATTATTCTGTAATGTCATGGCATTACACTTAATCAAATCTTGGGTATGTAAATTTCTTATGTCAGAGGTCAAGCTGTTCCCAAGTGGGAGAGGTGCTTTATTCAATCGTTAATTGGTTTTAGCACTAAAATTAAAGTGAGTGGGAGACAAGATGAAGTACACACAGATATAACTTCAAATAATAGAGGGTGTATGTGAATAATATTCGTGTTTTTACTCATTAAAAAAAAAATCAAACATGGTCAAGTATGACTTTTGAGCCTTAAACCTTGATCTGTGACTGCCCTAATCTAATCAGCTGTAGAACTTGTCTCATTATGATACTGTACTAGAGCTGTGAAGAGTCAAACTATGCTGTTGAGGCCCTTATCAGAGTTTGAGATCATGTTATGTCTCTTCTAACAAGGTGTTACATTTACAACGGCAACGAAACAGAAATAAAATGTTTGGGAGTAATGTCCTTTGTACATCCTCTGAACTTACACGTACAGATTTAGTACAAATTTATGAAAGTTATGGATGAAATTGTTGTTATATACTTGAGAGTTTATGATAGATATCAGTGAGTGCTGTTGAAGAGGTTGTTTCCACTCTATCAAGGAAGTTCTACACCTTCCTTATAAGTCTTTATGATCTGACATGTCCATAAGGATAAAATACTGTTTCTGTTTGTGTTTAATCTGATTGTGTCTGAAACCCCTTACACCACTCAAATGTCTAATCATACCCTCATGACCATCGTGACAATATTAGAATATAGCGACCATGTGAAATAAACATGAAATTTTATTGGACGATAACAAATTTATTTCTGACTATAATTGTGACGGACAGGAGCAACAGTAATTATAAAATACGAAATCATGAAATCAGAAAGTCCTTTAACCACAATAGTCTAATTTTTGAAATGTAAAACCCAATAATGAATTCAGTTTTTTGTGATAAAACAAAAGGAAAGTTCACACTCTAAGCAGGCTCAACTATCACTCTATGATATGTACATGATATCATACTTACTCGTATATGTTGACGTGCGGCCCAATGACTGAGAGCTTTGTTGAGGCTCGAAGGAAGTTTTTAGCGTTTCTGAAGGTTAGAAGCCAAACAAGCATAACAATGCCATCACCACATACAGACAAAACATTAGTACCCTGTCTTATTAGTAACATCAGCGAGTTGTTCAATCTGATATAGAGAAAATTCTTTAACATGTCAGCTCTAAATTGTTTTTTTTCTTTCATAAATAAAAGATAAGTTTTTAGGAAAAATTAGTCAAATGAATGAGAAAAATCTGTTTTTCCTTTGGAATTTTGATACATGTATTTCAAAGACTGGATCAGGATAATGTAGACTCCTGATAATTCTGAGAATTAAGATTAAGTTACTGGATCATTGCCTTATATGTCAGTATATAAATATGAAACAAACAACACTGGCATACAATTGTTACACTGCACATAAAGTTTCACTTACAAGAAATATTTCATTAAATTAATATTTTTTGTTCTGATACATCTTTAACAAAGACTTCTAACAATGTGATATACCCGGTAACACAAAAGTACAAAGTCTGTGTACATTACTTACTCTAGAAACAAAAAAACACAAACATTTGTATAATAGTAATTAAAAAATTATATATTGCGTGAGCAAAAAATAATGAATAAATCAGATTACGAAATAACAGTCATTTTTTCGTAAAAGTAGGTTATTCACTTTCATATAATATTATAGATTTTGGCTTGAAAAATGTGTACTTTGACAATATCAACTGTTCTTATATGACTTTAAGCATTAACATTCAGGAGAGTATGATAAGTCCCATACCCAATTTTGGTATCATTATGATATTGAATAATACAGAAGTGGAATTACGTCCAGTAACAAGGCTGTTTATGGAGTATCCATATTAAATTGGGTAGCTGGGTTACCTTCATTTGAAACTATTAAAGATTATTAAAGTTATTTGAAGATTAAGTTAATGTAAATGAATTTTGATAATTAATGTTAAACTGGCTAATAACGAAAACAAATATGAGTAAATTTCAGTTCAACATGCATGTTTATCACAAGCTTTCAGCTTCAAATTAATTCAGTAAATGTTATAGACTATCAATTAGTAAGTAACAAGAATATTAGATTTAAATAAGAACTGAGTAAATTAGAGCATTATTTCATCCTGTTTGATCTCCTATATCAATTCCATCACTTTCATCCCTGTTTAAAGAAAACAAAGCTTTGAACCTAACATACTGTAAAGCCACTATTGAATATTAAGTACTGTAAATTCAATGAACAAATAATGGTAGACCCATGTGTTTAACTTCAGGACATAAAGAAAACGGTGAAAAAGTGTTTCAAACATAACCCTTTTCATATTTTGATATAAAAATAATGAATTATTGTTAGAACAGAGACTCCTAAGATGATTATCAAGAAAATCAATAAATATAAAAATATACACAGTAGGTATATCTATATTTGTAGTGGTATTTTATTACCAAACATGAGAAAACACCTTCATTCTAATCAGAAATTATAAGCATAACTATTTTCAAGAAAAATCTAGAGCTTCATTCAATCAGCTTAGTATAACAACTTTTGTTATAAATTCATTATATTCGAATGCATAATTATATATTGTTCTCAAAGACATTTGAACTGAAGCTTCACATTACCATGACAATGACAGTGGATTACGAACTGTGATAACTTCTGTACATTTGATACATGTTTTACCACTTTACAGCAAGTAAAGATACTACAGACAATCTGATAACACTGTTAAAACATTCTTTGATAGATCTCATACAAACACAGAGCTAACATTACTTAATAAAACTGATCATGCTGGTAATCACACTTACTTATCTGCCAGTTCATCCATTTTTTTCTGGCGTTTTTCTGCTTTCTCGTCTTGAATCTTTTTCACTTTGTTCGTCCATTCTTTCTCCTCTGCTGTACGCGGTGGACGGTTGTAGATCTCTGCTTTTGCATTTAAATGTTCCTTGTATTTTCTGGAAAAAACGCATCACATTCAAAAGGTTTATAATTAAAAATGATATCATTAGGCTACTTGAGACACTCGACATCAGAAATATCCAATGGGAATATAGAGGAATTGACATAGTCACCGATCTAATCCAAACTTAAATGTTCTGTAATCAATAGAACGATGATACATGTACTAATCAGATCTCAAACATTAAAAACCTAACATTTCTTCAGACTTCATATACTTCTTTCCCTTGTATAATGATGTAGTAGCGACAGTACAAATATTTTGACACTATATTTTCCTCCTCTCTCTCTCCCCTACCCACTTTTTTTGGTCCGTGTCTCAGCGTTGCTCTTTTCATTGTAATACTGCATGGAGAATATCGAACTGGTGAATTTCATTTAGGAAAAAGTTATGTATTCTAGTTTAAACACCAAAATTGAGAAATTTGTGTGAAGCTAAATTAAACCCATTATACAGTGGTTACAACAATATGGTGAATAAGCCTTACTTATTGCAAACATTCCCAGTTTACAGTGATACCGTGGATCAGCCTTACTTATTGCAAATATTCCCAGTTTACAGTGATACTGTGGATCAGCCTTACTTATTGCAAACATTCCCAGTTTACAGTGATACCGTGGATCAGCCTTACTTATTGCAAACATTCCCAGTTTACAGTGATACCGTGGATCAGCCTTACTTATTGCAAACATTCCCAGTTTACAGTGATACCGTGGATCAGCCTTACTTATTGCAAACATTCCCAGTTTACAGTGTTATGGTGGATCAGCCTTACTTATTGCAAACATTCCCAGTTTACAGTGTTATGGTGGATCAGCCTTACTTATTGCTAGCATTCTCAGTTTACAGTGTTATGGTGAATAAGCCTTACTTATTGCAAGTGATCTCAGTTTACAGTGATACTGTGGATCAGCCTTACTTATTGCTAGCATTATGTGCCATCCTTTCATCTTCCTTCTTCTCTCTTTCCTCCTTCAAAAGTATTTTGTACCTGTTCCTCGCCACATATCCACGGAATATTCTGCAAAATAATCTCCGTCCTTACAGCTTTGTCAGTGACACATCTCTCAAACAATATGACAGAAAGAATAAAATGATGGATAATCTGTTAGTACTGATTTACTTATAAAAGCAGTAAAATTTAAACTGATATCAAAGCAATATTATTATACTGTAATGGTTGTTTGAAAATGTTAACACATACCAGGTAGCAGTATGTTGGTACAAATCACAAGGTTATTTCCCTTTGCTCTTTTAAATGTAGACATATGTCTTAATGATCAATTCTTACCTCTGGATATCTACCACTGCCTTGGCCTCTTTCTGAACTTGAGCTGCAGCTTTTATTTCATCCTGAAAATAAAGATATTATTAATTTTAACGATCAACTCCTCACTATAAATCACCTGTAACTAATGATAAGTCGATACATGTCAAATTTTTAGGCCATCCATAGTTTAAAAAAATGTTACATTCAACTACAAGGATACTTTACAGCATATCCTTGTGAGAATTTATCTTTATACAACTTACAAATTTTATGTATACATAAATAATAATGATAGTGAAGGTATTCACTGCCTTTCTATTATGTAGTCAAAGATTACGACTATTAATGTTCTGGAATAGAATTATCAGCTCTCTTACCCTGGACAAGTAGATACAGACTATTTACCAGTGTGAGATTGTCTGACCCTAGGGTTGAGACTAAGGGGATGGGGAGGGATTCCCCTCTCAGGACAATGATATTATGTCACAGTATATTCAAAACAAAAACAGGAACTAGTGTCTGATAAAGTCAGCAGGGTAAGAGAAAAATAATCACTCATCCCTTTATAGGTAACATTGGGTGCTCTCAACCTATGGGAAAAGATGTTTAAGTTCCAAACACTCGGTAAGCCTTGTGTTTGCTAACTCAATCATCTTTCCCTTCAGGTTGAGATCCATTTATCTCACCTCCAAGGGGGTGTAAGATTTTATTTATCCCTGGAATCCAGCAGAGAGTCCATCGATATTTGACATATAAAAATTAAGACAGTATACTGTAGATCATTAAAGATTTAAGGAATAAACTACAGTAACCGGGTCCTCTATCTAGAGACTGCATGGTCATACAACATGTCAGGTAATGTACATCAGTAATAACATATACCAGTACATTAAGTATAAAGCCTTCAAAAGTCTACAAATCATAAACGTTTAAGTTAAAGATTTTATCATATAAGTTTAACAAAGTACAGAAGCGTATCCAATGAGTCACATTGCTATGAATTGAAGTTTTTTTTTATCCAGCTTAATTTCAAATGCCACTGACAATCAATAACTAGATTTCCCACAAAGAAATATACTCACAGGATCTCCTATATGTGTGTACTGGGCGATGGGTCTGCCTATGTGAGCGATGGATGTTTGTGTGAGTGTTCGATCACGACTGGACAAAAATCCTGGATTAGTTGTTGTCTTCGATACATTGCTTTTTTCATTATCCATTTTAAATCCAACATGTTTGGAATTTTCATCCCCTTGACTAGGTAGAGTTGCCTCCCTTCCTTCCTCTGGTATATCCTCTGGTGCTGTTTGTTCTCGTAGTATAGACATAGGGGGGTTACCTTTATAGTAATAGACTACACATAATGTATTATAAATGGCGATTTTCTAGAGATGTCAAACAATATATCTTGATATATAAAAGAAGGTCTGTTATAGCTATCTACTGGTTACACTGATAACTAATTTTTATATTGTACTACATACTAAAATACATGGCATTGTGATCACCTATGATCTCTGGATAGTAAGTGATCCTGCCCCCTCAAGTGTTGAAGATGCCATTAATGGTGTGTACTTAATTAAGTTTTGCAATTTCTTGGAAATCGTTATGTAAGCAGAGTTAGTAATTTACTAACATTCTTAACAATTATAAAGGTTTTGATTCAACAGGCAACTTATTATACCATAAAGAGGATATATATGACTTGTTGATCACTTATCTGATTGGTAGATAGCTAGTATATTAGCTATGTATTTTGGTAGATAGCTAGGTAGATTAGCTATCTGATTGGTAGATAGCTAGGTAGATAAGTAGATTAGCTATCTGATTGGTAGATAGCTAGGTAGATAAGCTATCTGGTTGGTAGATAGCTACGTAGATTAGCTATCTGATTGGTAGATAGCTAGGTAGATAAGTAGATTAGCTATCTGATTGGTAGATAGCTAGGTATATTAGCTATGTATTTTGGTAGATAGCTAGGTAGATTAGCTATCTGATTGGTAGATAGCTAGGTAGATAGGTAGATTAGCTATCTGATTGGTAGATAGCTAGGTAGATAAGTAGATTAGCTATCTGATTGGTAGATAGCTAGGTAGATAAGCTATGTATTTTGGTAGCTAGGTAGATTAGCTATCTGATTGGTAGATAGCTAGGTAGATAAGTAGATTAGCTATCTGATTGGTAGATAGCTAGGTATATTAGCTATGTATTTTGGTAGATAGCTAGGTAGATTAGCTATCTGATTGGTAGATAGCTAGGTAGATAAGTAGATTAGCTATCTGATTGGTAGATAGCTAGGTAGATTAGCTATCTGATTGGTAGATGGCTAGGCATATTAGCTATCTGATTGGTAGATAGCTGGGCAGCTTAGTTTCTGACTTTTTCTATATATTATCTTAATTTAGTTTGAATAATTGCCAGGAACTTAAGGTCTATTTTGCAAAAATTTGCTTTAAGAAATTCAAGTTAATAAGAACACTTAACATAAAACATTTTATTTCATTTCATTACTTTTCACTGAAAACAAAATCCACAAATATTCAGACATATAACTGAAGAATAATATTAGTAAAAAAATTTTTCATCACATATATTATCAACATACCATTGTCCCCAATGTACATCTCCGGCATGGTGTTCTCCCTAGACGGCACATCCAGTCGACTCACTTGTAGAGAGCCACCGAGAGGGTCACCATTGGCAAACTGACTGGCTGGTGCCGACCGGATGTCCTTACGAAGATCACCCACTAAAAGAACAAAATGTGTATAAAACGGACAGGTTATAAGAGTGTTGTCACCAGGGAAACTGAAATAGAAAGATATTCACATCTACTTTACCGTTAATTAATTACCATTAATGATAACAGAATTCTTTATCACATTTTAAAATCAAGTTTCAGTTTCAAAATAAAAAAAAAATACCCCATTTCTATGTGATTCAGAGAAATGATAAAATATTGTACCATTTTAAATGTAAAGTAACAAATACCTGCAAAGAGTTATTTCCCTTGCTATCATATTCATCTCTCATTTTGATTCTTTGCATTTGGAATATATTAGTATGTCTGAATCACAACATTGATAAACTTTACAAATGTGTCTTTTCATTGTTTTGATTTTTGTTTTTCAAAACAATTTTGAAGTTTCAAACATCACAGATATACATGAATATTACAATTTATAACATTTCATTTATCTAAAATACTTGACAGAAAAATATTTCAATAAAAAAATCTTAGGGAACGGTGATAGACATCACCAGCAATATAACCTGACTGTACTTAAAGGTGCATTACTGACTAGCATGTATTGATTTGTGAAGAAAACAAATATCTATGTTCCAATAGCACAGCAATCTTAAATCTGGATCTGAGATGGTTAAAAATTTGGTCATTGCTGTCAAAAAAAAGCCTGTATATTTCCCCCTAAAACATGGACTAGATATCGTGACAATGACATCACACCTATGGAAGGATGAATATGGCTTTTAGTATACTCTACAATATCTCATATTATAGATCTTATCTCAGAATATTCACTTTCCTTGATGATTAATTATTGAAAATGAAATATTAGAGGTCATACACTGAAAAAAAGATTCACACAACACTGGATGATGGCATTAATATCTAATATGTGATCTTAAATATCAAAAAAATACACTAGCATATACAGAAAAGACGGTATAAATGAAATGCACCTGTAAGTAATGCTATACATTTCTTGGCTGTAGCTACACATAGCACACAGTATACATTAAGATGATATAAATGAATGAAAAGTAACGATTGGTTGTTGCATAATGTCAATTATGACAGAGTTTTTTATTTGCATAATATATGAATAGACAGTTTGAAATTGACAGCAATTTTATCATAAAATTTACCTGTGAAAATAACAAATTGACGTATGTGTTATTTAAATCTCTGTGCAAATGAATCTCTATAGTGTGCAGTAAATTAATTACCATTGCCTACACCTTGTAATAGCCCACATCACTACTTAAAAAATTAACATGTTGTTGGTTCCCCAGACTTATTGCAGAATTGATACTGTGTTATAATTTCCCAGAAAGCAAAAAAAAAAAAAGATAAATAAACATGGAGTGTTGTTATATACAGAAAGTCAGATACACTAAGTGGTGTTACATATCTCGAACCTGCACATTTAATACCAGATATGTTTGAATACATAGGCTATATAATATTAATGTATCCTTGAATTAGTAAACACTTTTGAGTATCCTATAACCATTGAGACTTATATACACACACCATACCAAATATAATGATCCAAACTGTAGCATATATAATACAATACTTAGCATATTGATAAACTTTTATTAATTACCTCCTGTACCTTTAGCTGCAAACAAAGGTTATCCAATATTTTGGATTTTACTTAATTTATCATACAAATTTATCATGTATTATAAAAGCTCAACTAACAAACTTAATACTAAGATTTAAAAGAAATAAATGTTTACCAAACCTGATTTCAAACTTTGGTATTTCAACATAAAAAATTAATACGGGGCAAATACTCCGAATACAACTGAGAATAGCAACAAGATTTGAGTTTTCAATACAATACTTAATTCCACATCTCGGACACAATACCAAAGTTTTTTAAGGTAAGGCAATATAAAAGAGAAATAACTGTAAAAAAAGTGTAGTATGAGATCCAATATAAGCATGTATGTATTCTGTCATTCCATGAGACATAAACACTACACTGATGTTCAGACTCTCTCACATAGACTGAAGCTCAGACTCTCTCACATAGACTGATGTTCAGACACTTTCACATAGACTGATGTTCAGACTCTCTCACCTAGACTGAAGCTCAGACTCTCTCACATAGACTGATGTTCAGACTCTCTCACATAGACTGATGCTCAGACTCTCACATAGACTGAAGCTCAGATTCTCACATAGACTGAAGCTCAGATTCTCACATAGTTTGATGCTCAGACTCTCTCACTCTCTCACATAGACTGATGCTCAGACTCTCTCACATAGACTGATGCTCAGACTCTCTCACATAGACTGATGCTCAGACTCTCATATACACTGATGCTCAGACTCTCACACATTGACTAAATACCAAACTTTCTCACAAAGACTGATGCTCATACTTTCTCACACAGACCGATGTGCAGACTTAAACTCAAAATGAGGCAGGAAGAAATACATGTAGAACGAGAACTAGTTGGTTTCTACATATTTTCCTCTCCACAAATCCCAGTATAATGCCGACCATATATAGAAATATAGTAATTATGTTAAATGCTTACATGTATTATCTGTTATATAATTCACATATATATATCTTATATAAGTGCAAATCATGGTGTGCTGTAAAACCCATCAACTTTTTTTACCTGTAATTCTCCCCAGCTTGCCTTGTTTTGTCACTGAATTTTGAAGTAAAATTTGAAATATTCAGAATAACTTTAAATCTAATATTCCATGACAATCAAAATTCAAAGTAGGAAATTTGAAAGGAATAAGGATGTTCTCAAAACAATGATAAAAATTATTAATTTTGAATTTTTTAATGCAGATGTAAACAGCAAATAACATATTTAGATTAACCCTGAGAGAGAATTAAATCTGACTCACCATGCTCCATGAAGTGTCGAGGACTATGAACTGACCGAGCATGATGCTCCAGTCCTGAGTTATATGTCTGTCCATATCTCGGTGACTCCTTCACGACACGCTGAACATGATAAGGACTAGGTATTGAGGGAGGAGTCCTAACAGGTGGAGCCCTTTTGAAATACTCGTTTTGTTTGCGAGACATCCGTAACACTTGAGATGAAGCACTCTGTGTTCGTCCCGGCATCCTACCAGCGGAGCGCCCTATCTTAGTTGACATGCTGTCAGGTATACACTCAAAACAGTAATTTTCCGGTTTTATTGTTAACTTTGACCAGTGGAGATTTGATCCCTTGACCCGGTAAAAGGGATTCACTTTTCTTAGTTGTGCTGAATCACGATCTGTTTCCACATCTGGCGAAAAATGCCACTCCTCCGATTTGCTGAGTTCTTGAAGAGGAGTGTCCCGCCGCCTCGGAGGTGTTGGTGCACGACCACCAGGGGGAATTGAGGTGACCTCTATGTGGACCTCACCATCATGTAGATCTTCTATGTGATGCTCTACTGGGCGTGGTACAGAGGGGCCAACGGGTGTGGCTTCTCGGGAGATGTCTACATCACTATTCTCCTCATTAATTACACCAATTTCTCGATCTGGGTGGAGGTTGAGACGAAGATCTTGCTCACCTGACTCCTCAAATGCTTTCTTTAAATCCTGACAAAAATGACCAGAAATAACAAGTTTATCTAAATCTTCAGTCTTCTTAATCTTATATATTTATTTATATCATTAATTTTTTTTAAATTTTTATCACAAAATTCTCTGATTCCAACCCACAGATATTTTACTAAGATATTTTCCTGTGTAAAACCAATACTGATTACTTTATTTTCATTAATTTTCAGAAATTTTTCGTTCTAAGACGTGAAATTTTTGTTTTTTACCAAGAGATCAAGCATTTAGTGACTCGGATCATAAAAGAAGTGTTCATCACAATCACTGCACACAATCTAATATATGTTTCACCTCCTCCAAATCATCTGTCTGAGTCGTCACATCCTCAACAACCCTGAGTGAGTCGTCTGAAGCCTGAGGATCCTGGCTGTTGTTAGGAAGAATGAGACTAATATGGTCTGCTTCTCCTGTATTCTCTTTCCCTTCCTCTGGCTCGGCATCCACTGTTTGCTCCCTCACCTGTTCTGCCCCTTCCACTGGCTCTGCCCAGTCAGCACGAGGTGTACAGGTTTCAGTTGTGTTTCCTTCACGTTCGTCTTCGTTTAACCTGTAGACAGAGAGATATAGTAAACGTATGACTATAATCATTTCAGCAGTACTATAAAGATTTGTTGACATGCTATTTGAGCTTTTCGATCAGTACTGACTGGACCATAGTGTTACTAGAATGTCCAAGAGTTTTGTCTGCTTCACCACGCTCAAAATAATGAGGAACATTGAACTTCACAGTACTAATCAACAGTTACTGTGAATTCTCTTATCAGAAATTAATCTATTCAAAGCTTTTAGAACATCTAAGTGTGGATATGATTTGAATTATACACTTCAGTGTTTCCTGTCCCTACCCTCTCGCCCACCCTGTCACTTCTGTGTTTCCTGTCCCTACCCTCTCGCCCACCCTGTCACTTCTGTGTTTCCTGTCTCTACACTCTCACCCACACTGTCACTTCAGTGTTTCCTGTCTCTACCCTCTCATCCAGCCTGTCACTTCAGTGTTTCCTGTCTCTATCCTCTCACCCAGCCTGTCACTTCAGTGTTTCCTGTCCCTACCCTCTCGCCCACCCTGTCACTTCAGTGTTTCCTGTCTCTACCCTCTCACACACCCTGTCACTTCTGTTTTTCCTGTCTCTACACTCTCAATCACACTGTCACTTCAGTGTTTCCTGTCTCTACCCTCTCACCCACACTGTAACTTCAGTGTTTCCTGTCTCTACCCTCTCACCCAGCCTGTCACTTCAGGGTTTCCTGTCTCTATCCTCTCACCCACCCTGTCACTTCTGTGTTTCCTGTCTCTACCCTCTCGCCCACCCTGTCACTTCTGTGTTTCCTGTCCCTACCCTCTCACCCACCCTGTCACTTCTGTGTTTCCTGTCCCTACCCTCTCGCCCACCCTGTCACTTCTGTGTTTCCTGTCTCTACCCTCTCACCCACACTGTCACTTCAGTGTTTCCCGTCTCTACCCTCTCGCCCACCCTGTCACTTCAGTGTTTCCTGTCTCTACCCTCTCACACACCCTGTCACTTCTGTTTTTCCTGTCTCTACACTCTCACCCACACTGTCACTTCAGTGTTTCCTGTCTCTACCCTCTCACCCACACTGTCACTTCAGTGTTTCCTGTCTCTACCCTCTCACCCAGCCTGTCACTTCAGTGTTTCCTGTCTCTATCCTCTCACCCACCCTGTCACTTCTGTGTTTCCTGTCTCTACCCTCTCACCCACCCTGTCACTTCAGTGTTTCCTGTCTCTACCCTCTCACACACCCTGTCACTTCAGTGTTTCCTGTCTCTACCCTCTCACCCACACTGTCACTTCAGTGTTTCCTGTCTCAACCCTCTCACCCACCCTGTCACTTCAGTGTTTCCTGTCTCTATCCTCTCACCCAGCCTGTCACTTCTGTGTTTCCTGTCCCTACCCTCTCGCCCACCCTGTCACTTCTGTGTTTCCTGTCTCTACCCTCTCACCCAGCCTGTCACTTCTGTGTTTCCTGTCTCTACCCTGTTGCCCACACTGTCACTTCAGTGTTTCCTGTCCCTACCCTCTCACACACACTGTCACTTCAGTGTTTCCTGTCTCTACCCTCACATCCATCCAGTCACTTCAGTGCTTCCTATCTCTACCCTCTCACCCACACTGTCACTTCAGTGTTTCCTGTCTCTACCCTCGCGCCCACCCTGTCACTTCTGTGCTTCCTGTCTCTACCCTCTCGCCCACCCTGTCACTTCAGTGTTTCCTGTCTCTACCCTCTCACCAACACTGTTACTTTAGTGTTTCCTGTCTCTATCCTCTCGCCCACCCTGTCACTTCAGTGCTTCCTGTCTCTACCCTCTTGCCCACCCTGTCACTTTAGTGTTTCCTTTCTCTACCCTCACACCCATCCAGTCATTTCAGAGCTTCCTGTCTCTACCCTCTCACCCACACTGTCACTTCAGTGTTTCCTGTCTCTACCCTCTCACCCACACTGTCACTTCAGTGTTTCCTGTCTCTACCCTCTCACCTATGCTGTCACTTCAGTGTTTTTATAACCTCCTCTCACAATAGTCATTTTCAGAAAAGGGGAGTAATCCTAATTTAGTATCATAAAAATTTACCTATGTGGTATTAAATTGATCCCAATATTCTGTAATATATGCACTGATTATATCACAAAACTACAGCTTTCTATAAATAAACCTTTGCTGAATTTTTCCATATAATGATATCAGAAACATTAATATCGTAATCAGATTTATCAACACAGAGTTGTTTAGGTATCCTGTTAAAATTATACGTCTGGGATTTGGGCGACATGATCAATGGTTTAAATAGTAAAGGATTATATGACTACAGCTATATTAATCTGATAATCTCTCTCCATAGAGAGCTCTCTTAACTAAGGTGTCTAATACAATTTAATCATATCACCAAAAGATTGCAAAACTTTATAAAATAATTTCAATAGCTTAATCATGGATTAAATCTGAAACATAAGGCTAATTCATGTAGTGATAAAAAAAATCTATGCTTGATTTTACTTAAATTAACATAAGTTGGCAAGGAGAAAGGGGCCGAAATGATATGTAGGACACTGAGTAAAGGTCGTTTGGCGACCCCTTTCTACCCCCTGAACCCTGTAAACCTTATAATCTAAACTATTTTGGCGGTTCTGTCACTGTCACTGGCACCCTGCCTATCATGACCTACCCTTATCCTGAAAAGTCTATCTCACCTCTTCACTGCACAGAGAACTTATCTCAGGATTTAAGATAACCTGAGATAATTTTTGTCATGATCGAGTATTTCTCCTTCTTTTTCTATACAAATCTATAAACATATATATCGACTTGATATGACATGAAATTGGCTAAAACCAACCTGATATATATGCACACACGATGGCTGTAAGCACAACTAAGTATATGTCCTATATATGAAGTATGTACATATTTGCTGGTAAATTAACTTTTTCATCTTCTTTAAACTGCAAATTCATCATGATAGGGAATGAAGTACTACTGTGAAGTAGACCAGGAAAAACGGACCATTTCACTTGGTTAACATATTCACAGTATTAATACCTTGTATTGCAGACATGAAATCAAAATGTACAAGGCACTGAAGATTTCACAAGTTGAACATTTTTTCGTTTTCCTTTCTGCTCAGCAATGAATGTTCCTTTACACTGAAACTTCTTGACATATTTACTTAAATCTGATTGGTCGCTTTGATTTGTCAGGTTTCACTTCCACTTTTTGAAATCATCGTTTTGAAAGTGGATCAATGCAAATTCAGACACTGGATGATTAACAAGAGTAAAGTCAGTTCCATCGAATTTGATTATCACCAACTTGTGCTAGAGAAATTGTGAAAGTTGGTAATCACAAAAGAAAGCTAGCTCACATTATTTCAAAGTTAGTATGATGACATGTTCTAATCTACTTAAACTTTCAAAATTTTATCTGTATTTAGGAAAAGGTTCATGAAAAAAATTTTTTTTTTAAATGGAAATCATCACAAATGCCATATAACATTTAAAAAAAATGATAATAAAATCTTGTTTACTACTTACTCGCAATCCTGAAACTGGCTTTCTGGTCTTTCCGAAAATCTAGAATGACGACTTTGTGCCCTGCTATCTGTTAAAACAAACGAGACATTTAAATGGTAGGTGTTGACTTTACTCTCACTATTACTGATCAAACATGTGCCTCCAATGACTATTTACCCTTAAATATCACAGTATCGGCCTATATCATGTTAAAAAAAATCTCAATCGATTGAATAATCTAAGCTTGGTGATATGTGATTGCCTTGTTTCCGGACAAGACAAAGACTTCAGTATATAACGATTGACACTAGAGTTCTATGTTGACGATTGGTGCTGTAAAAATCTATAAAACCCAAGTACAGGATTTATTTATGATAGACGGTCTGGATCCATGTGTCAGTATATCTGTTGATTGAGTTATCAATACACAAACCTGCGATGCCGTTCTGAGGAACACACATGTTGGCTAGCTATTTAAAACGCTGTTTATGTCTTATCAGAGCCAAATATTTATAGACCAAACTCAGATATATTGTGAATTATATAGTTTCATTTGATTCAACATTGTTCGTGATTACAGTATAAATGTTAACATGTACACAGAGTGCTCATCATTTTCACATTTACATAACAGAATTTAAACTTACAGAAGAATTTACTCTATGTTAGGACAATAATTTGTAGCTTGTCGTTAATAAAATAATATTAAAAAAAAAATTGATATTGAAAGTAATAAGCAAAATTCCACCATAAATAAGCAACATAATATTGCAATTTTGATATGAAAATATAATTTGAAGAATCAAAATAAAACTTCAAGTTTTACAATTTCTGAATCACCAACATAACATATACACTTTCCTCAACACTAGGCATCTTAAAATCTGTAACTGGTGTCAATAAGCTGAAATAGTAATTACAAATGAAAACAAGATTTCCTCATTACATTAACATCAGGTATTCTTGTCGAAATTCAAGATAGCATTGTTTGATAGTCTGGATCTCCAACCTGTTCTGGTACCAGGTGTGAAGCCGAGCCATAAAATAAAGCTCACCTGTAAATCTCACCTGTCGACTAACTGTCTGTTTTGACCATAGTGGACCACAACAGGCACACAATGACCCTACATCACCCGATAATGTTCAAGCAATTGTCAACAAAAAGGTGTTAAGATAAGTAAATACAGAAGAGGCTAGCGTCCGGTTGTAAATCCATACCTGTACTCGGGAGTTTCTGAGATAAATTGTCAGGCACAGTGCATTAAATATCTTACGGTAAAAGTGAATGATATTTGGAAGTAAAAATAGCTGGTAAAAATTCATTACCTTTTGCTGAAACTGTTTCAAGAAAAATATTCCACACAAATAATGCATTAAAATAATAATAAAAAAAAAAAAACCTTCATGAATCATACATAGTAGAATTCCAGAAATTATCACAAAATTTTATACCCTTAAATCAGTTTTTTAAAAGTGTTCTTGCAATCAATGAATGTCAAAAATAAACAATAACATGAAATGAAAAGTGAAGCAATATCTAAATTGTATTAATGTTTCAAATTTAAAATTAATCTACTAATTCAGGATGTAAATATTTAAAGTATATATATATTATATAGCCATTGAAATTCAGGCAACTGTTAATCTGAAATCTTTTGAAGATTTTACTGCGCCCTATGTAAGTGTTGGTTAAAATTAAATTTTAATATTGGCATTTACATTTTTTTTTAAAATCTTAGCTGTTGAAAAGGCTTTAATATCAACAAATATTGCATTTTCAGGTAGGATTTTCATCTTATAATCACTGTTGGTTGTCCGAGATTTCTTCCTTGCTGGTACTAGAATGCTAGGTACACTTATTCTGCCATCAATATTGACTCTATATGCTTTAATTTATTAATTCTCAGAGGAGTGATCAGTTCATTACATTTGTATCAATACCGTGTAAAATGGAGACGTTCTAATGATAAATGTAAACTTCTATAGATATATAAACAACACTTTAATTACATTGTCACTATAAATGAGCATAATCAATGAAGATGAAGCTGAAGGTTAATATTTCCATGGCAACTGGTAATTCACAAAATTGCTTTTCTTTTCCTTCCAATCCATACAACTTTAAAAATAAATTGCATGGGGTTAACACTTAAGTGATTTCTAGAAATACTGTATATGATATCAATATCAAAAATTGTCATATGACATGTTTCCTGACTTCGAATTTTCACATATCAGTTTTTTTTAGGTATAGTTGTACCTAAGAAACCTTAGAAAGTTTCTATTTTATTACAATCCATTCTATGACAGTTTGTTTATATACAAACAGCCAAATAACAGTCTGTTTCTGGTATACATTTTAAATTTAATTTTTTAAACACATTCTTTATCAGGAAGTTTTTCATGGGTTCAGTACCAAACATAACATGGTTCAATGACTCTCTATCTTACATTGGTTTTAACTGAACTTTACAAAGTTTGTATTAAAGTACACTTGAAGGGACAAAAAATATTTCCATGTCACCACTTTACATTTTCAGAAAGTGCTCCGTAACGATTTTTAAAGCAAATACATTATGATGTTACCGAGATTAAAATGATAAACAGAAGTGTCAGAAATATTTGAAATCGTACATGTCTATTTGGGACGGTTCAAAGAGATATGCACATGTACACAGGCAGGAATAAGACCCTAGGTTTTCACCGATCCTGCACACGTAGGTAAACTCTTGAGATTTGCACAAGCCTGGAGAAATGGCTGATAACGTTTGCAAACATACTTATGACATCATGATATTCATACAACAGAGAAGTCGTCTGTTTATCAAACATTGGCTTTCTATACAAATACAAGCCTTAAGATCTCAAAGTACTTCAAAATTTTTCAACAAATTATTTGAACAAATCAATGTTGTTCAACAGAATATAAACATTTCATTTCAGTATTCCTTCGGGTTATATTTTTTTACCATATTTGAGTAAGTTTTACATAAACTTTCAAACTAGAGTTATATAAAATAAAATGTGCTAAATTCAAGTGTTCACAATCATTTAACTAAAACAATGTTATAATTTGTTGACTACACTATTTCATAAGCTAATGGACCATATTCTGATAATACTTGTGTGGTAGTGAGAATGTACAGGACATTTTAAGAACAACAAATCCCATTAGTTGTCATTTCTGCTAAACTATATTAACATGGACGAGCTAATTACCAGCCAGAGACTTATTGCAATACGAGATAGGAAAGAAAAAATCAAATCAAAATTTATAATTATAATGTATCAGAATCAGTGGACGTGATGATATAACCCTTAAACACGACACAACGCCAATCAAAAACTAGCGTCATTCATGTAGGTTTTATAGCATCTAACACAGAAATTCTGCTTTGTTGCTTAACTTTCTATAAATACTTACAATATTTATTTTATAAAAATTTCCTAACTTCACTTGCTTTGTTAATTACAAATATCTTGCATGTTATTTATATAACAAATTTCTATAACTTTTGTTTACTTACTCTATGATATATGTATTACAGATCTGATCCCGTAAAAAATCAACCATAGCTTTATTTCTCCATATCATAACAGTAAATTTATTTCTTTAACTCTATCTCTTTAACACAGGCTTACTGTTTCTACAACATCAATACATATGTTAAATCATTTCTCTTATCTAAAGTTTTATTTATATCTAGGTTTGCTTGTAGAAAACTCCTACCTGTATTTCTAGATCCAGACTTTCAGTCCATGCTGTTTGTGTAAATGTCTCTAAGACACCAACAGTCAGAATCCACGAAAATGTTATTCATTGGTACATGTCAACTACACATACGTGTGCAGGTAAATCAGTATAAATCCACAGGGCCAGTTCTAATAACCTTACAACCACTCTCCTCGCTACCGACTGTAAATCCTGGGGATTACTTATAAGTATTGGTGAAAGTTGAGGCAATAAACAGCTTTGTATCCCTCAAACTTACCATTACCTTCACAATCAATATTCAGATCTATTGTCAAAGCCTAGCTTACACCACACTATATGTGGAATATTTTATTTCAATTTTTCAAATCTTTCCTGCTGAAGTGTCAGTCAAAATGAAAATTTATTGCATCATAAATTAATCATTTTGATAGTGCATGTAGCCGTCGATTCAAATAAAACATTTTTACATTAAAAAAGAAATGTTTAAATTTTTATTATTTTTTGTTTACTTGCATGTTTTTTGTCCCTTATAACAGATGTGCTGTCTGTTTTTTGTTATCATACACTGCAATATTTGAGATCTTCAAGGACATCTCTTTCTATTTAAGTCAGGAAATAAATGGCAACATTCCAATTACAGTATACTGTAAAGCCATATATTTTCACGAGGTTCAATTTTCATGGTTTTCCAAAGAATCGCTTTTTTGTGGACACTTGATAAATACGACTCAATAAACCTTCTTTCAGACACTTATTTTTACAGTGTGTAGACATGGATTTAGAGTACCCAGGCAATCAATAGAAATAAATCTCACACAACAAATGAATCAGTTAACAGACATTACCTTGTGATACCACAAATAAAAAAACCACAATTGACAGATTTTGCTAGCAAGCTAAGAATGTGATCCTAAATATGTGCTGTTGACATGTGTGTTTTTTGTACATTATTTACCATGATGTCATGAGATATTATGATATAGAAGTGTATTGTATAAAGTATACAACCACTCAATGACAAGCACCTGTTGTTATTGTGTTTACTTTACTGTGCTGAGTAATATCTGTGTGATTATTTCCACTACCTTCATGCAATAACACCAGTGTACTACATGTAACATAGCTGTGATAAACGTCATCACCATTAAATAGTCGCTGATATTAAACTGTCTCTGTACATGTAACATAGCTGTGATAAACGTCATCACCATTAAATAGTTACTGATATTAAATTGTCTCTTTACATGTAACATAGCTGTGATAAACATCATCACCTTTAAATAGTTACTGATATTGAAATGCCTCTGTACATGTATCAAAGGATAGCATATAAGATAAAGTTATTGACAGTTATAAAATAATTTACTATATATTTTTCTGTTTTGAAATCTTTACCCGATCTGTCAGAAACTCAGAATTAACATGTTAATTAGAAGAAATATAGGTTAAACTATTCAAGTAAATATCAACATTTTGATTGGATAAAAAAAAACTGAAGAAAAATGTTCATATAAACAGACATTTTACATATTAAAGTTATGTTCTGCTATGATTGCTATACATGTTTGTCTGTTAAGTCTAACTCATCATGCAGTTTATCAGCATCATAGCATTTTATATGGTAGATAATCTAATGTCCATTCCTGCAACATAAATTTTATAACTTCTCCTGCTTCTAGAGGAAGACAATGTCACGGTTCAGTTAAAACCTCCACTGTTAACAGTCAATCAACCATCACTCTTTATCATTTTATCCTTTCGCCAATAACATGAAAGCTTTTTCTTCAAAACTCAAACCTATAGCATCCCATCTCCAATGAAAACTCTGGACACACAATGATATGAATATTGATGAGCTAAATGAATTCTTCAAAAATGAGGCATGTTTATGCGACAAATAAATAGCTGAAGGTGTACTGAGTATATATACAACGCCACAACGATGATACTTACATTGCCCTCGCTTTGTATACAATTTTTTACCTTTTTTTTGTCAAAACAAAACATTACAGTTAAGTCTACAAGATAGAAATATTTTTCCCAATTAGATGTAAAAAAAACCAAGTTGATCAAACCTGACCAAGATGGTTTTTCGGTGGAAGGTAAGGATAAAATTCTATTTTCAAGTGTTGTTTTCTTCGCTTAGTTCTAATAAATTCTAAGCAAATATGTAGGATTTATGGTATGCAGGTCTGTATTCATAAACATTCTGAAGTAAGAAAAGGAATTTCTTAAAGAATCTTAAAAAAATATATCTAGCTAATTAATCAATATTTCATAATTTTAACTAAATTCAGTAAAGATGATCTTTAGAGACAGGTATTCAGTAGTAGAGATGATCTACAGAGACAGGTATTCAGTAGTAGAGATGATCTACAGAGACAGGTATTCAGTAGTAGAGATGATCTACAGAGACAGGTATTCAGTAGTAGAGATGATCTACAGAGACAGGTATTCAGTAATAGAGATGATCTATAGAGACAGGTATTCAGTAGTAGAGATGATCTATAGAGACAGGTATTCAGTAGTAGAGATAATCTATAGAGACATGTATTCAGTAATAGAGATGATCTATAGAGACAGGTATTCAGTAGTAGAGATGATCTACAGAGACAGGTATTCAGTATTAGAGATGATCTATGGAGACAGGTATTCAGTTATAGAGATTATCTACAGAGACAGGTATTCAGTAGTAGAGATGATCTACAGAGACAGGTATTCAGTAGTAGAGATGATCTATAGAGACAGGTTTTCAGTAGTAGAGATGATCTATAGAGACAGGTATTCAGTAATAGAAATGATCTACAGAGACAGGTATTCAGTAGAAGAGATGATCTACAGAGACAGGTATTCAGTAGTAGAGATTATATATAGAGACAGGTATTCAGTAGTAGAGATTATCTATAGAGACAGGTATTCAGTAGTAGAGATGATCTATAGAGACAGGTATTCAGTAAAAGAGATGATCTACAGAGACAGGTATTCAGTATTAGAGATGATCTATGGAGACAGGTATTCAGTTATAGAGATTATCTACAGAGACAGGTATTCAGTAGAGATACAGAGACAGGTATTCAGTAGTAGAGATTATCTACAGAGACAGGTATTCAGTAGTAGAGATGATTTACAGAGACAGGTATTCAGTAATAGAAATGATCTACAGAGACAGGTATTTAGTAGTAGAGATTATCTACAGAGACAGGTATTCAGTAGTAGAGATTATCTACAGAGACAGGTATTCAGTAGTAGAGATAATCTACAGAGACAGGTATTCAGTAATAGAGATGATTTACAGAGACAGGTATTCAGTAATAGAGATTATATATAGAGACAGGTATTCAGTAATAGAGATGATCTATAGAGACAGGTATTCAGTATTAGAGATGATCTATAGAGACAGCTATTCAGTAATAGAGATAATTTACAGAGACAAATATTCAGTATTAGAGATGATCTACAGAAACAGGTATTCAGTAGTAGAGATGATCTACAGAGACAGGTTTTCTGTAGTAGAGATGATCTTTAGAAACACTTTTTCAGTATTAAACAAGGAGAGACAAATATTCAGAAACAGAGCTGTTCTTTAGAAATAGGTATTCAGTACTAAAAGTGATCTATAGAGACAAGTTTCTTGTATTTAAGAAGGCCTGGTAAGTATAGATGACTTACCAATAGTGGAACGTGGAGCATTAGACACAATGGACAGGTATTCCATTGGTACAGGGGTATTAGGCACTGTGGTGGCTGTAGAAGAATGCTTCATGTGAAATGATCTCAGGAACTCCTTCAAAGAAACAAGATATATTCAATTTGTAAATATCCTTAATTTCTTGTTATGATCTTGTAAATTTGACAGGACCTCAAAGGTTTAACCATCAAAATATATTTTAGGGATTACCTCCCTTTAAACATACCTCATCCAGAAACAGATCGCCATAGGAACCCATTCTGAAAAGGAAACAAAATGTTGGAGATAAAGAAAAAATTAAACTTTAAGCTTGAGTTGATAATTGCAAATTGTCTTTTGTTGTCTTATTATTATTCTTGTCTTGAATTAGTCTTTTATTAGGGAGGAAAACCACTTAAAACTAGTGCTCTGTCCAAGAATTCATCTGCTCCATATATGGTAAATAGAAAGTAGCTTTACATGAATTGGCTCCATCATTGTAAAAAAATTAAATAATTTATCAATATTATATTAAATATTAACGGAATTATCAACCTTGTACAAAATTAAAACAGTATTGTTTTATTTAACAGCCTTGATTAACTAGTTCCTAACAGATTTTTTTTTTTTTTTCTTTTTAAAATTTCTAAGAACATGTGACCTTTGACCTCACCTTGAATCACTACTGCCCAGGATATGCTGAACAACCATCATGGAGTCAACAGCTTCCTGATCGACCTGCATCATACTGTTGGTGGCTGCCTGAGATGTGATTCTGGTATTCTGGTCGCTGGGCTAAACAAACATACCACGGAATTCATTTAAATCTCATATTTGTCTGTATTACATAGAACTTTTTTCACTCAATAATATTATCACTTTTATTTTCTTTTACAGGCAACATTAAGAAAAGCCTGTCCTTACTGACCGTACTTCAACATGAAGGAAAAGGAGTCTGGTCATTTAAACTTTGTATTGATAAATATGTAGCAAACACCAAACACAAAACCTTTAATCACATATGTAAACAAAATATTTTCTTATCATAATGTAATGACTTTGAAAAAAAATGGATGATTTATTGATGGCAACACCCACTGTCTGATTTTTTTCTTTTTTTTTTTAATTCTTAAATCAAACTTACATTACATGCAGCGCTAGTGTAATTCTTACTTTTCATAATGTACTTTTATCTGTTCATGTGAGAAGGTATTGGTTTTTATACAATTGGTTTAGGTGAGAAATCGTGTCCGTTTCTCATGACGTTACTCTCAGGAACAATGTTGTAATAATCAATACCAGCTGACAGGAGCAGATAACTCAGCATAACAAAAAGACAGAACAGATTTTATTGCCTTGCAGACAAAAATTTCTTACTTTTTCTGTTTTCCATCGTTCCCTGGCTGTTACTGGTGCAGTACGAGGTCGCTTGCCTGCATGTGTAGCACCAACAGGACGTTTGGATTTGGCAAGGTTTTTCACATAGGTGTGCCCACCAAATCGTGTAGTCTGCCATCTGGACAAAGGGAGACAACTATTACTGAACTGGACAGAAGACTTTAAATTTTGAAGATAGGAGTAACTGAACCCTATTATGACTTTCCAAAGTTAACTTTTGAAAAGAAAGACTGATTTATTTGTACATTCCCCCCAGTTTTATTCTATGTTCTGAGGTCAGCTGATATCATCATGAAAACAAATGTCAAACAAAACTGACGTTACAATTTCCATCACTAAGAACGCTTCATCAAATTTCTTGTAACCACTGAACACAACAGCTGACTGTTTTCACTTTAACTGAAAAAGGGTATACATTAATTAGTTGACAAATGTTCGAAATGCAAATATTTTCACAATATACATTTCAATTATGCAATATGTTACATATAGAAAATACAATTTCATCACTACAGATACACCGAACAACCATTATAAAAGCAGTATTTATAGCTGTAGATATTTAGTTTCCCTACCCAGCAGAGAAGCATGTTACAATTTATGAAAAGCAATTATAATCTTATTAAATCATATTACTTGATTATCATATTAAAATGCAATGATGGTAAAATAATTAAGACCTTAGAGAAAATAAGCTCTACTTATTTGATTATAAAGAATTTCAATTTTGTCAAATACAGTAAATTCAAAATACAAAATATTATATATATATTACTTGACTTATGAACATGTGGTTAAACGGTTGCCTCCTTTTTAATGGCTGAAGTGAATGAACCAATTTAATATAAACCAAAACAATGTGAGAAGGATAGGCTAATTTAGTTAAATGTAAGTACACAGCTAGCATTTTGATTGCCATGATAAGAAATATAATTTGTACTATAAAGAATAGTTCAATATATATGAATGCATGTAAATGAATAGCTTAGATATAGTCTTCATCAATTTCCACATCTGTACAAGACCTTAATTGGTTCAAACAGTTCGACCACAGAACTGGAAAGCATTATTTTGGTGCTCACTTGTATCGTATGGAGTCCGGTGTTATTTTCCCGCGCCAGTCTATGGCCTGAATCACAGTGTTAGTTGGCGTGGAAACAGACTTTCGAGGAGTGAATTTTTCAGGTGCATCAGGTGAGGGGATGAGTATATCACGGCTTGTGAAGGGGTTAGAGGTCAGGAAAAAAGGTCGTGACACAACAACATCCGTGGATGTTACTGGCTGACTGATAACAAGATGGACGACACCAGATCAGAAAAGAATATCATAGATAATAGTTAACAAATACATTCACCAGTTGTATAATGTATAGGTAAAAGATTACATTGTTCATTACACCACGTGCCAATACAAGATTATACCTTTAACTGTTTATAAACCTACACCAGATATATAAGTCACAAAATGGGCTCCCTACAGAATAAGTAAACTGGAGAAAATGACTCATAAATTACCAGGTACTGTATAGTGGGAACTTTCACCCATGGTGATATTCATCCCTCCCGCCCCTAAACAGGTAGGGTGAATCACAAGATGGGGTAAAGATTTGTTACACTTCTATAAACCATTAATATAATTCTCAGAGCGAGAAATGAACATGAGGCAAATTTGTGTATAATTGTCCAAGTGGGAAAAATAGTCTAGGGTGAAAATATGCCAGTACACATTATGATATAAATACAGAACATCCTGGTTTGTTTCTGAGGTACATTAATTGCAGACAGAATTATACTTCTTGCTTTTCCTAATTTGATAAAGGAATATGCCTCTCAGGTTTATAATCTTTTGTCTCCTAAGCAAATTGTCGACATATGAATATCTGAACGTAAAGTATCAGATATTGATTCTCCGTTAGCCGGTCTGATACAGAAATAAAATGATTTACTTCAATACATGACTGCTACTCCAAATTAAACATTTTATCATACACTAGATCTACATCTTGCTCCTGGGAACCACACCCTCTCTAAGACAAACCCTCCTCCTAGATCCTATGTAAGATCATACACTTAATCTACCACTGCCTCATGGAAAACACATCCTCTCTAAGACAAACCCTCCCCTTAGGTCCAACATAAGATCATATATTTAATCTACCACTGCCCTATAGAAAACGCATTCTCTCCTTGATCCCTCTATGTCCAAGGTCCTATGAATGATCCAATATATAATAGATCAACAGTTGCCTCCTGTCAACAACCTCCCCAAATTCACCTCATAAATCAATTCCTATCAGTTCTTATAAACCACACCCTCCCTGAGATCACTCACTACAGATCATAAATGACTATTAGAATTATAGAAACCACATACCTTAAAAGATATCCTACAATAGATTATAAATGATTTCTAGAATTACAGAAACCACGCACCCCAAAAGATCACATATTAGATCTACAGCTGATTTCCTATTTACAACAGCCTCTATCATACACAAAACATGTCCTTAACTCCCTTATAGGATCCCCATCCTCTCTAAGATTATATCCTCTATTGCTTCCCATTAATGTAGATTAACAGATTAGGACTAACTGATTAAATGTTGTGCTGATAAATTAATAGTAAAGATAGTAAATGATACTCACGTTGGCGTGTTGGAGCGTTGTACAGGACTAGTAGACCGCATAGCATGCTGTGTGTGAAACGTTGGTGAGGCGGATCTCATCCCTGGAGGGTAAACAGGGCTGGCTGATCGGATTCCTGTGGCAGTACTGGGGCGGGACAAAGGTGTCATTGGAACGCCCATACTGGATGGCTGACGGAACCCAGGCTGAGGGGTCGGGGCCAACTGTGGTGGAAATTAGAAATCTTTATTTTAAATATATCACAATGCTGTGCAGCAATAATATTTATGGTTGGTATATAAAAATATAAATTTTATTGTTATTTACATGCTTTTTGCCTGTAAAATCTATTTGTTCTGTTGCTATGCCTGTTGATAACAGACCTTTTGTCTGTAGATAGTGAGTGTTCTGTTGCTATGCCTGTTGATAGTGAGTGTTCTGTTGCTACCTTTGATAACTATTTTGTCTGTAGATAGTGAGTGTTCTGTTGCTATGCCTGTTGATAACAGACCTTTTGTCTGTAGATAGTGAGTGTTCTGTTGCTATGCCTGTTGATAACAGACCTTTTGTCTGTAGATAGTGAGTGTTCTGTTGGTGTACCTGTTGATAACAGACCTTTTGCCTGTAGATAGTGAGTATTCTGTTGGTGTACTTGTTGAGAACTGACCTTTCACCTGTAGAAAGTGAGTGTTCTGTTGGTGTACTTGTTGAGGACTGACCTTTCACCTGTAGATAGTGAGTGTTCTGTTGGTGTACTTGTTGAGAACTGACCTTTCACCTGTTGGTGTACTTGTTGAGGACTGACCTTTCACCTGTAGATAGTGAGTGTTCTGTTGGTGTACTTGTTGAGAACTGACCTTTTCTTTATAATGAGACATATCTTCTGTGACATCATCAATCATATGCACCACCTGGTCTAGTCGCACCAAATGTCCAGTACCAACCACTTCCAGCTCCTTCTCTTCTTGTTGTTTTTCCTCATTCTCCCTTTTAAAATAAGTAACAGAAATCATTATTTATTTCAATGCCTCTTCTAGGATTTGAACCCAGGACCTCTGGCTTACTAGCCTGACAATGAACTGATCGAGCCAAAGAGAAGTTCTCTAACCAAACATTACATTACGGTTAATACTTAACCAGGGTAGATACATGATTTATAACAAGGTAAAACATATGTTCACATTCTCTACACAATCAATCAAATTTTTCAAAAGTATCTTTATATAAGATTATTTCAACACCAGTGGGATATGTCTTACTTGTTGAGAAGTTTCCTGCCCAATGGCTGTACTCTCTGGTTCTTGTTCTCTGGTTTTTTGTCCTTGACCTCAGCCTTGGCAGAGGACTTGCTGGATGAGGAGTATGGTCTGTATTTAGGCAGCTTTGCTGGGTAGTGTCCATCAGTAAACTGGTAGAACTCCTCAAGTTCCTGGGTACTGATAGATTTAACAGGGTTGACCTCTACTGGCAGGGGACCCAATACTGTGGAAATAGGGTAAAGGAAAATCATTGGAATAAACTTTTAATCAGTGTTCAATAGTAAGAAGTGTGTGTAACAAAATATTCAATTCTTATTTCAAGATAGATCAAAATGTATCATGAAAGTGGCTTCTCTAGAATATACTATTTTGTTCTTTTGCATTTTTAGGGGTTTTTTGTTTTGTTTTGTTTATTTTTGTTTCTCCAATTCCCAAAGGAATGGCATATTCAAATAAACAATGTCATCATCAGATATTTGTGTGAAAAAAAACACTTCCACAATCTGATATATCTACTTTTCTTCTTAAGAAGAGAATACCACTGTATTCAAGTTATCTATCATTCATACCCACACCTAGAACACTCACCTTCAGGCTCTTTACTGTCTGGGTTCTGAGAGGTATAGAAAGCCAGGACCTGTGGCGTCTCAGTCTCAGGTGCCTCGCCCTGATCATGAGCAGCATAGCGCACATCAACAGCAGTACCACTACGTCCCACGAAGTTCAGCTTACCTGACATAAACAGATCACACAGCAATTAGACAAATTATGTGTTATTCTCTCAATTTCTCTCCTTGTAATAAAGCAATATTATCAGTAATTATGCTAAATAGTCTAAGCTAAATCTCATTAACAAAAACCCATAAAAACACAATAATTCATCTATATCTCTTGCAGAACAACATGATCTCTTTACTGGGTACACACTGAGAGATATCTAACAGAACAACAGGATCTCTTTACTGGGTACACACTGAGAGATATCTTACAGAACAACAGGATCTCTTTACTGGGTACACACTGAGAGATATCTTACAGAACAGGATCTCTTTACTGGATACACACTGAGAGATATCTTACAGAACAACAGGATCTCTTTACTGGGTACACACTGAGAGATATCTTACAGAACAACAGAATCTCTTTACTGGGTACACACTGAGAGATACCTTACAGGGTACACACTGAGAGATATCAGAATCTCTCTTTACTGGGTACACACTGAGAGATATCTTACAGAACAACAGAATCTCTTTACTGGGTACACACTGAGAGATATCTCACAGAACAACAGAATCTCTTTACTGGGTACACACTGAGAGATATCTTACAGAACAACAGAATCTCTTTACTGGGTACACACTGAGAGATATCTTACAGAACAACAGAATCTCTTTACTGGGTACACACTGAGAGATATCTTACAGAACAACAGAATCTCTTTACTGGGTACACACTGAGAGATATCTCACAGAACAACATGATCTCTTTACTGGGTACACACTGAGAGATATCTCACAGAACAACAAGATCTCTTTATTGGGTACACACTGAGAGATATCTCACAGAACAACAGAATCTCTTTACTGGGTACACACTGAGAGATATCTCACAGAACAACAAGATCTCAATCTTTATGAGGTATACATTGTATGTTGAGGGATAACATGCTGTTATTAATATCCATCTGTTTCTGGAGTTCTGCAAAATTTATTTAATACTCTCTTATCTTATGTAAATATTTAAATAATCATTAATTTTATGTTAATATTTAAATGATCATTAATTTTATGAAAATAATCAACATTGTTTGTATAATTTATATCTTGAAATACGAAAAGGAAAGAAAATGGGAAAAACAGGAAAAAAGAAAAAATAATAAGGTAAAGTATTATCAAATAATTTTTTTTTTAATTTTAAATGCATTCTTAAACAAAATGTTTTCTGAGATTGGACAATTTAGGTTCTTTCTGTGATCCTCCTTCAGATTTAAAGAGCTGTTTTTGTTTATCTGTTTGACCAGTTGGAAGAAAGGTGTTCATTTATGAAACAAACAGTCCCCAGGACATTGCAGTGTGATGACACTTAAAGCTTACCAGACCTGCAGGAATGTAAAAAGTGTTAAATTTTGGCCTGTAAAATATCTTAATCAGATTTGAATTTCATTCATTCTTTTTCAATCTTTTATGCAAACTCGCAAACTATCTTAAGATTTCTGGTTTCATCCATGTGCTTTTTGAAACATCATGAATCCCAGTTTTCTCTATTTTTATAATTTTGTATGATGTAGTGTTCAGACATACTCTAAAAATTAGAAGAATGGCAAAAACAACATCCATTTAAAAAAAAAACAAAATTATAACTAAAATTCTACAAATAATTAAATAAATCAAGAAAGAATACAAAAAAAAAATCCATTGGACTCGTTACCATCACCAATTCTAATTAGTTAATTTCTAACAAGTTTTTTTGTCCCTCAAAAACCAAGGATTGGAATTGTTCAGTCATTGATCAAAATTTGATTGCTTGTGATAAAAGTCAAATTGCTTGTCTGTATTTTACATCTGATTGATTAATTAATATAATTATGAATATTTTTAGATTAAAGATTCTATAATTTAAGAAAGCCAAATTGCTTGTCTGTATATATGCATATACACCTCTAATTAATTAACCAATATAATTATGTATATTTTAATATTGGTGTTTAGAATCCTTCAAAAATTGACATCAACTTCCATCCTGATGACAACAAGATCTGTAAACATCTATTCAGTATATTCTGGTGACTGTTTACTAATGCAATCATAATTACCTGGATTGTAGACTAAAAAAATTGGGTACCCCTAGCACCCAGGATTGAATGAGAGGTCACCAGAACAAAACCTTTGCCGTTTACAGAAACTGTAGAGGATCAAAGTGAATAATGATATTCTAATCAGCTTGACCAATTCCAATCAACCATAAAAAATAAACTGATCAAACACTATATATTTAAGGCACACATTGCTATAAAGCATGTAACTAGATATTTGTAAGAACTGCCAGTTACTACGAACAGTGAGTGAGTGTAATTTTTTTATATAAACACCTTATAAATGTATCGCTTTATTACAGCCACCATAGAAACAAAATCAAAATGCTATATTCAATCATCACCTTCTCACCAAAAACAGATCCCTCTCATACCCTGTATTGTTAATAACTTAATCTTAGTGTGAACAAAATGCAAACATGTTCAAAAGTGATGTTTTCAGCTTATCATAGTAGACAATCAATTTCAAAAATGGTGTGACTTTCAGGAGTAAAATTTTGGTAAACATCTGCATCAAAAAAATTAATTTTCAGGTGAACAGAAATTTCTCTGAACAAATCAAATAGTTGGGAAGGTGATGTTATGAAACTGTTGAATAAATTAACATAATTAGGACAAAAAATGGGTCAATGTGACAACAGATATGGAAACAAAAACAGATGTCACCATGACGACAGATACAGAAACAAAATATGAACAAAAAGAGACATTCAAAACTTTACAATCAAGTATTGTCTTTAATTACCTTTAGGATAAGCCCTAGCACCAGGGCTTACATTATTTCCTAAGCAGTCAGAAAGGAAAAAACAATTCAGTTTTATTTTGTGTCAACATTACAGGTAAAACATCACAATACTTTTTGAGCAATAAGCCCATACCTGTTAATAAGCCCATCTATATCTATTACAGTTTCAGTAAGAATTCTAGGAAAATCTAAGTCATCATCTTGTTAAAAGCCAGCCTCCTAAAGTTGAGCCAATGTCAGAGTCCCTGTGCTAATTGTGGAGAAGTTATGTATTGGCTCCCTGTGCTAAATGTGGAGAGGTCGTGTGGTGGTTTCCTGTTCTAATTGTAGAGAAGTTATGTAGCAGTTCCCTGTGCTAAATGTGGAGAGGTCGTGTGTAGAATCCCTGAGGAACTAAAATATAAAATAAATATAGACTCCCTGTGCTAATTGTGGAGAGGTTATGTGTAGGCTCCCTGTGCTAATTGTAGAGAGGTTATGTATAGACTCCCTGTGCTAATTGTAGAGAGGTTATGTATAGGCTCCCTGTGCTAATTGTAGAGAGGTTATGTATAGGCTCCCTGTGCTAATTGTAGAGAGGTTATGTGTAGGCTCCCTGTGCTAATTGTAGAGAGGTTATGTATAGGCTCCCTGTGCTAATTGTAGAGAGGTTATGTATAGACTCCCTGTGGTAATTGTAGAGAGGTTATGTGTAGGCTCCCTGTGCTAATTGTAGAGAGGTTATGTATAGGCTCCCTGTGCTAATTGTAGAGAGGTTATGTATAGGCTCCCTGTGCTAATTGTAGAGAGGTTATGTATAGACTCCCTGTGCTAATTGTGGAGAGGTTATGTATAGACTCCCTGTGCTAATTGTAGAGAGGTTATGTATAGACTCCCTGTGCTAATTGTAGAGAGGTTATGTATAGACTCCCTGTGCTAATTGTAGAGAGGTTATGTATAGACTCCCTGTGCTAATTGTGGAGAGGTTATGTATAGACTCCCTGTGCTAATTGTAGAGAGGTTATGTATAGGCTCCCTGTGCTAATTGTAGAGAGGTTATGTATAGACTCCCTGTGCTAATTGTAGAGAGGTTATGTATAGGCTCCCTGTGCTAATTGTAGAGAGGTTATGTATAGACTCCCTGTGCTAATTGTGAGAGGTTATGTGTGCTAATTGTAGAGAGGTTATGTATAGGCTCCCTGTGCTAATTGTAGAGAGGTTATGTATAGGCTCCCTGTGCTAATTGTAGAGAGGTTATGTATAGGCTCCCTGTGCTAATTGTAGAGAGGTTATGTATAGACTCCCTGTGGTAATTGTGGAGAGGTTATGTATAGACTCCCTGTGCTAATTGTGGAGAGGTTATGTATAGACTCCCTGTGGTAATTGTAGAGAGGTTATGTATAGACTCCCTGTGCTAATTGTGGAGAGGTTATGTATAGACTCCCTGTGCTAATTGTGGAGAGGTTATGTATAGACTCCCTGTGCTAATTGTGGAGAGGTTGTGTATAGACTCCCTGTGCTAATTGTGGAGAGGTTATGTATAGACTCCCTGTGCTAATTGTGGAGAGGTTATGTATAGACTCCCTGTGCTAATTGTGGAGAGGTTGTGTATAGGCTCCCTGTGCTAATTGTCGAGAGGTTATGTATAATTGTCTAATTGTCAGATAACAATGATATTAACCTAATAAACAGAATATGAACACTCTCTTAGCATTGACAATTATAACATTCTATAAAAAGGAAAGTTGTTATCAAAGTGTCTCTTTATTACTGATCTACATGTAATAAATTGTTACAAATTGAAATAAAGATTGTATTTGTAAATCATGCAGTTTCTAATATAATGCCTGTAGCTCTAGATCTATAGAATATGTTTTTTTAAGAATGAGTAAATTGAATTCTGCAATGTTGTGTTGTGTTTCATTGGTAATATCAGTGTTTCATTACAACATTGGCAAACTAATTTGAACTACAAGCTTAAACATTGCTAAAGCACCAGTATATGGCTTCCAAGTTATGTTGAGACATATTACCTGTGAAAATTATTGAGGCAAATTATTTTATTATAGGAAATTATTTCTAAAAAGTGTTCAAAATACATCTGATCAACCAAATAAATGAATACTTAAAAGGTATTTATATTTTTGATATTTCACATTTTATTTATGTAAAAAAAAATATAAAACCTACTTAGTATCTCCTGTCCATAATTCCAGTCCTTGTTGAACGATTTCCAGTTCTCTATTTTGGGGCTTCCTGTTGTTGGTCTAAATCTGGGTAACCCATCACCTTGTTGATTACAGTCGCTGGCTACAAAAAAAAATAGACAGTAGTAAATGACACACGATAATACCTCATTTTAAAATATCTAAAGTAGAATAAAGAAAGATTACAATTTCCTTTTCTCAAGGTTTACCTGAATTAATTTATTTTTCATATGTTTACTAATCAAAGTGCTGTCCTTCATTTCGACATTTCGATATTTCGATACTCTGTAAAATCTTCAATTTGATTTCAATTTTCTAAAAAGTTAGTAAATCACATAACAATACCAGAAATATTGTTATTAGAAAGATGGAAGCTCATCAAATATCATAAATATCTTCTGACCTTCATTGACACAAACAATCCTCCCATTTTGGAAATTAAATGAAAAACTCTCTAATTGGTGTTATTCCCCTTAGTATCAGTTTCAGATATTTAAACATTTGTTTCAGTTCCTACATCTTTGAAATTCCTTAATGATTTCATAATCAAAAGTTCCTTATTCAAATGCCTTTGATATGATATTATATATATATATGATATAGTACCAAAGCAATTCTGAAGTATGACCTTTACAGGTAATGATAAAGTGTGTCACCTTTACAGGTAATGATTAAGTGTGTCACCTTTACAGGTAATGATTAAGTATGTCAACTTTACAGGTAATGATTAAGTGTGTCACCTTTACAGGTAATGATTAAGTATGTCACCTTTACAGGTAATGATTAAGTATGTCACCTTTACAGGTAATGATTAAGTATGTCACCTTTACAGGTAATGATTAAGTATGTCACCTTTACAGGTAATGATTAAGTATGTCACCTTTACAGGTAATGATTAAGTGTGTCACCTTTACAGGTAATGATTAAGTGTGTCACCTTTACAGGTAATGATTAAGTATGTCACCTTTACAGGTAATGATTAAGTATGTCACCTTTACAGGTAATGATTAAGTATGTCACCTTTACAGGTAATAATAAAGTGTGTAACCTTTACAGGTAATGATAAAGTGTGTAACCTTTACAGGTAATGATTAAGTGTGTAACCTTTACAGGTAATGATTAAGTATGTCACCTTTACAGGTAATGATTAAGTGTGTCACCTTTACAGGTAATGATTAAGTATGTCACCTTTACAGGTAATGATTAAGTGTGTCACCTTTACAGGTAATGATTAAGTGTGTCACCTTTACAGGTAATGATTAAGTGTGTCCCCTTTACAGGTAATGATTAAGTGTGTCACCTTTACAGGTAATGATTTAGCATGTCACCTTTACAGGTAATGATTAAGTATGTCACCTTTACAGGTAATGATTAAGTGATAATGATTAAGTGTGTCACCTTTACAGGTAATGATTAAGTGTGTCCCCTTTACAGGTAATAATAAAGAATGTCACCTTTACAGGTAATGATTAAGTATGTCACCTTTACAGGTAATGATTAAGTGTGTCACCTTTACAGGTAATAATAAAGTATGTCACCTTTACAGGTAATGATTAAGTGTGTCCCCTTTACAGGTAATAATAAAGTATGTCACCTTTACAGGTAATGATTAAGTGTGTCCCCTTTACAGGTAATAATAAAGTATGTCACCTTTACAGGTAATGATTAAGTATGTCACCTTTACAGGTAATGATTAAGTATGTCACCTTTACAGGTAATGATTAAGTGTGTCACTTTTACAGGTAATGATTAAGTGTCACCTTTACAGGTAATGATTAGTGTCACCTTTACAGGTAATGATTAAGTGTGTCACCTTTACAGGTAATGATTAAGTATGTCACCTTTACAGGTAATGATTAAGTATGTCACCTTTACAGGTAATGATTAAGTATGTCACCTTTACAGGTAATGATTAAGTGTCACACCCCTACAGGTAATGATTAAGTGTCACACCCCTACAGGTAATGATTAAGTATGTCACCTTTACAGGTAATGATTAAGTATGTCACCTTTACAGGTAATGATTAAGTGTCACACCCCTACAGGTAATGATTAAGTATGTCACCTTTACAGGTAATGATTAAGTGTGTCACCTTTACAGGTAATGATTAAGTGTGTCACCTTTACAGGTAATGATTAAGTGTGTCACCTTTACAGGTAATGATTAAGTGTGTCACCTTTACAGGTAATGATTAAGTATGTCACCTTTACAGGTAATGATTAAGTATGTCAACTTTACAGGTAATGATTAAGTGTGTCAACTTTACAGGTAATGATTAAGTGTGTCACCTTTACAGGTAATAATAAAGTATGTCACCTTTACAGGTAATGATTAAGTATGTCACCTTTACAGGTAATGATTAAGTGTCACACCCCTACAGGTAATGATTAAGTATGTCACCTTTACAGGTAATGATTAAGTGTCACACCCCTACAGGTAATGATTAAGTGTGTCACCTTTACAGGTAATGATTAAGTATGTCACCTTTACAGGTAATGATTAAGTATGTCACCTTTACAGGTAATGATTAAGTATGTCATGATTAAGTATGTCACCTTTACAGGTAATGATTAAGTATGTCACCTTTACAGGTAATGATTAAGTATGTCACCTTTACAGGTAATGATTAAGTGTCACACCCCTACAGGTAATGATTAAGTGTCACACCCCTACAGGTAATGATTAAGTGTCACACCCCTACAGGTAATGATTAAGTGTCACACCCCTACAGGTAATGATTTGGTAATGATATATGGATATGATAACACAACATAACTGATATTACCATGTTGCTGCTGTCGAGACTTGCTACCAGACAACACTCTCATGGATGATGCCATGTTTTCCCGAGCAGCTAGATAGTCTTGTTGTGCTTGTTCTGCCTCCTGGGCAGCCAGCTGTGCATGGGGGTTCACCAGGCTGGCTATCGGATGTATCATTTTCTTCGGCAGAAATGCAGCATTGGACACATTGGATGACTTAAAGATAAAACATCAAGAAAGTTAAAAACTTTATCATTCTGAGGTGTTGGGGGTAGGGGATACAGGGAAGGGGTAGTAGGAGGCAGGGGATTAGGGGGTAGGGGGTAAAGGTAAGGGGGAAGGGGGAGGAGAGGTGGTAATTATAGCACATTTTAACAACACTGAAATGTGAGAACTCAAAAAGTAACAGTGGTCAATACATATTTCATTAACTCCTTTAGGGATCAGTCTGCCCCTTTCTGACTTACTTAAGTCTGATACTCTAATGATAAATTTCTGGTTTGGTGTTCTTTCAAGTTGATTTTTATTGTTAATAACATGTGAATAATTTATAATTATGTTGTTGTCATGTTTGAATAACAATGAATTTAAATTTTACAAATTCTTGAACTCTCAAAAGTCACTCAAATATAACATTATTTACCCCAAAATCATCATTCTTTTTTAGGAGGGAGAAGAAAACATGTCTGATATCTTACAATTGCAGATTTTTTTCAATGGCTATAAACTAAGCAGAAAGTAGACAGAAAAGTTTGTAGTTATTTCCCAAATCCATTTTTTCCAAAAATACACAAAAAATTAAATTTCATATAATCTATTTGTTACATTAAGATATTTGAATACAAGAATTCGTCTTGAAAATCTCCATGAAAGTCATTCTTTTGTTCATAATTTGCCCTAGTATTATATTTGGGTTTGGATTATGATTGTGTTAACATGTTGGTATTTTCTCAGTGTTTTTTGGTGCATGTTCAATACATACTTTTTGAGCAATGGAACTAATTGGAAAATCTAAAAGTGTGAAATGTGGCCGATGAAAATATCAGCAGAAAAGTAACACTATATTCTTAAAGTTTCAGGACTTTTTTATTGTATAATTTTATGTTTAATCCCTAACCTGTATAGTTTTTTATTTTCTGACAACACATACTCATACCTTTCAACAAACTGATCTTTTGGTTTCACTTTGTTTTTAAAGATTGAGATTAGACAAGAGGCACAATAAGCCTGCATTGCTTACATGGTATTCAATGTTTGAAAAATTCAAGTCAAATACCATGCTGATGCACCTTTTGGTTGGTCAGAAGAATTCATGCTAAGGCTTTGACATATTTGACCCCTGTAATCTTTAATAGATGTTAAGGTCATTTTTTTCACAAATTTTGTTAAACCTATCAGCCAAATATCTGGCTTCTGGCCTTTTAGCGAGTCAGAAGAAGTTATTTTAACAATTCAACTAATTTAAGCCTGTAACCTTGAATTTGGGTCAAGGTCTTCTTTTTTCAGTAAACTTTGTCAGACTTTATCCTAGGAACCTATCAGCCAAATACCTCGCTTTTGAGCTTTTTGGTTAGCCAAAAGAAGTTATTTTTTAATGTTTTAATATGTTTGACCCCTGTGACACTGACATTGTGATATTCATAATGAGCAGTGAATAAGACTAAAAATGATACAGTAGAAGGGTTTTATAATCAGAAGATTAATTAATGTTAGACAGGGTCACCAACATACCCTGTCTGTGATGGTTGGTCGGATACTGGCAGATGGAGTCTGGGCGCGTGATAATTTTCGCCTTGTCTCTGGAAACTCCATGTCTTCAGCATCTGTGTTCACGACCTCCTCATCCAGGTCCTTATCGCCACGGTGGCTCTCACTGATTAGACTCTCAATGTAATGGGGACTGATGTTGGAGGCATCATCTATTTCCCGGCGTGGCGTATTATCTCCATTTTCATCGTGTGGAGAAGCCAAGCGCTGCAGCTGTGGATAAAAAGTTCATTAAATTTACCTTTAAATCTCAGACATTTAAACTTCACAGCTCAAAATATACCAATCAGGCAATGATATATGAATGCAACATTAGAGAATCATGAAAGGGCCATAACACTGAAGAAATAAACTGCACATACCAAAATATGAGTTCAAAGTTCAAGAGTCATTTAAAGTGTAACTTAGGAAAAAATGAGTTGACTGCATGGAAACAAATAAAAAATGGCCTACATTTTCAGGTTGTACAATAATGGACCTCAATATCTTCATCACATACCCAGAGTCAATTAGCAGACACCAAATTATATGACATGATGAGAGAATGATGGCATTACAGTCAAGCATCCATGGACAAATACATGTCTTGTCACTTCATCATGGAGGTATCAAAATTCTTACCTGATCTACTTAAACACAGATTGCTCCTAGTGAAGTCCATGGTCAGACTAAGTATTGCTAATCAGACTGAATGTAGTTTTTAAACATCACACACACCAACAATTTATCACAGCACTGTTATAACAGCACGACACAACTAATCGCCATTTATTACCCAATCTAACCATTACAACGAATGACTTGTCCATGATCACACTGTAATGATTTCCAAAAAAAGGCCAGCAATCAATGTGTGTTCCTGTGTGTTCCGTATGATAGTGTAATAGCTTCCTATAGGCGTAAACGTGTAACATACGGGACGTCTATTTCTGTCAGGTACAAACTATTGATCTATCATTAGGCAATTCACAATATTGGATTCAGACCAGAGTAAACATTTTCATATACTACTTCAGGCAATACAGTCCTAAAGGCAATTTGGAATAATAATAGCTTTGCTTAAAAAAGGATGCAATTTTCCAGGCATATTAAAAGTCAATATTAAGTTGTTTAACTTTTTTTGTGTTTCATTCCAGCTATAGAATCATGTATGACAAATACAAGGTATTGACTTGCTTGAAGGACATAGGTTTAAGGTAAAATTACTTTACCAAATTCTACCATAACATACCGGTAATCAATAACACAACTATCAATTAAGGGTGTATGGTACCTTACACATTCATGTATCTAAAATTGTTAGAGTTAAAACTCAAAATACTTATCAACATTTTACAATAACTCTAATACTAACAAACAGTTATCAATACATGTAAGTATGACAAGGAATCCTTAAGTGTGACCAAAGTAACATCAATCTAAGATATTTTATAGAAGTCCTGAAGGAGGTGTGAATAACAGTAAGGCACCACACATCCTTCAGCTTCCTCCTTTTCCTGTCACAGTGAGCTATATATATCCTAATATATGTCCCTCCTTTTCCTGTCACAGTGAGCTATATATATCCTAATACATGTCACAGTGAGCTATATATATCCTAATACATGTCCCTCCTTTTCCTGTCACAGTGAGCTATATATATCATAATACATGTCACAAAGAGCTATATATATCCTAATACATGTCCCCCCTTTTCCTGTCACAGTGAGCTATATATATCCTAATACATATCCCTCCTTTTGCTGTCACAGTGAGCTATATATGTCCTTATACATGTCACAGTGAGCTATATATATCCTAATACATATCCCTCCTTTTCCTGTCACAGTGAGCTATATATATCCTAATACATGTCCCTCCTTTTCCTGTCACAGTGAGCTATATATCCTAATACATATCCCTCCTTTTCCTGCCACAGTGAGCTATATATATCCTAATACATGTCCCTCCTTTTCCTGTCACAGTGAGCTATATATATCCTAATACATATCCCTCCTTTTCCTGTCACAGTGAGCTATATATGTCCTTATACATGTACCCTTTTAAGCATTACACTACATTATAATAAAACTAAATTTCAACAAAATGCTACCTACATTGATTATATACTTATTAGTATGAAAAATATAAACTGAAAGAAAAATTAAAATGAAGTGATTGTAGTATTTTGAAATTTTGCAAAAGATAAAAGTGGTGCTACAGAAACATGAAATGTAAATGAACCTGTTTATGTTAGATAAACAGATCAATGCTTGTAACAGAACACAGATATTCACTAAACTATGATGAAATATTTCTTCCAATATACAAAAGCCACTTGTAATCCTGTAAAACATAAGTAACCAGTAAAACGTCTGACATTTCCAGCTGGTATGTATTACCCCGATGTACCTCTCCTGAATATATCCACTGTTTCAGTCAATAATAGATGAGTACTTATTTTTCACACCACAAAGGTATTTAGATGTTCCTCTATCTGAAGTTTCCAGGAAAATTTTCAAACGGAATTAAGTATGATCATCAGCCTAGTTCCATTTCCTGAAGGTAATTATCCCAGGTATCCACACGTATAACCTATTTCCTCAGTTAAGGGAGCCAATTCTTACCTTATATACTTAGTCTGTCTCCATCAACCCAGCTCAAATAGATGTACACTCCTATAGATATGTTCAGATACTTCAGTAATGCTAAACTGGTGACCACACAGTGAGTTGGGTATAATTCCCAGCCTAACAACTCACAGTATATAATGTCCCTAGTAGCCAGATATAAACTGTACTCCTTACACAAGCTTATAAACACTCATTTATTTCAACAGCACCATATCTCACAGTGACGACAAACAACACAAAGGTGGGTATTTACATAAAACACAAGCTAGTGGAATGAACTGTTTACCTTCCCAGCTCTGTAATAAAGAGCATGAACAGGCTTCCTACTGTGCTAATACCTTTAAAATTGACAGTATAGTTCTTCGTATTATTTTTGTAACTTAAAATCCACACAGATTCAATGTTGTACTGTGATGACAAGTGTAGTGTCAATTTTGTGTGCATTACCAGTACAATAGTATAAAGGATCCCATTAATAAACTGTCAGACTTGTTACATCCACATCTCATACTCTGTTTACTTATCAAAAGTTTGCATACAGTGCAAACCTGTCTTTATTGACAGCAAGGCATGAAACTGAATAATTTGCTCTGGGCTGACCGAAGAATGGGATGAGAATTCAATGGTGACTGTAGGATGTTCAGATAAAAACAGTTGTCAGGTATTGTAGGATGCTCTGATAAGTCAGGTGTCAGGTACTGTAGGATGTTCTGATAAGTCTGGTGTCAGGTACTGTAGGATGTTCAGATAAGACAGTTGTCAGGTATTGTAGAATGTTCTGATAAGACAGGTGTCAGATACTGTAGGATGCTCTGATAAGTCAGGTGTCAGGTATTGTAGGATGTTCTGATAAGACAGGTGTCAGATACTGTAGGAGGTTCTGATAAGACAGGTGTCAGATACTGTAGGATGCTCTGATAAGTCAGGTGTCAGGTACTGTAGGATGTTCTGATAAGACAGGTGTCAGGTACTGTAGGATGTTCTGATAAGACAGGTGTCAGGTACTGTAGGATGTTCTGATAAGACAGGTATCAGGTACTGTAGGATGTTCTGATAAGTCAGGTGTCAGATACTAGGAGGTTCTGATAAGTCAGGTGTCAGATAGTGTAGGAGGTTCTGGTAAGTCAGGTGTCAGATACTAGGAGGTTCTGATAAGTCAGGTGTCAGATAGTGTAGGAGGTTCTGATAAGTCAGGTGTCAGATAGTGTAGGAGGTTCTGGTAAGCCAGGTGTCAGATACTAGGAGGTTCTGATAAGTCAGGTGTCAGATATTGTAGGAGGTTCTGATAAGACAGGTGTCAGGTACTGTAGGATGTTCTGATAAGCCAGGTGTCAGATACGGTAGAATGTCCTGATAAGGCAGGTATCAGATACTGTAGGATGTTCTGATAAGCCAGGTGTCAGATTCGGTAGAACGTCCTGATAAGACAGGTGTCAGATACTGTAGGATGTTCTGACAAGACAGGTGTCAGGTACTGTAGGATGTTCTGATAAGTCAGGTGTCAGATACTGTAGGATGTTCTGATAAGTCAGGTGTCAGATACTGTAGGATGTTTATCCCCAAAGATGTTTCAGACCAAATTTGATTAAAATACGCCCACTTTTTCATGAGTGATTGCAATATATTTCAAAAGTTCACAGACCACAGACGATGAATGATGAATCCGTATAGCTCACTTGGCCCTTTAGGCCAGGTGAGCTTAAAAGATAAAAGAATAAACAATCCTGTATATATGTTTAAATAGAATATCACTCATTTTTATCTACAATATCAAACATAATTTCTTATTTGCCTCCTAGAAAAATTTACCTCTGTTTCCGGTCTGTCCAGTAGTGTAGGACTAAGGACATGTATGTCATTTACAGCATCCAAAGGCAGCTGGTTCACAACCACGTCTGTACCTGGTGGCATGTCTGTTACAAAGTGTTGATTAAAGTTTGTACTTCCATTGAAAAAGCTTGCAGAGAGATATTCACTAACATAATCCTTGTTTGATGGGAGGTCATGTATCAAAGCTGGACCCCGATTAGGTGTTCCACCTGCTCTGGAGGAAGGCGTTTCATTTCTGAAGAACTGTCGCATCCCATCAGCTGATGACAAACGTGTGACCTTTGGCTGCTTGGATTTGTCTTTTGAAGACTGTCGAGCACTTCGAGGGGTTTTCATGATTTTCTGCTTAAAATCTTCAGCTTCCTTCATCTGAAAGGACTTACCAAAGCGCTGAAAATAAAAAAGATTTTTTTTTCAGAATGGCTTTTGTACATTAAAACATTTGCTGTGTAGAAATATCATAAACACTGTACCCTTATTTCTTATTGAAATGTTCAATAAAGCACAGCTACATGTAATAACACTCAGTTTAAACAGATTCTCTCTTTCTAAAACATGTTAAAAAAATTTTAAAGGATGGTTTTAGGGGTAACAAGAAACAAAAACTCCACAAAGCATCAGGGACATTTTCCAGGGGTAAAAGTAAAAAATAAGTAGTAAAGTGACAACAATAATTCCCTGCTGGTTAGAATACTTACAGGCCTTGATGATAACGTATGTCTGTTTGCCATATACCAGGAATGAACTTTCTGAAGAGATTCCCGTTGCTTTGCTGTACGTAATCTAAAAATAGGAAGCAGTTAGTCAGTTTAAGGTGATATATTTATGTCTTTTAATGGTTAAAGACATTAATTGATAAAGAAGGTTTTTTTGTAAGAGTTATGTCCCTTCTACCTGATATTGATTTTCCAACTTTGTACATACAGTAAAAAGTAAAATATAAACTCTTGTTAATTACACTGATGAGATGAAAAATACTTACTGTTTGACTTCAGACAACATTTTGACGAGGACATGAAAAAATTTGGTGTCTCTAGCAGCTTTTTCTCTATAAGAAAACAAAGAAGTTGATAACTGGCTTCACCGTCTCCCCACATAATATTGCTCACATCAAAAGCCATGGTTATGGTTATGTTACAGACAAGTAACAATGTATTCATACAGTATTGAAAATTCAATAGATTGATAAAATTTTGTTCCTGGCAATCAAATTTCTTTTTTCTTTTTCCAACATTGATTTTGCATTATCATTTTACTGTCTTTTGAGGCACCCTATTTGTAAATGTATGTTTTAAGAACAATAACTGTTGAAACAAACATGTATTCATGACAAACACATATCTATGTTTCTAGGCAAACACTAATATCTCCCCATGTCAAATAATCTTAACAGTTTAATGTTGTACTTGAATCGATAAAAATAATAAAATTTATACCCAGTATCTAAATATCTGCTACAACAGATAAGTAGGAAAACTTAAATTCATTGATCGGTGCCTATGTTGCTGAGAAATACATATTATTTATCAAAACTGATATCTATTTGTACAAACATTTTTTTTTTTAAATCTATGTTCCCAGACAATGTACTAGTATCATTTTTTTTTTCAAGTATCTTTTATATTTATTTGAATTATTGATTTGGTATGTTACATATTTCATTTGAACAGGAAGCACACTCATCCTTTTAGAGTGTTTATTTCCAGCAAAAAATTGATTAACTAGTTGTTGATGAAGTGGCAAGAATGATTAATGTCAATGCCACTATTGGAAGTAATAGACTGGTCCAGGTAAGTGAAAAAGGAATTATATCATGTTTAAAATGAGGGGTCGAAGGACCTTTATCACCCCAGTGGATCAAGTTGTAGACATCCCTTCCCATACAATCTTATCAATGAATTCCGTATCACACCAACGGTAGAACAGATCTCTGTAAAGTCCAGTCAGCTTGGCTCAGTGTATGTAGAAAGGTACATTTTCATGATTAAAAGACTAAAAAAAAAAAAAGAAAATAAAAAATGTTCTAAAATACTTCAATTCCATTTTCTGTGTTTATTTTCTGTGAATAAGCTCTTCCGTTCCTTTATCACAATAAATAATTGTATATTTACAGAAAATTCAAGAAAGAAACAAACAAACAAAGAGTCTATAAATCAAATTTGAACATGCAAGCTGCATTTGTTAGGGGTTGGGAGTTTCATGGAAAGACAATAGAGTTCTTTGACACATAGGGTTATGCTCTCTCCTGCTTCTGTCACACATAGGGTTATGCTCTCTCCTGCTTCTTTGACACATAGGGTTATGCTCTCTCCTGCTTCTGTGACACATAGGGTTATGCTCTCTCCTGCTTCTGTGACACAGGGTTATTCTCTCTCCTGCTTCTGTGACACACAGGGTTATGCTCTCTCCTGCTTTTGTGACTCATAGGGTTATTCTCTCTCCTGCTTCTGTGACACATAGGGTTATGCTCTCTCCTGCTTCTGTCACACATAGGGTTATGCTCTCTCCTGCTTCTTTGACACATAGGGTTATGCTCTCTCCTGCTTCTCTGTGACACACAGGGTTATGCTCTCTCCTGCTTTTGTGACTCATAGGGTTATTCTCTCTCCTGACACATAGGGTTATGCTCTCTCCTGCTTCTGTCACACATAGGGTTATGCTCTCTCCTGCTTCTGTGACACATAGGGTTATGCTCTCTCCTGCTTCTGTCACACATAGGGTTATTCTCTCTCCTGCCTCTGTGACACATAGGGTTAATCTCTCTCCTGCTTCTGTGACACATGGTTATATGCTCTCTCCTGCTTCTGTGACACATAGAGTTATGCTCTCTCCTGCTTCTGTGACACATGGTTATATGCTCTCTCCTGCTTCTGTGACACATAGAGTTATGCTCTCTCCTGCTTCTGTGACACATGGTTATATGCTCTCTCCTGCCTCTGTGATACATAGGGTTATGCTCTCTCCTGCTTCTGTGACACATTGGGTTATTCTCTCTCCTGCCTCTCTCATTACTTAATTTATCATTAAAGACAGCTCAATATAAGTGTACATGGTCGACAGTTGACAAATCTTTGTGACAAGATGAGAAACCATTGCCCCCTCTACGTCAGGTGCTGAGATAAACACTTTAAATGAAGAGAATTAAATTACAGATGATAACCAGGGTGAGACATGTCTGGATAATCAATATTGTATTGATACAGTACAACACAGCTTAGTTGGGATCAGGGTACACAAATACGTCTAGCATTCCAACTGGTCCCTAGTACTTAACCACACTTCTTCTGTTCAGCACGTCATTTAAATCTTAACAGCTTAAAATCTTTAGTCAGTGAGTTTAATATAAATATTCATACCTAACAAATTCTAAAATTATGGGGCTTGGAATAAAGTTTAACAATAAAGACTTGTCTCATTATGTTTATGTTTACAATTGACAATGGTCATCTTCAAATCAGACCAAAGTATGAAATATAGGTACAGAAAAATCTGTCTACAAAGACGAGCCAGTTACTGAATGTATGGTCTTCATACACAGGTAATATTTATATACAGTCTGTCTTTATACACAGGTAATATCTATACACAGTTGGTCTTTATACACAGGTAGAATTTATGTTCAGTCAGTCTTCATACACAGGTAGTATCTAAATACAGTTGGTTTTTATACACAGGTAGTATTTATGCACAGTCAGTCTTCATACACAGGTAGTATTTACATACAGTTGGTCTTCATACACAGGTATTATTTATATATAGTTGGTCTTCATACACAGGTATTATTTATATACAGTCGGTCTTCATATACAGGTATTATTTATATACAGTCGGTCTTCATATACAGGTAGTATTCATGTACAGTTGGTCTTTATACAAAAGTAGTGTTTACATACAAATGGTCTTTATACACAGGTAGAGTTTACATACACATGTCTTCATACACAAGTAGTTCTTATCTACAGGTTTTCTTAATATATCATGTGCACATGCGGTCTCTTATGACTGGGAGTTTTTAAAGAAAAAAAATCAGATATATTAATATATCAGTAACAGGTGGCCTGTGTAGACAGGTAATCTTTATAGACAGGTTGATATAATGAGGGGTGTTTTTATGAACAAGGGTTGTTCTGAACGAGTCATTTTTATGGACAGATGTTTTGTTCATTCATTTACGGAATTCATGTTGTTATAGACAGGATTTTATGAAGAGTTGCTTTTTTCTTTATTCCTACCTAATTTGATCAGTAAGTTCCATAGAAAATATCAAACATTAATATCTTACAAATTTTCACTAAAATTGCTCCTATCATTTAAGATTTTTTGTAGTAGGTGTCTCCTGTCTGTATAATCGCCATTCCTTAAACGACAAAACACCACAACAGAAATGCAGTCAGTTACTTACAGGAGGTCACGGGCCTTCCCGGTCAGGTGGGCCAGTTTGAGGTCACGATGATGCTCCTCTATAGCTCCGTACATGTCCTTGAACTCCTGAACACCCATCAACTGTAATATACAACAAGGGAGATAATCACCAGAGGCTAACTATTACTGTAACCTTTAATAAATATTTAAGTCAATCAACATACTGATGTGATTAGACTACATTACAGTCTGTAAATATATTTATTTATGAGAAAAATTATCTTTCATTTTGATATGGAGTAAGCTAAATTTCAATAGCTGCCTTTCAAGTTTGATCCAAAACTTCCTAAAGTTTTCTCAAATATTTGTCATTCCAGTCATGTGAAGTTGCAATTTTGTTTGCCCTCGGCATTTCCAGTCTGTGCAATTGATAGTAAGCAGCAGGAAACTTTCAATCATTGGATTCTTCTACAGACACTATGTACTGTAAAGATGGAAAGAAAGAAAGAAAATGACCTGAAATATTATAAGTAAGTTTCTTTTATTTCAGACCTCTGATATTCCAAGATTGAATGAAAACTTTCTTTGAACTTTTGGTAGTATAACCATATACTCTGTCAACTCGGAGTTACATCCAGTCAAGATTCAATTGAGATGGTGAGATGTGTTTAATATGTAACATATGTTCTAAGATGTCTATAAAGAATAAGTTGTAATTACATTTAAGATGTTAAAATACTAAATTATCTTGAATTAATAAGGTTTCGCGGACTTAGCAGTGCATGTTCACCAACAACAGGAAGTAGATACAGCTAACAAAGTTTACAAAGATTGAATCTAATAACACAGCTGACTTCAGAAATAGCTGACTCTAAAGACAGCTATTTGTCTTTACAAGAGAACACTGACTGTATGTATGCTATAACTTGTCTTGCTTGTCAATACTGTAATATGTTTTAAGACACAAATTGAATACACCCTTTACCTTGTCTTGTGTGTCAATGCTGTAAGATGTTTTAAGACACAAACTGAATACACTTTATACCTTGCCCTGTGTGTCAATACTCTAATATATTCTTAAACATTAATTGAATTTGCAGTATATCTTGTCCTTTTTTGTCAATGCTATGGTATATACTTGGAAGTGAATTTAATTAGAATATATAAATATTGTCTTTATGTGTCCATGCTGTGGAATATTCTAGGATGTATATGGCATCAGGGCTATATCTATATCACTTTGTGTCCATGCTGTGGTATACTTTGTCCTGATGTTCTATAACTTTAATAAAGCTTCCCTCTGTACTTTTCTGATCGGTCCTGTTATTGAAATATAAATCTATGTTATGACTTTTACACATCAATTCCTTTCATATTTTACCTCAAATCATATTTCTCTTTTTAAACATTCATGTCATTTTCTTTGTAATTCTTTTATCTATAGATGTAATTGAACCTGTACTTTTACAACTATAAGGAGATTTATATAAAGTATTAAATGGCCTATATACAGACGTACCCTTACAGCACAACATAAAATACATACATCTTTATTTAATGAAGTCATGCGTAGATCTGAAAGACAGATTCGATAAATTCTGAATTAAATTAATCCATAAAAACGTGTACTTACATACACTGATCAGTGACTTTATATCTTGTTTCGTAAATTGTGTTAACTAAATAGGTTGGTTGAAAATAATTAAAAGTCCAACACTAATAGAATATATGGCAATTATCCTTGTAATTTGATAGTATCAGTGCATTACTATTTAAACTTGATATAAAGTTTGGGATTTTTTGTGCATGTACAGTGGACCCATATACAATATATTATGGCTTAGGGTTAACATGGGGTAACTGGGTCAATGTGACCTTGGTACTATGACACAACTCAGGGTTAACATGGGTCACCAAAACAATATGACCCAGATACAACAACACACCTCAAATAGAAGCCAAGAGTTCAGAGTAAACATGGCTTAGGGTCAACATGACTTGGTTTGGCATTGCTCAAATTCAATGTTCAGCTCTAAAAAAAGTTCTAGGATGACATGATTCAAGGTCAACATATAGCTCTAGGATGACATGACTCAAGGTTAACATAAAGCTGACAAGTAAACATAACTGAAGTAATATGACATCACTCATGGGTGATCAATGTCAGGAGCAGATGAAGTGAGGGTAGAATTGTATTTAATGATAAATTATCATACAATAAATTTAATGTATATAAGGTAGTTAGATAAAGGGTTATCCTTTATGCAATACTGATAAAACAGTTCTGCTTTATGTACTTTTAATGTAATAGATATTCTAATGATTTTAAATGGATATAAGAAAGTAAAATTTGTATATACTTTGTGTTTCCCTATGGTCTGAAAATGACAGCAAAATACAATAGTTGCCATGTTGATTTCTTCATTAAGTATAAAATCAACATGTACATATATATTATACCAATGGTCTATTACAGTATACATTAATGTCCCAGTATCCTTCCTGCATGCAAAGTTCAATTCATTACTGAACACTAAGGTGTTATGAAAATAAAATTGCCAATAAATATGGCAATTCTTCAAAGTCTCTATAGGTATTTTTTTAAAGCCTCTATTTTCACTGTATCATTCTATTTAATCATTTGAAATGATGTTTGTACTATGTTTGGCTGTAATGTACCAAACAATACAATAACATTTTAAAAATTGTTGACATTTAATTGTAGTTTTAGAGTTGTAACATGTTTACAGGGTTCAGTTATCATTAACAGGGTTAAGCTAATCAGAATTCACTTAAAAAATTAAAAATCACGGTGCTACACCCAATATTTTTGCTCGGATAAATTGTATGTTTTGTTAATGGCACAACTCGTATTTTATGTATTTAGCTGTCAAATATCAGATAGTCATTCAAATTGCGAGTACAGTACCTTTGTAAATTTGTCATGAAGTATATACATACATACACAAGTCAAATATTGATTCTATATACGTATGGCCACAATACTTCTATACTATACAGAATAAACAATATTGTGTAGCAACCGACATCTAATATTACTTACAAAGGGAACTGAAAGGAAAGACTTATTCAACTGTATTGATATTTCTATTTAAAATCACAACAGTCATGGAAATGAATATTATTCCTGTTATTTGTTCAGGTAAAACTTATCAAAACCAATCGATATGTACTGACAGCGGATTCAGATTTAATCTAAATGAATTTTACATAACTTTTATAACATGTTCCTTTATAAAAGCATAGGTATAAGACGAAGGTGAAACTTTCAAGCGCAACAACTTCCGTTTTTTTCTGGGAAAAGACCTTAGGTGTGTTTTATCAAACACTATATTATTTAACTTCAAACTCTGAAATACAATTAGAAGAGAGAAGATTTAGTTACAGTTTTAATACAAAAGAAAGGCTAGGGTCACAACTTTAAGCTAATGCCACTGTAATACTGAGACAGGCATCGTTGTAATGTGGAAGCATTTTCCAGTACATATTGTAAATACAAATATGGTGAAGGTCTAAGTGAACACTAAATTTGTCCTCATGTTTGTGAGGAGTTTGTGGAAATATCCCTCTGATGAAACAGTATCATGGCACTTAACATGATTTTTTATACTTAGAAAAGTTTGTGAATATATATAATTTAATAACTGATTCTTTTACACAAATATAACTGCTGTTGGTAACCATTTCTAACAAAGACAAAATATTTATTGTTTACTAGACTTATTCAGTAAACAAACATCAACAACTGCCTGATTCTCTAGGAAACAATTTAATTTGTCTTGAAATTCAATTTATGACTGGAAAGATGTCCAAACTGTTTATAGAAAAAACATCAATATGATAAAAAGAAAGATTTACACATGGAGACTCCTGATACTCAAAAAAAGGTGCATGTACATCTACACATAGTCCCTCACATTCCTGGGGAGTTTCACTCAAATCAATCCAGTAGTTTAGGAGCAGTTGCCAGTCAAATTTTTTTTTACAGACAGACAAGCTGATTCGAGTATAACACCCCCTGCCCTTCATTTTACCCCCACCCCACTAACTTCATTGCAGGAGGTGTGGGGGATGGGAAGGGTATAGTAAGAAGACCAGGACAAGAACGTTTATAAATTCAGTCATGATATGGCATGACCATAGCAAAAGAAACTTCCATTACCTAATACTTACTACTGACTGTAGGCAAAGTTAAGACATCTGAGTTGTGTAAACACGCTGGTTAGATATAACACTGCCAATTATTGTAACTGGTAAACAGAGAAATTTAATCACAATTCTAGCAAAATACCAATAGGTGAAATTAGATGGCAATTTCTAGTCTGATTGAAAAGGTTGTGTGATCCTTTTAACTTCACTCAGCCATTAAATATAATTTCACACGCTCATTCATTACTCCACGGCACAATTCCACATCAATATCACACTCGACCTGTGAATATTCTGTATAATAGTCCGTCTCCTGTCAATATCCCATATGCAACAACCACAGAAATTTAACTTATTCGGTTAGTTTATTCAGATTTGAAACTTCAAAATTGAATTCATGTCTAATTTTTTTAAGTGACGTTTAAGAATTGCCTTAAAATTGTAACAGGTTTTAGATCTATCCAATACTGAAATAAAATTCATTTCTGCTACAATTTTTATACACTAGAAATCCTATAGAGCTCCATTGTACATGTGAAAAGAATCAATGTCAAAACCTAAGTTTGGTATCATCAAAACTTCTCTATTATGGATAATTCAAAATAAATTTGTATATGCAACACAAATGCCACAGTCAGCCAACAATGAAAATTTTCAAGCTTTTTAGCGTTTTCATCTTTTTAAGAGGTGCACTCATAACTTTTCAAACTGTGTCAATTAGCAAACTCAATGAAAACAATACATTGCATATCAAATTTATATTCAATAGCCCCATCAAGCACTGAGAAATTGAGCATAAACCGGTCTAAGTCTAAGGGCCATAACTCTAGAAAATAAATGAATCAACTGCGACAAAATCTCAGTAATAGATCTCTGATGTGGTAGCAAAGGAAATGAGTAGAAATTGAATTATGAGGGAATGATGGAATGAGGACTGAGGGCAACACTTTGTATTACCATTCCATCAAAAAGTGCAGCTTAGAATTTGTTATTTATATCATACTTTACTGCAAACAACCCTCTCCCTCAATGAAAAACTTTGATCAAAAGTAGGGAGGCAAGCATACCTCCTGTACATTAGTTTCAGGCATTTTGAATGATTGTGTTATCTTTTTACCATAAATACCTTCTATTTCAGATTCTATTTTTACAAGTGATTTATCACTATTTAATGCCAATTATGTAAATGCTGAAGACATTATGTAACAACAATAAGAAAATAGAAACAATGCTCTAGTTTATAAACCATTTAACTGCTCCTTCAGGAAATTTGTAGCAGAATAGAGTTGGCCTCAAACTAGGACATGTAAAAACTTATTCCAAGACTAATATATATTCCTATTGTTAGATGTGAAGTGAAAAGTCTACTTGTTTTTTATATTTGAGCCTCAAAGTGAAAGTAGAATGTACTTCCAGCCAGTTCTTAAAAATATTCAGTGAGTTTGATATTGGTGGCAGTTTACCTTAGTAAAGAGGAAAGATGAAAAAGAACATGGGATATCAACTTTTTCAAAAATATGTCAATTTATTTTGTGCGGAGCTTGAAATTTTAAACACTGGCATTCACTAATAAAGAAATATCAAAACAGTTTATGCCTGCCATATTTCCTGGGTACTCACTGCATTTGACTGCTTGTATTTCAAATAAAACATATATACCCCTGGTAATGAAAAATTAGTTCCTAGGACTGTTGTACATAACATTTCGTATTGAAGGAAAGGTTAGTTTAACTTGGTATCCTAAATGATAATACCAGTTGGTGCCTTAGACTTTTGAAATTTTTTGTCCTTCAAAGTTGTGGGAACAGCATTGATAACGAGTTTCTTTGTCATGATATTTGTAAGGCCATATTAACTAGAATCTATGCGACCATTGTTTGCACGCAGAAAAGCTGTTCAATTTATACAGGCAATGCAACAATCATACGAGGAAAAAACAATTGTTCAAAAGAATGCAAATGTTTTAAGAAGTTAACGTTTCTTAAATATCAAAGGTTTATGTAAGCATTTCAGATCTATATGTCTTGAACTCTTTGAACCCATATTTAAATATGAAATACTTAACTGTACAACAATGCATGACCACGCAGGATACAACATTTGTAAAAACAATAAATTTTTTATCACAAACAAAAATTGTTTATTTCTTTAGAAGTTACAAGATATTATTTTAATTTCCAAATATTTGTTATTTATAAGTAAACATGTTTACAATGTTAGATATGTATGCATGTCAAATGATTATACCAGGTACATACATTTTGTATGTTGAGAGTTAATGCATGCATTTATAATACAAGAAACAATGTGCAAAGTACATTTGAGTTACTTTCAACAAGAGGGGTAGGTTGTTTGGTGCCAGTAAATGCCTTTCATCTTGTACTGTTTTTGTACCATTTACACTGCAGTAAGAACTCTTTAGAACCGTGTCAATAGATTAGCCATGATATAACGGGGCCTTTAAATGCTAATCTGATTTTATAAACAACAACATACTTAACTTGTAAGGATTAAACTGGTGTAGAACATAAGTTTATTTATCTTTTGTTTTTTTTTATCTGACTGTAGGTCTCAAGCTATCAATAACTAAGTATTTAAAAATGGTTCGCAGCTGGCCAATCACAAAAAATCTGACTTAACAGTTAGGATAACTAGACTTGATAACTGTAAAAGGTTTTTAAACATGAAAAGGCATTATACCCTGAAAAATTAACACCATCTTCAAAATCACAGCCTTATATACCCAAACAAATTATAAACAACATGATTAGCCTAGACCTACAGGTATGAGTATGAATGTAGCTTTGTCACTCTGTACTCTACATGGTATTGACTGGGACACTGGCTTATGGCTGACATCAATCTATTAAAGTTCATCTTCTCACAAAAATCATTTATCAACTAAATATACATGGAAACTTAATAGCATAAAAATAAAGATTATATAACAAAGCAAATAACTGCATGTAATCCAACAGACTACGGTTACCTCAAGATCAATTTGTATGAGTTACAAAAAACAATAAAGGGGCATAACTCTGTATGATCAAAGGCTGTGTATCATTATGGACATCTTTTTTAGAGCTACATGTATCATAAATGTTGTAGACCTACTTTAGATAAGTCTTCTTCTACAAAAAGAACATACCCAGTGTTTTTGAATAATTTGAAAGATGAAATGATAGGGTGAACAGTTGAGTGACAATTAATATATGGTACATTGTAAATATATATTACACTTAAGTGTCTAATGTTACAGTTAATTGTCTATCAGCTTACCCTGGACTTTTTGAGGTCCTTGAGTCCTGTCTCCAGAGACCCCAACTCCGTCTGCATTACTAGTGTTCCCATAATGATCCACAATATCCACACCACAGAAACTCACTAATCTTTTAAAGTTCTTGTCACATTCGCCTGTACCAATGGAAAATCACATTATCTTACTAAAACATTCATGAGTCTTAAAAACCCTTTCCTGCCTACTGAATGCCCCTCTATTTTAGTCTAAAGAGTTTTTTAAAAATAGACAGCCAGAAATTTTTTATTTAAAAAAATAAGCTTCCAAAGAAATCAGTGCAAGGTTTCCTTGCAATAAAAAGAAATGCACATTTTGAAAATCAACGTAAATCATACGATAATAGATTTAAAAAGAAAATTCAAATTTACATACAATAGGTGACATTTAAAAAAAGTGTTACTTACTCAAGGTCTCTTAAACATTTATTTTACTTAAGTCTTAAAGCAATCTATCAATGTTATATATATAGGCTATGAGATGGCATATTGAATAATACAGAGTATAAGACCTGTTATTCAACTCCAGCTTTAAGCTACTTATATACCGCCAAACATTCACACAGTTATTAATTGTGGATGTTCCATTGTACATACAGGTATATATAAATCTAAAATCTGATGTCAAGTGAAAAAAACTCAACAAGAAACATATATATTACATACATATTGATTGTATTATCACCTTTAAGTGCCTTCCAATGAATTACAGTGATTTTTTTAAAAATATGTTTTATACATGTATAAACCAGTAGCATACGTCTACATTATTTACCACCAACCTCCTTATCATCTGGAACTAGGAGACAACACGGAACTTATATATTTATATTCATCTTGTTAATCAAATAATATTGCCTGTCCCAAATGTGACTTACTGAGACCTTCATCAATTGTCCTCCAATATCATCAAACTAAACCACCTTACACTTTTCCTTATAAAAAGATAACAAAGCTTATACATTGTTATGTTAAGTGCTAGATTTTGTTGGGACAATATTTTGTCACCCATCCTCTCCTGGCCTTAACCTTTTTCATTTATTCCCATTGAGTGATTAGTACCCAGCAGTTACCAGCAGGAACCCTACAACCCTTTCCTGGGTTCCCTTGAACTATTCCCTCCCTACAACCATCAACCTTTTCGTGTCCTTTCTTATTCCTTGAAATTCTGTTTTTATAATTTATTTACTCCGTTCCTGTTACCCTCTTTCCACTACACATCTACCCTCTCCAATCGCCACATCCCCCCCCCCCCCCCCCCCCACCCCCACACCTCCTGTTAACAACCACTCATCACAACCTTTATAATCACTTCTTTCTTTGTTTCACTGGCCCCTTGCTGCCATCCCCTCCCTTGCTCTCGCCAATGTTAACCCCATTGCTTCCATTAACTCCCCACTGACCCCTCCTCTTCCCCTACCCTCCCTCCACCCCCACCTTAATCAAACACCTCTTCCCAATCCTCTGACCTACTCCTGAAAACACCTTCTCTTCTAAATTTTATCCTGTCACTCTTACTCAAACCCTCCAGAACCCTCCAAGGTATTCTTAGGACCCTTGTGATTCTCACATCTCTAGAACTATTTACCCAGCACTTGGCACATGTAGGTACTTGGCATGAATTCTCAACCTATAATCTATATATATGTTCTATAACACCTATCTATGGACTGGGAGTTGGAAATTCATACAAAGTCCCTGTAGCACTCAAGACTTTTATTCATGTGAAAATTAATAAGGCATTAAATAAATTCTCCAGCAAAATGGTATCTTTAAACAGCTCTTTTTCTACCTCCTATTTCCCTGGATTTTTCTGTCTGTAATTAGAATAGAGTCACATCTTTTCTCCAGGAAATATTCTTGGATTCTCTATCCAATCTACAAACTGTCCATTTTCAATTATCTCGTTAAGTACATAAACACCTGGATCAAACACAGGTACACAGACCTAGGTTACTAAATGATTATAATGGTTTATATATGCTATCATGGTCTGTATTATATACACATTGTGCTTTAAGTCAATCTCTTTACACTGGGTTGACTCTACTGTATATTGTATATCAAGTTACTATCCACCCACAGCCAAAACCTACTTCAGGTTTGCACAGTGTATATACCAGGACTCAAACAATGCTGCATTCATTATCCACCATACTCCTTCTGATATTGGCTATTGTTAAATTGTCAACAGAACTTTTTTAATCAGAGGATATCAGATTTGAACGTCTGCTGGCCAGCGTTTGGCATACTTACATATAACCACACTCTACTTCACACCACCTGTAAATGCAGGCCAGGCATATTATCCATTGAATGGCTTATTTTTGAGTACATCGTATATCCTTCACTCCTGAATGTATTTCCAGTTTAAGAAGAAATCTCATTTATTTTTCAACAGTTTTTTTGGTACTCAAATAAATGAGTTTTCTGTGGGACTCACTCTTATTGTAAGAACCCATTATATCGCCTTGTAACTGAATTCATCAAAATTTTGAAAGTGATGCTCTGGACTCACCAGAAAAAAACATGCTACATAATTATTGCTCAATCTATTTAATACCTTCTTACATGTAGGGTTTTTATTGATTCCAAAATTAGGTAAAATTTATATCAAATTAAAATCATTTACTATCCTAACGGCACAAATGAATAGAAAGTACAAGCATTGTTTGAAAAATGCAAAAAAAAAAAAATATATAAAATAAAAAATAGATAAATAGGATGAAAACACTAAATATTACAAGTATGAAACTCAGGATATATGCAGTCTACACTTACTTTCGTTCTCTGCACCCTTGGAACATTTCATGACAAAGTTGAAGGTTCAAAGGTCACGACACCTTACAGATAGAAGACTAGTTTGATCCTATGACCTATATCAAACCAATTTCTCAAGCTAGCATATGCTGTACTGGCTTTGAAGTTGCATGTTGCTCCTTTGTAATCTTCAAAGCATGTGCAACATATCAGTCTGTGATTGGTCAGTTTTTTCTCCTGAAACCTGCTCTAGACCAATCAAATTACATTACTTGTTCCTTCAATATTGCTAGGAAATTTCCAAGAGGTGCAGAGAGCGATAGTGATTGTAATATAATGAGTGTTGAGGATGACACTTAATCACTATGTGTTATCCAGAATGAGGTCATGGATAATCCGAATTATTCTGAGGTTCTGTCAACTTTTCTATAAAAATTGGTCTAGAGTTGATGGACAACCTCAGACTAGGATATGGACAGCATCATAACGAAAGATTACTTTACAGCAATTCACTCAGTGAAATGATTTACAATGTTCTAGTTCTAAATACTTAGTTCTGAATGACTTTTTCTTGCAATATTACCATTTATATCAGAATGTTCTTTTTATCCTTCTCTGAACAAAGTAGGAGGAAGGGAGGGTGTGTGAACATTGAACCAATGTTCTTGCATGGATCTTGGTTCCTGTGATCTGGGCTGGGAAACAAGACTGCAGATGAAAAAGAATTCTGCAGTCCATATCTGGTAAACCATTATCATGTGATGCCAATACTATACTTGCATTAATTAGTGACAAAGGTAGCATTCTACAGGTTATGGATGCTAAATTTAACCAACATTTTAAGCTCCAGTGATTGATAGTTTGAATTCAGTTAAAAATCGTTGGAAACCCTCCATCGATAAAGAGAAGAAATTAAATTGCAACGCTAGACGATATCAGTTCTAGACCCATTAACTTGATAAGGTGTTAATGATTCTTGTTTTTGCATGTTTTAAAAGTTGAGTCTGTACTTAATTAAGCAGTATAGATGTGCTGTGTATTGATACAGGGTCTTCTGATAACAGAAAATAGAATTTTATGATTGGATGACTTAACAAGTCACTAATTTACTAATTGATTATACATTACATGTACATAGATTAATTATTTCAACTGAAATGTATATAAATAAGCAAATTATGTTAGACCTTATGTTAGAATCTAATGAGCTGTTCACACGCAAACAATGGGCACATTTTGTCAATTTACAGTATGGGGTGAACCAGAGACTAACCCCGTCATTGTCACAAGGAGTAGCACTTCATACACAGAAAGCTAATTTTGGATGCTGACATGGGGAAGAGTCTTGAATTCTATATTGGGAAGAGTCTTGATTTCCAGACAAATTTTTAACGATCAGGCTGCTATCAGACGTATAAAACACACAGTTGTATGTACAGGGAGAGGGTTGGAGTGGAAAATCTGAAGGGAGACTGGATAACCTTTTGATACAAGCAGTTGTGAGGGTTGGGGGAGATGGGTCGCCTAAAATTTTCAACAGTTCCAAACTAGAAACACAACGAACAATCTTGAAGCAGGGACTTAAAATGTCTAGTAACACTTTTTTTCTAATGAGAGAAAAGTACCAACTAGTCATGAAAATGTCGATATTCCTAAACTAACCCACACTTGTGCAATTAACGGTAAATATCGGCGAACGTTTACCTACAGTACATGTGCCCATCGATCTTAACTCACCGTAAACACATGGTCGGGAAAAATCACAGGTGCCCGTCGGCACGGCTATCACGTACTCAGCGGTGTAAATCCGGTCTAGATATTAAATAACGTGGTTATTCATGTAACTATTCATCTCATGGTGTAATCCAAATCTCTTTAAGATACTCGTAACCTCGGGTACAACTTCCGAGATACAGTCGTTTACCCGGGCACCATTCTATGTGGAAGTGTAACTAACTTGACAACTACACGCTTCATCACGTGACTTTTGTTGACTACTCTTCGGAAGTGCTCGGATATTCCTATGTGGTTATTTTGGCGCGAAAGGTATTAGCAAATAGGACTCTATATTTCTTAGTTTTGAAAAGTTATTTAATACCACTGAACAACAAGGCGACAAATAAAACTCGACATCCGACGAAGGAGCGACTTTGGTCATCAACGAGTACGAAATAGTAATATTTAGGACTCTATATTTCTTAGTTTTGAAAAGTTATTTAATACTACTGAACAACAAGGCGACAAATAAAACTCGACATCCGAGTTTGTTCCAGATTGATGCTGATCTTACGGAGAAAAAGTTCTTG